CTCCATATTTTGGTCCGGACGGGGACTTGAACAGGTGACCCTCCGGTTCCCAACCCAAGTCCCTATGGACTGAGCTACTGCCCCCCAAATAGATAGATAAAATACTTTACTAGTCACTTTTACATTACATGTTATAATATTAGACTATTATAGCAAATGCATTAATAGCCCATATAAACTGTACTGTATGTAGGCCATTGTTGGGTCAAATATGATGATAATGATTAAGACCATGACATGTGTAAAAAATGAATCTGTAAGTAACTACAACTGCCAGATAAAAGTAGTGGAGTAAAACATACAATATTTGCCTCAGAAATATAAACATATACCTCAAAAAGTACAGTAGCTACTTGAGTAAATGTACTCTGTTATATTCCTCCACATGTCTTATTGCCACACTGGAGCTCTTTATCCTAAGTGACACAGAGGGCTGGATATACAACAAGAGTGGATGATTTCCACAAGAACTGTTTATTTATCATTTATTTATTATTGTAAACATTATTCATACATATTGAACTGAATGTTTACCTGTAGACAAAGTGAACATTTTCTGTAAGTCTGGACTGCATTGCCATTACATGTACAGTAGTTGTGCATTTAGTTAAGCATTTATTTGAAATTAATAAACTGGAACAGCTAAAGTTAGTTTTAATTTAGTGCCAAATCACATTGTTCTTTTACAGGAAACTTCCGAGGGAATTATTAGGGACACATAAAATAAAGTGTACTGCATAAACTATGCTAAAACCCAATAAAATAAAGTAAATAAATTAACCTGGACTTAGTTTCCGCTGTTAGGGACCTAAAATATGAACATTAAAAAATGATTTACATGACTGAACATGTGAATGAGCAGAGATGTCATATTTTTAATTGATGGGAAACAGAATTTAGTCACTAACAAAGTGGCACATGTTGTATTTATTTTTTTATTATGATTTAATATATGCATGATCTCTGATTCACATGATGCATACACTGTATACATTTACAGCAGATCCTTTAGGGCTCCAAGTGTTTCTAAATTTGAGTACAAAAGCTGCATTATTAAAGATTAAATAAAGATGCAGTTAAAAAGCTAGGACATTAAGCGAATATTGAGGATTATATTTTATTTTTTTTCATTAAACATATGTTATATTTAAACCTGGACTAATAAAAATTAAAAAACAAAAACAAAAAAAAAAAACAACATAAATTTGGGTAAAACTCATGATGAATAAAGATGTAAGGGCCCATTTTCCCAGAGAAGTATCTGTAACAATCATTAAAACAGTTACTGTGACAACAATGCATATTTACTTCTGACTACAGTGTATTATTTTATTTTATTTTTATGTCTAAGTAAGTCTCAGAGAAAAAAAGTGGACTGTGAGGTTTACAAGACACAAAGAGTAAGTGACGCTGTACATCAAATGGACGCTGTATATGAGGAGGGAAAAACATATGAATTAATGCTTAAAATAAGACGCTGGAGAAGGAAAAGTGCAGCACATTACGGCATAATGTTTCACGCTGAGTGCTTTTTAACTTCAGCAGTGGCTCACTTGTCCTCACTGTTATATAGCCTCAGCAGGAATACATCGACATAAAGGTCTGAAGGTCGTGTAAATTAAATTTAAATCAATCAAGAACATGCAGATAATACTGAAACTCAGATGAATAAATGGCGTTAGGACTATTTTGTGTGTGGAAAAACAATTTATTTGAGGACTTTCAGTGTGTAACATTGAGGGGGATGTAGTTGTATCTAGCAGTGGATTGCAGATTGCAACCAGCTGAAACTTCTCCCAGCTAGAGTTTCGTCAGTGTTTATTGTTCAGGAGGTTTTTAACAGGAGCCAAATTATCCGCAGAGGTCTCTTCCTCTTCGAAACAAACAGACCCGGTGATTTAAAACCGGTAAAAACATTGAATGAAGCAATTTCGTGTTACAAATCAAATGTTTTTTTCAATGCCGCTTGTCGCAGAGGGGCTGCTAACTACGGTGGCCTATGCAAAAACGCGAATGGCCCTATCTAAAGCCATGGCAGTGAACATGGTGATCTCCATAAATGAGGACCCGCTCCCTATGTAGATATAAACAGCTCATTCTAAGGTATGAAAACACAATGATTCTTATTTTATAGGCTACTAATATACTTATATCCAATTCCTTTTTTCGCCAAAACATCCCTCTAAATCCTACACACTGGACCTTTAAACCCTTTCGAGGCCACAAAAAGCGTGTCCTGGTTTGTATCGTACTTTGAAACTAGAGCCAAGGACAGAGAATACTTTTTTCTGTGATTAAAACAAAGCCTTGATGGTCTGTGTGCTTAATTAAAAGGTCAGCTGTGTTCATGTTAACCAATCCTGTTATTCCCAAAGCTGAGGGAGAGGTGTTAGCTGTGGGACCGAGAGCGGTGCAGAAACCATCTGCTGCCACTAACACTGAAGGGTAAATGAAGACTTCAAATTAAAACCGTATTCCTCTTTATTTTTGTCCTGGGACGGCTTTTCAAATCTTTGTCTTAATCAAGGTTATATTGCTCTTTAATTGCCCAGAGTCCCCTCAACTATCTCTTCAACTATCTCTTCAAATATCTCTATAAACTGCAGATTGTCAGCGGTTGTTGTCAGACGCCTCTCCGAGGATCCTGTGACACAAGGAGTATTTTTTCTAATGTCCCGATGCCATATTGTGTGAATTAGATATGGATTTATGTAATCTAGCAGAATCATCTCGGTGAGGAAATAATTGCCGTCTTATCCTCCAGGCACGCGGCCAAGTGGATGCATGACGTGGAGACGCCAAGCAGAGAAACTGCTGCCATTGAGAGAAGAAAAAAACAAGAAGACATTAGAAATAAACCATCAGGTGTGTGTGTGTGTGTGTAGGAGGACGAGCATGCTGTTTGGTGCATGAGACAGTTGGTAGTAAATGGTTGGCAAATCAAATCTGGTCTGGCTTGAGGCTGTCCTGAGGGTAAACATCAGGTTTGCTTTGTATGCTTGCTGGTTTACACTTTACAGACTCCTGCTTGATGTAATGCTGTTTTCTTTTAATTTTAAACTCATATTCTTTAATAATCTCACCTTCTGCATGCTCACAGTATGGAGACAAATCTTTATTAGGTATTAAGGGCTGCAAAAATTCATCTGCAGTCAAGCCCACACAGCTACAGGAGAGTCATCAGATTGAGCATCAAAAGCGAGCTCTAGTTGCAGAAGGAGAAAAATGTTCCTGCTCAAATATTTTAAATGTCCTTATGAGTTGTGAACACTTGGCATTTATTTTGTGTCTGAGCTTCATTCTGTCAAAGTGTGAAGTTGTGTTTTAATCATTTAGATGAGTTATTACACAGATCTTGAAGTTCCTCTGTGTTCAGTGGCTCTCAAACTTTTGGTTCATGACTCCCTAAAATTAAAGCAATTCCTACTTGAGTGGTGAACAGTTCAACCAGAGAATGATTTTGTGTCTTTGGGTTGTTTCATTTGATTAAATTCTGAGACGGAAATGATTCCAGGAAAAATACAAAAATGTGATGGCAGAAGTGTGTTTTCCTGTCACCAGCCCATCTTCAAATCACACTCTCTAATGTCAGTGTTAGCACAGTATATGTATGCTTTCTTTTTATGTTAAAAGATGCTGATTTATCTTAGTTTTGAGAAACATAATCACTGAAGTTCCCAACAAGTTTTCTGTCTAAAATGTCAAAAAACAAAAAAAGGTATTTTAATCATCAAGAGTCAATTTATTTTCATATTCTAAAATGCAAAGGACATAACAGGATTTGAGAATAAATCCAAGGTTGAGTGCACAAAAATGTTTCACTGCAAGCGATTATGTACAAGAATGAAATCAACAAATCTTTACAGAAGTCAACAGGTACTGCATCAATATTTAGAGTCAACTTTCTGAACCTAATAACGTAGACTAGACCGCACTTAGATTCATTTGAGCATTTTTTTTTCTTCTAAACACAGCACATTAATTCATTTACATTTTAGTGAACTCTGTTTGCTGAATTAAAAAGTTCACTATTAGTGCATTGAGGATCATTGTATGCTTGTTTGTTTTTTGTACATTAAAGATTAAAATACCATTGAGGTAAACGCTATGTGGCCTTATAAACAGGCCTGTTAGCATCGACTCGTAAAGGAGAACAAACCAATGTCCTCTTATTATGTTTACCCAAACATACTACCCATAAATACATTGGCTAGCAATTACAATTTGATTGTACTGTCATTGTATAATTAAAAGAATACTTCACCCCCAGTATTATCATTTATATATCAATAACTCACCCTGTGTTACGTTAAATTTGGGGAAAAAATCTTTTTCTCACATGTATACAGTGAACGAAGAATCCAAAAACAGAAAAAAAACTCTTGATAAATTGAAAAACATCAGTTTATAAACTCTCACACAACTCGTGCAGATAATCAAAGTCTCATTTATCCAACCGTATGCTCAGTACTTCCAAAACAGACAGCCCTGTCTGGCGGGGAGCTAAACAAAAAGTGAAACCTATCTATGCTCTCTTTAAAGCCAGACTCTATTGACAAAAACTAGGCTGACCAAACGTCCTCTTTTGCCCGGACATGTCCACTTTTCACGTCCTGTCCGGGGCGTCCTGGGGGGGGGGGGGGGGGGGTTGATAAATTGATGATAAGTAGGCTATCTCATGGCCGGGCCGAGTGTCCCGTTTTTTGGAAATCAAAATATGGTCACCCTACATAAACAGTAATTTTACCTCACACAACACAGGAGCTCCTGGTCTACGTCTGCCTCCATTAGTAAGTTTGTTAGTATTTTTGTGTGACCTTGGTGTTAAAGAGGGTTAGTTCAAATCCAACAAGGTGACAAGCTAACTGATCGAGGTAGAGGTAGACCAGCAGCTCCGGTGTTCAGCTGGGTAAAATTACTGTTTTTGTCAATGGAGTGTGGTGCTGAAGAGAGCATAGATAAGTTTCACCTCTAGTTCACTTCCCAGTTGGAAAGGGCTGTCTGTTTGGGGCGTACTGAGCATACGACTGGATAAATGAGACTTGGATTATACTGCATGATCTGTGTGAGTATGTTATTTTGATATAGGTTTTTCATTCTACGTTCACCGTGTAGGCATGCAAGAAAAGCAAAGTTTTCTTCATACGTAACGTAATACAGGGCAAGTAACTGATAGACAAATGTTTAATTTGGGGGCCTCAGTATTCCTTTAAAGAGAACATTAGTGCGTCGTATGAAGATTAAGAATCAAACTTTAAATTGTTTTGCCTGCAGCACGAAGAATAGCTGCCACAAACATTTGGCAAGATTTCTTCTGTCAAGTTATACAGAAACACGACTTCAGTCTGGGTGTAAATTATTAAGATAATTCATTATAAATTAGGGCTGGGTGATATGGACACATCCTCATAAAGATCACTGTGTAACTGCGTCTTTTTTACAATGTCCCCCTGGTTGTGTTTGGACCCAGTGTACCTGCTAGAACTAGTTACTGTGTATTTTTTTAGTTAATTAAATGACTGCAGTTAAGAAAAGTTTCTGGAAATGTCTCAATTTCAGACAGGTAAATATGTTCATTTGTAGAGACAACAAAACGGTTGCATCATGATCCGAAAGCGAGATAAGTGCACAGTCCAGCCAGAGAAAAGTGAGTTATGACGTGAGGGATGAAGGATATTTATACACTTTGATCATCACGGTTAATGTAACTCACCCAGCCCTAGTTTAACATAACCCCATGACAGTTTGGGACTGATCACCTTTTCTGTCAGTCCATGAAACAACACTGCATTTTGATGGAATTATGCATCTACTGAATACAAGATACAATGGATTTGAAAGCTATAATTCAGTTCAACACTATGCGTGCTATAGAAGAGAAGCCAAAAACACGTACTATCAGTTTAAATCAAATCAAATATGAAACTGACCATTTCTCAGAACACAGATGAGTTTAAATACATGAGTTACACAATTCTTCTTTTTTTTCCAAACCTTCAGTAGGGAATAACGAAAGTGCTCTGGTCAAACCTGTAAAAAAATAATTTATACACACCCCCGTCATCTGACCGGAGGGTTTGTCACAAAATTGTGGACGACTGTTTTGCTTATTGATGGTCCTCCCCCCATTCACTCTGCTGCTCCTCGCTCTTACCGCCCGTCGGTTGGATTAGTTGTCATTTGTTAAAGGGAAGGCAGGCAGGCAGTATGACGGTGGAACAGGCTGGGCCCGCTAAGGGCTCTGCCACCTCTCCCTCCAACTCTGTCCATGTTCCTTTCTCTGGGCTGTAGCAGATGGTAGAAGACTTATAGGCCCCCTGAGAAAAAAGGAGAAGCAAGTCATTGTCTTTGTACCTCTGAGCGCTGTTTGGATTTCAGTTTAATGTAAATGCATCAAAAGCAGGACAGGACTACTTTAAAGATGAAGTCTGGTGATTTTCTAGGTTCTTCTTTTGTCAACAAATTCCATGAAAACAACAATGAACTGATCCTACAAACAAGACGTGTCTGTGTAGCCAATACAGATATAGCTTATTGCAACAGACCTGCACTGTTGTCCAAAGACTATTAAAAACAGTTGCACTTTGTGACACGTTCTTTCATACGTGTATTTTGGGATTCTACCAGAACATGTTTACATGTTTTGATCGTCAAAAAACACTTTGCTTTCCTCATACGGTCTCTGCTGGAACACCTGTATTCACTCTCTGTCTGAAAAGCCTCCCTGCTCTCATTGGTCAGCATTTTCAGGTCTTTCACATCTCGGCAGCAGCCACTAATCACTAATAAAAACCTCTTCACACAATCGTGTTCCAGCAGGAATATAAACTGAATCTGAATCTGAAACTGAACCAAGATTACATATTTCCCTGATGTTAGCATGTAGCTACATGTAGCAGTGTAGGCTACATTATGTAAACACTGCTGTGGCTGTGACCCAGACAGTAGAGCAGGTCAACTATTAATTGGAAGATCCACATTTCAAAATTATCATTGGGCAAGATGCTAAACCCCCAAACTGCTCCCAATGGCTGTTCCATTGGTTTGTGAGTGTGCGTGAATGGTTACTAAGTAGCAGGTGGCACCATGTATGATAGCCTTGGCCACCAGTGTGTGAATGTCTGTGTCAATAAGTGAAGGTCGCATGTAGTGTAAGAGCACTTTGAGTGGTTGGAAGACTAGAAAAGCACTATACAAGTGCAGTCCATCTAAACACTTGTAGTAGCATGCCTGGAACAGAAATCCGCCGCACTAAGACATCAGAGTAGAAACAAATGTTGGATTCAGAAGTCAGAGTAGAGTTGAGACAAACGCAGTGATCATTTTGGTCTTTTCATGGGATTTGTTGGTAACAACCAAAATAAAGGCATTTGCCAGTGTTATGCTTAAAGTAATCTAATCTGATGTGTAAGAATATACCATGCTCCAGCTGTAGCCTCCCACGAGGAAGATGCTGTCATCCAACACGGCGCAGCCCGGGCCGCTGCGACCCTCCAGGATGGGTGTCTGCAGGATGTTCCACTGGTCAGCCTTCGGGTCGTAGCACTCCACCAACATCACGTCTAGATGGGAGAACCCTTTGTGAAAGAGGACGACAAATATCTTAAAATGATTAGAGTACTTCCGTGTATAACATGCAGGTGAAACTGCAGGTCCAGGTTACAGTAAAAGCTGCTTCTTTGACTTCAAAGGCCCTGGAAACACATTTTTGCAATCAGCCTCTTGCTCTGAGAGATGAGTTCCTACATGAACACATTTTCTGTGAGTGCTGCTTTCTCTGTGCTCTTCTAAATGTCTCTTTTTAAATGCCCATAGGTAGGAGAAAAGAATTCCCACACAAGGTCCTATGACTTGCAATAAATTGTAGTGCTAGTAACAGTGTGTGGAATTTATCTCTTATCCATGGACATCTTTTCTTCATGGCACCTGTCTACAACTTATTAAAGGTGTGCATGAACCTCCACATTCTGGTTTTTAAATGCACAATAAGGATAGACCGATACATCGGCCGGCCGATATATCGGGCCGATATTTGAGTTTTTTTTACTTGTATCGGTATCGGCCGATACGCCCGTGGGTTCGCGGATTTATTTTTCCCTGGCATGATTTACAGACAGGCATCCACGGGCAGCTCTGTGTTGCCGGAAGACCCTGCAGCGCACATGCAGCAAATCCTACTGTGTACAGTAGTTGTTGTTTTATTTATGCTTCAGCTTAAATATTTGTTTATTTTATAAAGAAATTACTGGAAGATTTAAGAGCACTGAACTCTTTTTTTATTTGAATGTATAATAATAATAATAATAATAATAATAATATTCTACCTGTTCTACCTCAACTTTCCATCTTGTTTTAGTATTTTTTACTGTTCAATAAATGTTTCTTATTTTAAACTTGAGACCTGTAATATTTGTTATCATTGTGTCATTTTTTTTTATGTAAATTGAGGGAGAAAAAGCAGTATCGGCCCCAAATATCGGCTCAAGAAAATCGACAGTCCATAATCGGTCATCGGCTAAGGGTGATGGAAAAAAATCGGTATCGGCATCGGCCCTAAAAGATCCATATTGGTCTATCCCTATTGCACAATATGTAATTTCTGCCGCTAGAGGTCTCTCAATCAAAACAATAACAAAAGCTTAGAGGAGGTCGTGAAGAAGCGTGGGATCATGGGAGTTGTTGTCTTCATTGTTGATTGATTGATTGTTGATTATCTGACCTGATTCACAGATGAGGGAGTGTATGCAAGTTTTATTTATTATATCATTTCATTCTAAAAAAATAGCCATATGTAACGTTAGCTAACATAACGTTAACTTGCTAACTTGCCATTAGCATTAGACGAGTTGAATACCCATACAGCTCCCATAGCTAACGTTATGTGGCAAATTCAGTCGTGTAGCCCAGTGCAGTTATCTTTGGTTAAAAGAATTAAACTAAAAATACATTTATGAGTGCGTTGTAACGTTATAATGCTATTGTACGCATTTGTTTACCATAGCTATACCATAAGCTTGGCTGGCATGAGCCACTTGTTACAGTAGCACAATGTAGTAACCTAAAAAGTCTCTGATATATTATATCAATAAATTAAGTCCACTGGAAAACTGGGTTAATGCAATTAATGAAAGAAACACGTAGAATGGGATAAAAATTGCTGTGTAACTGTTACTGATTATAATAATGTGACATTAAATGATTTTTAATGACGTATAGTCTGGTATTTCCTTGAAGTTAGAGCAACTAGAGGGGGTAAAAGGGATGAAAATTTGCATTTTGGTATGATCACTTTTTCAAGATAGCCAAGATAGCCTTTATTGTCATTGTACAGACACCTATACAACGAAATTGGGAACACAATTTTTAACGCGTCACTTTGTAACACCATCGAACGACATCCATTTCTAACACCGCCGGCAACAATGTAATATACAGGGGACCCCACTGTTTACTTCCCCTGTGAATGTAAAGCCAAACCATGATGTTTTTTGTAAACCTAATCATGTGTTTTTGTTGCACAAGGAAATGAACATAAAAATAAGGTGTTTACCTATAAGTGTACTTTGACGAGCAAAAACTGTACATTTCCTTTGAAAATGGAAGTGTATGTTGAAAAGACACAATGCATGTAACAAGTGTACATTGAAATGTCATACAGGAAAGTTAACAACAGATGCAGCAGGGTACCTTGCGCATAAAATTTACACATAAAAGTCCACTGAGAAAGCGGTGATATTTGACAAATTGGGACGAGAACGTGTTGGTGAGATTGGTGAGGATTAGGGTAAAACTGTCAGGGTAAACCAATCCTAGGCACAGTAGGGCGGTTGATGCTTTTGCCATCCTTCATTGTGCAAATTCATAAAGGGAATATGGTGCTCTTGACAGGCAACCAAATGAAACACCCTGTTTCTTGAATAAAATCTATGTAAACATCTGGCATAACGTAAGTACACAACTTAAAAAATTATATAGCACAGGTCTAGCTGTTTTGAGACATTTTAATGTCACATATTATTTCTTCATTTATGTGGGGAAAGGGTGAAGTAACTATCTCAAGGCAAATGAATCGAACGCAACTGGACTTGGTTTTGTCTTGGAAGACGTTTCACCTCTTATCCAAGAGGCTTCATCAGTTCATGCTTGTCTGAGTAGGTTGGAACTAGTCTGACCTTCGATTTGTTCGATTCAATTGCCTTGAGATAACTATGACCTGGATGAATGAGAATATCCACAGGCATGGTGAAGTAACTATTTCTGTGCACCAATCAGGCTTTAACAACATCTATAGACAGTTGTGGGGTTCTTTGTTTATGTTGCCAGGCCAATGTAAATCCAATCTAGTCATACCACATCACACAGTCCTGATAAAGCAGATTAGCTGAGATGTTACATGTTATATGCTTACTTAAGGAAGTTTATTTTTTCCACTTTGATTTGACTTTGTTACCAAGTCAATATAATGGCGGCGTCATGATAGCCACTATATATGCAGGTAAATAGAGGAGAAAATAACAAATGAAACACAGACATCTGAATCAGTCTGAAAAATCTTTGTTTGTCTTTCCTCATTTCTCTCAGGGCCTCTGAAGCTGGTTTGATTAAATGTACAAGCGTCTGTATTTCCCAAGAACCTGAACGTTGGCAAAATCTGAATGCAAGGCCTTTCATTAATACAGCACATTTCATTACATTTAACTGTACAAACACCCAGTAGAGATAGTACAGACCGCACATTGACTCCAAAAAAACAAACCACAGACACACACATGCAGTAACTCATCATAAGCCTGAGAAAACTGAAAATTTAATTTGCCTTTGAATGTGGACACAATTGTGGCAGATCTCAGCGCGCGTATGGAAAGTTTTCATGAGTTCAATTTGAAACTGGGGCAGTGAGAAGCCAATTAAAGCTTGCAAATTGTGCCCTGTGTAAAGTACGCTGTAAAATTAGTCAAAAAACTGTATTTGAAAAGAAACTCATTCAAGTTCCAGCTTTTCATATTTCCCATTCAAATGCATGCATTCAGTTTTGCTGATCAAATACAAATGCACAACACGTAACTGTAACTCAGTTGTTTGTTCAGTTGTTTTTTCATTTTGTAGCTTGAATGCTGACGTGTGAAAGAGGGTTGCATGGTGTAATAAATGTCATTGCCGCCTGCTCATAATAGAAGCATCTCTTTCACATGCTTTTGAAAAAAAAAAAACAATTATAGATCTTGACCTCTTTTCTGTTAATTTCCTGAAATGCTCAAGTGCTTACCTTTCAAATGGTTTCCACCAATAGCATATAGGCGGTCGTTCATTCCAGCCAGCGCATGAATGGCTCGCTTTGTGTTCATGTCCTGTTTCCGAGCCCACACATCCATTATAGGGTCATAACAGTAGAGCCAGGACACGTACTCTCCATTGTGCACTCCTCCTGCAACAGGTGAACACAGAACCTTTAATACTGTGTCCACACTGAAGGAAGACACACCGGCTGCTCATGTTACACTCAGTAGGAAAAACACACATGAATGCTGATCCATGATATGTATTGATTTATTGCTGAACCTTAAAATTACCAGAATTATTCCTTATTAAAAATTGTAGTTTTTCCATTTCTTCAGTACTTTCAATACGATCCAGACACATGTGCTTACAGAGACACATGTGAGCTCTTTTACAGTCTTGATCTTTGTATCACTAGACAATGTTGTCTTGTTTTTAACTAATAGATGCGTCAGAGTTAATGGTGCCTTGTCCAACCGGCTCTATTCAAACACTCAAGGTTGGTGCTTTTGTTCCCTTTTTTATAGTTTTATATTGTGATAACTGGCATGGCGCACAATACAGCACAAAATTCACTGATGATTCAGTGGTAGTCAGCTTTGGGAAAAGAGGGGTTTTGGTTTATGATATTCTGTGTCTGTGTGAAGAGTATTGACTGATTTAAATGTCACCAAAATGGAATATATCTTTATAGATTTCAAAAGGAGTAAAGGATTTACTCTAAACAAAAATTTAAACACAATAGCTTTGTTTGTGCTTACATTTTTCATAGGTTAAAATTAACAATCTGAGATTTTGTTTATTTATTTTGGTCGCAAATTTGTTAAAATCTGTGTTATTAGCACTTATCCTTTTCCAAGAAAATCAATCCACCAATACCCTCATCAATACTACACAGGTGCGCCTTGGGATGGTCACAATAAAAGGCCATTCTAAAATGTGCAGTTTGCTACAGATGTCACAGCTGTTTGAGGGAGTGCGTCATTGGCCAGCTGACTGCAGGAATATCCACCAGAGCTATTGCCCTGTAACTGAATGTTCATTTCACTACCATAAGTTGTCTCCAATGCTGTTTCCATGAAGTACATCCAACTGGCTTCACACCTGCAGACCACATGTAAGCACACCAGCTCACGACCTCCACATCCAGTGTCTCCACCTGCAACCTCATCTGAGACCAGCCACCCCGACAGCTGGTGCAACCTTAGGTTTGCACAACAGTAAAATTTCTGCACAAATTGTCAGAAACCGTCTCTAGGAAGCTCTTCCACATGCTCATCATCCTCACCAGGGTCTTGAACTGACAGCAGGTCATCATCATATCCAACTTGAGCGGGCAACTGCTCACTATCGATGGCGTCTGGCACTTTGGAAACATGTTCGCTTCATAGATTAATCCCAGTTTACACTGTACCAGGCAGATGGCAGACATGCGGGTGAGCGGTTTGGTAATGCCAACATTGTGAACAGAGAGCTCTATGGTGGCGTAGGGGTTATAATATGGGCTGGCATAAGCTATGGACAACGAACACAGGTGCATTTTACTCATGGCAGAATGTTACAGACGAGATCCTGAGACCCATTGTTGTGCCATCCATCTGCCACCATGACCCTTATGTTGCAGCATGATAATCCACGGCTGGTTGTGAGGCTGTTTGAATGTACTGAGATAGCTTATGGTAGTGAAAGTAACACACAGTTTAAGGGCAATAGCTTGCATGCCAGCAAGCTCCTTCAAGACATCTGTGGTATAGCGCACATTTTCCAGTGGCCTTTTCTTGTGACCATCCCAAGGCACAGCAGTGTAGTAATGATGCTGGTTAATCTGCATCTTGATATGCCACATTGGTCAGGTGAATGGATTATTTTAGAAAAGGAGAAGTGCTCACTAACAAAGATTTTAACAGATTTGTGACCAAAAAAATTAGAGAAATATATCTATTGAGGGCATAAAAAAGTCTGAGACATTTTCCTCCGAACTGTAGTGGAATAGAAGTAGAAATACTCTAATACCTTACATTTGTATTTGAGTAAATGTACTCTGTACTGTGTTTGTGTTTATAGATGTTGTCTGTGGTCACTGTTGTTTCAATATGACCGCGCAACACATTTCCCAGCTGTGATAATAAAGCTGGCTGATTGATATTGTTACTTGTAGGGATAATAAGTGTGACAGGTCCTCTGCTGACCTGATATGTAGATCTTGCCGTTGTGCACTGCTCCTGCATGGGCGGCCAGAGGCTGCGGCAGAGACGACAGGTAGTTCCACTCATTAGTCTCCAGGTTGTAGGACTCCACACTGGAGAGGTAGCCGCTCTCGTTCCTACCACCGATCACATACAGGTGCTTATCCAGGCGGCAGGCGAAGAAACTAGCTCTCCTGAGGAAGGAAGTGTCAACCAGACAACATCATTAAACCAGCAATGACGAGATCTATTGTTGGATTTCCCACAGTTTGTGTCTGAGGTGGAAATCACATCCACCAGCACATCTTCACCGTCCTAGTTACGTTTACCAGCTGTAGGCACTTCCTTTTATGCCAGTGTAATGGGCGTACCTACTTTTGCAAAAGACATTTCATTTAATATTATATCTAAATGAAAGACGATAGAAAGACAAAAGACAAATTTAGGGTGGTAGAAAGCAATATACAGTGTGTGTGTGCAAACGAATCACTGTATATAAAGATTGACAACGCCTCTCCACTTCCTCCCACTGCACAAAACTGAAGCCAAAATATCCTGGATACAGCCGCTGCCACCTTGCACTGGAGATGTCATTTGGAGAGTCTGTGCAGTAGCTATCTCAATGGCATCAAGTTCCCACTGTATGATCAATTGTGAGCAGCACCACTGATTGCAAGCACACTGATGTGCACACACAGCTGTCAAAAATGACGTCAACCCCCTTTTTATAGCATCGAACATGATCACGCAAATCAGCATGATAAGAACTACCTAAAATGACAGAAACTATTTGTATGGAAAATGTATTAGACATATACTTTGATCTTTCAGTTTGGCTCATGTCCTGTTTGCTTACATGGAGGGGGCGGGGTTTATGACCTATACTGCAGCCAGCCACCACGGAGTGTCAGCTGCCATGTTGTCCATCTTTATATACTAATAATAAAAATACTCATAAATTACTGCTTGTTTTCTTTCTGTGTGACTATTACAAGTCAATCATGTTTGTGAAGTTCGTCAAAGACTCCTGAAAATCAAACAATCTCTAAGATATACTGTACAATAAACTGTCTTTTGGCAAACAAAAATGAACAAGTCTGTAGCCTTGTGTTTCTCAAATGGGGGTATGAGTACCCCTAGGGCTACTTTGGAGCACTGCAGGGGGTACGTAAGATTTTTTTTTCCGCTGTTAATTTAAGAATGATCAGTCATGCATAATTCCTAAAATAATTAAACTCTAACAAGTTCAATAAAAAATGAAAATGTCAGAATGATTAGCCATATTCTAGATTCACTATACTAATTTCCAACACAGTCATTAACTGCCGTAAACTGTCAACTGCTGCAACAAACGCAGTCACCTCCATGTTAAAGTGTGTCCCCTGTGTTTCTACCTAAAATGTGTTGCACTGGTCAGAGGGTACTTGGCTGAAAACATATTTCAAAGGGGGTACATTATTTAAAAAAAAATGTATGTGCATGTCACTTTATTCATCTCAAAAATGCTGGTGTCTGTGCTCTGTGTCATATTCTCAAATCCTACTCTGGCTATCTGTTCCAAGTTTGTCTTGAAATGTGAAAAGGGGCTTTTAGATATGCTGCCCTGCAGCTTGGAATTTGCTGCAGACTAATTTGGGTCTTGGGGAGCTGCTGGTCTCTTCAAGTGTTTTTAAAAGTAGATTGAGGGAGTTGGAGGAAGGTGCATTAGGTTGTAGATGCTTTTACTGAATATGCCTCTTTCTGACTCTGGATATGTTTGACCTGATTTCTTAACCTGCTGTGGTTCTGTGTTTTTTAATGTCTTTAACCGTTAAATGTTGTTTGTCTGCAGCTTTGTTTGATGTGCTGCTGTCTTGGCCTGGTCACTTTGGATTCTTAATCTGAATGAGATCTTCCCTGGTTTAATACATTTTGAATAAAAATAAACAGAACTACTGCTGTATTCAACCGCAGATAGACTTCAATCAATCAATCAATCAATCAATCAATCAATTTTATTTATAAAGGCCAATATCACAAATCACAATTTGCCTCACAGAGCTTTATAGCATACGACATCCCTCTGTCCTTAGGACCCTCGCAGCAGATAAGGAAAAACTCCCCCAAAAAAACCCCTTTAATGGGGGAAAAAAAATGGTAGAAACCTCAGGAAGAGCAACTGAGGAGGGATCCCTCTTCCAGGACGGACAGACGTGCAATAGATGTCATACAGAACAGATCAACATGATAAATTAACAGTAATCCGTATGACACAGTGAAGACTTACCTCTCCTGCATAGGAGGCAACTGTATCCAACTGTTGAATCTGGGATCATAGCGGCTGACAAAATTAGTGCTGTGCTTTCCTGCAAAACAGATATACATCAAGATCAATGGCACTGATTACTCAAACGACTTAGCTGAGTGAGTCTTCATAGCACCATACAGTTCAGGCAGACTGTGGCAGTGCTCAATCCTAAGTGGTTAACTCTTTGCCAAATTCTTTGCAAAACACAGTACTAATAAAATGCACAACTGTGACTCTGCAAGTCTTCATTTAATATAAACATATTATCTGAAAATCACCGCCCACACATAATGATTTTCTGTGTTAATAGGTGCTGCTTTTCACCCCCATTAGAGTTAACAAGTGTTGACTGAACTCTTGTTTTTCCAATAATAGAGTGATCTGGTTTTAGAGGATAATCTGTTCAAGGCATCTTAAATTATCTCTAATGATGTGTTTGTATTGTGTTGATTTTCACTCTCAGAGCTAAACAAACACGACTAATATCACTGTGTGCTGCAGTGAATCAGTCGTGTATTCTTGGTAGATTAAGAACAAAAGGAGGGTATCAGATTTTCTGATCATTTGAAGTCTTTGTCCCTTCCTATGGCGGTGTGTTTCCACCATTTCGCAAAAAGCACTTTTAACACTTCCGCACCACAAATATTTCACTGTTAATAACAGTTATTTTTCTATGCCAATTATTGACAAGTGTTAATTGGAGTGTTGTTTGTCCACTCAGAGCTGAACTGGCTCTAGGATAAGTGTTTGAAACTATCGGAGAGTGTTACATTAACTCTGATGGGTTTGAACTTGCATAAACTCCGGCTCAGAGCACTCTCTAAATGAAGCAAACACTGGCTAATTTGCTGCGTGAAACCACGGCAGAGCAAGACGTTCAGTGTGTGGTGTTACTGTACCATTGGGGTTCCACTGGTCCTCTCCGCCCAGCAGCAGCAGGAAGTTCTCCACCTCCACCACGCAGTGATGGGCACTGTTGTAAGGCATTACTAGACGAGACACAGAAATCAAAGCTGTCAGTCACTGAAACATGGAAATGATTGTCAATAAATGCACTTAAATGATATATGAACACAGCTTTTGCCTATATCACCATTACAATTGCCTCTCACAAACACACCAAGTGGTAGTTTCAAAAACACATCTGTCTGATTATAAAAACAATTCAGGGGCAACAAAAACAGCAGTGTTTTCCATCAACCATTAATTAATAAAGCCTCTATTTACTGTGTGTGGGTAACCCGTCAATTACATCTCTAGTCTTGTACTGCAACACAGAACACAGAATCATTTACTTGAGATTTTTTTCTTTTAGCGAATGAGAAAAGAGAGAAAAGCAGCTGTATGTGACATTCACAGCATTAATATAGCAGCAAACAACTATTTGCCATGTAAAGATCACGATGAAAGATGATGGGATCACTGGAGCAGAGAATAACGTCACACTCCTTCTGTGTGTGCAGTAATCCGAGCTTCTCTGTTCTTTGTTGCGGTAGACAATCCAGAGAGTCCCTGTGTGTGTATCCCACTGGCTAGCAAATCGCCAGCGCTCTGCACTGCACTCAAATGGTGGTTACTGCTGATTGCAGCCCTGACCAACGTGGTGGAACGTCGCCATCATGGAAGCGCAACACCCACCCTCTGTTCCCCCAATTTACCCCCACATTAAAGCATAAGCATACAGTAGACCCTATTTCCCATGTTTTTGTATCTAGTACCCCGTTTCCACCAAAATTAGCGTGTGTACACGTATTTTTAAAACACAGAATACACACTTAAAATAGGCTTTAGACTCCATTCCCATTGCCAGTAGACTAGAGCCACATACACAGCTCTGCAGCAGATGAGAATGCCTTTCCGACATCACAGACAGGCCAGAAAACCGGTTAGTAAACAGTAGAGAGCAGTATGGAGGCCAGTGAAAAGGTTACGGTGGTTACTTCTTGTTATTTATCTCTTACTTATTCAGTCTCTCTTTCACACTCAGTGCAGACTAATTTGAAATGATGAGTGCTGCTTGGGCGGAGACAGCGGTATTTTGTGATGGCACGACAATGCCCGTGATTAGCGCAGACTTATTTGACCCAGGTGTGAATGTCAATTGTAACCTTTCCCATTACATACAAAAGCCAGATGTAGCGGGGGGTTTTTTGCAGTGAGAAAGGGGCTTAAGTGACAACAGTTTTGGAAATTGATTGATGAAACTGATGATGTGAAAATTTGCAGGCTATGTTCAAGCTAAAATCACTGTTCACTTAAATGGAGTCTGATGGCTTTGGGAATAGCAATTTCTGGACTGCTTCTGGTGAAACAAAAAGGATCTACCCCTTAACCAAAAGGTCTGTCTCTGTAGGAATCCTTTCGAAAATGTTGTCAGACACCTAGAACAACCGGAGCCTTTTACTGGCAAAAACAAGCACTCTTCATGGACGTAAATCGACGTTGCATAAATTCCCTGTGTGGTTACATTGCAGCCTGTTTCTCAGCTGCAGCGGTCTCGCTCAAGGCTGGACAGATTTCAAAAATATTTGTTCCAATTAGTCACTTAGGCACAAAAACATTGGGAAAGGGTCCAGGTTGAAAAACACATAAGTTTACGTTTAACATTGTTAGCTTTGTAAGCACTGTTGCAGTTGTTAGCACCGTTAGCAGTTTGCAGTCAATCCGGGCCCAGACTCTGAATCATAGATATACTTTGAATGTTGCATACAACTCTGTGAAAGTACTAAAAAAATGAGTCTGCCATCAAATATAATCTGAAATATAGTTTTGCTCAAACACACAAAACATACTGAAAACAGGACACCTGCACTGGCTCATCACTGAACAAAGCTTGAAAGACTAGTCATGGTTCTGTTCTTATTACCGATCCCTGATATTCTGAAGGTCTGGACTGGACAGTAAGTGTTGGTCTCAATGGAATGAGGTTCTTATTTACTGAATATCCGTACAATTTACCTTTCTAATAAGCAATATTTGTACAGGCAGTGTTTCTCTTTCAAGGACTATTTTTATTTTGTCACGCTGAGTGTCCTATTGTTGAGCAGGGAGCGCTCATGGTACATATTAAGGTCAAAATTGATTTAATTTGCAATGTACTCATCACAACAGGCCAACGTGCTTGTTACAGTGACACAGGCAGACGTCTACTGCACAATTGCCAGTGTGAGTCAATGTTATAGAATTTATTCCCCTCCCCGTTGCTTTTGTTTTGTAACCTTCCATTCATCCATCTACAGGAAGTGATTTCTTGTGGGGAATCAAGCCTGTTGACTCTTAAACTGGAACAAATGAAAGTACGAGGCAGAGGAAACGGTCCACTGTGTGTCACGATATCTATCTATCAATCTATCTATCTATGGACTGAATCTCATGGTACTAAAATATTCTACAGCAGCTACTCATCTCGTAATATATTGAGTATATCCAATAAATATAATCTTTGTATATTATACTCATACAAGTTAGCATAACCGGCTACAAGCCCACAGCTGCAGCAGGACCCCTTGTGGAGGATTTTCCCTTGTGTATGTTTTTGTGCTCCCCTCCTCTCCTCCATCTTCTTTTGCTGAAGTGACCCCATTGAGATGTAGAGAAATGGTCTTAGGTGACAGTCATAATGAACATGATCGTGTTCACTCAATAAATCTCAGGCCTGGTGCTTTTTGAGCACAAATCAGTGAAATGTTAAAGCCCACCTGTCTGTCTCCATCAGTCATTTCCACTGTCACCTCCCCACCGCCTGATGGATCACAGTTGCTGCAAAATTAGACAGCCTTGAATCTCATTTCTTTCCAATTGGCCTCTCCCTGCAATCTCACTCTGGCTGGCTGACATGTACCGGTCCTCTATGGGAGGGGAGTCTCAGATAGGAACTAATACTACATACACTAAACACAGCTTTATCTCAAAACGAGGGGATTAGGTTGCCTGCCTCCAGTGCACCTCAAAGACGAGTGCCATATGACTGCCAAATTCCCTTACATGCTATTTACATTATCATTCAGTCAGCAGTATATAGGACATGGATGGGCGGCTTTTTATTTGATGTCGAGCGACTTGTACTCGTACTAAAAATCATCTTGTACCCATGTGAAAAGAAGATTATTGCTTTACAGTATGCCACAGGCTGCAGTGTGAGAAGTGCTGTGGGAGGATTTGGGACATTTGCCTGCCTCTACAGGTGCCTCAGATACAGGTGAACAGTAGGATAAGTAGCAGGCTATAATAATTGACTGTAATAGTGTTGTGCAGTGGAAATAATAAAACACATCAATTATTTTTCCTTCTACAATGTGTGAGACTTTACTGAGAATTATCGCTTGAGAAAGAGTATGAAATTAATATACCTCTCTGTCCCCTCTTTCCCTAAATCTTGCACTAACCCCAGGGGTGAACAGCCATAGGAGGGCAGGATGAGCACGTCCTCTACGAGATGGACGCCATCACTCTAGTATACAGTGAGCTCTAGGGCTCACTAGAGGGAGTCAGAAACCTCTGCATAGAGGCACAGTCGGGGTTGGTTGAATGACTCCACAGCTAATGCACCACTGCTGCTCGAGCTCTGACGTGCCTTTAACACCATTACAATTGCATCCCACTGAGGTGAATTCCTTTGTTCTAGGCCATGCTGCGTAGATGAGGTCCATTTCCAAGTGGGGGATTTTAATATCAGGTTGGTTTAAAAGAAGAAGCAGAGAATAGTCCAGCATTGAGGCTGAGCCTGCGCCTGCCTTTGTCTTGTGTTCGTCCACGCTGCTGTGGGTACACTAGATGGCAAACTTTACACTGGAATCACCGAGCAGTGGATCTATCTGACACAAACGAGAGGGATCAGATTCTTCCCAAATTGTGTTGATGAATGTCTTAATCAAAGGCTGTCCCTCTCAGGTTTCGCCTCATTGAAAAGTTATGATTGAATGTTAATAATCTTCTATTCCACATCCATTGTGTGGAGGCTACATCAGATGGTCACTGATGTGTTAAGGGGATGATTTTGCAGTTTTGTCCTTCCACTTGGCCACGGACCATTTGAGTGTTAACTTTTTAGTTTTTGAGTGATGGAAATCCCTACTGACCTTTTGCTTTGTTGCAGTCTATACCCAGGAGTGTGAGTTAAATGAGAAAATGACAATATAAACAGCAGCGAGCTGCAGGCTGTTGTGTATGCATGGCTCCTTCAGTAAAATGCACCCTGATAGATTTGGCCAAACATACTGTAAGCTCAAATAAATTACTGCCAAGAAATCTTACAATTCGAGGCGGAGGAAAAGCAATGTCCAAAACTTTCTCTGAATTTAAGACACAAAAAGAAACCAGATTCTTAAAAAAAAAAAAAAAAAAAAACTCGTGCCATGAAGTGAGAATATAAACGGCACAGTCCCGAGCTGACAGAAAACAGAGCTATGGCTAATATGTACGAATGAAGAGACACTGCTGAGGTATGGCTCCAACCAAAACAAAAGGACAAAAACTCAATATCTGGCAATGATGATGCAAAGGACAAATATGGTTTCCCATTAGCTCTCGTTTGACCTTTGCAATATGACAACAATATAGTGGTGAGCCATAAAAGGTCAGGGAAGACAGAGAGAAAGAAAGAGCATAGTATACTTTACGGAGGTGAAGTGCTGCAGGAAGTCTCAAATAACCTCTTTATGGGCACTACATTATTTTCAATAGAACAGATTCTTTTGGGAAACTATGACTGTAACTTTCTTTCAGTATGATATAATGAAATCAATATCCTAAACTGCACCCCAGTATAAATTCTTACAGGTTAGAGGATATTATATTTTTGCTATTTAGTCAATGAAAATCAACATTACAGCTGCTGTGTGCTACTGACCCCATCTATCTCTGTGGTATTTACCTCACCTTATATAAACCTAATATCAATACTGACACCAGGTCAACAGGCTGCGTTTTAGTATGTATGGGGTAATTCAATCTCATGTATTGATCAATGTGAGTGAATAATCAAGCTACATTTAAGAGCTATTGAGGAAACATGTCATTCATTATAGTTCTCTCTCTCTGCCACAATAGATCATTAGATTCAAGTAAATCTCATCATGCATCCTGCCAGCATATTTCAGCAAAAACAAGGGAAACCGGGCATGAAGCTCCACAGTGCTGTGAAGTCACGCTCTGATTAAAAACTTATATTAAAAGTGATAGTGATACATTATTACCTAAAGGATTTAGGGAACTCCTTCCCCTCATTTTCCATGGAAATTAACCTGTGTTAAAGTCATCCATAGGAACAACTTTTTCTCATCATAAAAGCCACTAACACAAGATGCCTCAGGTAAAAAAAAAGAAAGCAGCAGAGCCTTTTTTTACTCACTTGTGAGGATCTTCCATGTCTTTTTCTCGTCGTCATAGTACTGGACCAAATTGCTGGGGAGACGATCAGGTCCAGGAGGCAAACCACCCACCAGTAACAGCATTCTCTTATTGGAACGGATTCTGTAATGTCAAAAGTGTGGGTGTGTGGACAGTGTTAGGAAACAGAGAACAAAACAGGTATTAAGCCTTAAAATAAAGCTGCTAAAAACAGGCCAAAATAAACTTGACCCTGACCTGAGCATCTTTAATTTCTTAATTTACACACCTACGTTGATAGCAGCAGCTGGCCTGCGTATTTTGCTTTTCACTCTGAGAATGCTCAGTGTATGAATGAAATAATCAGTGAATGAATTAAAGAACAAATGCATGGTTAGGTGAACCCTTGTCTGGGTACAGCCACTGAACTTGAAGCTACTAAACAGGCAGTATGTGGCCACGTTTATTATAATTAACAAAAAATTGCTCAGCAGCATACTTATCCTTTTGATGTGTTATTGAATGGTTATTGTACTCTAAAGATATCTTTTCAATTAGCTGTGAAGCGAAGACGATCCTGCAGGGTGCCATGCTGGAGGCTAAAAGCGCAATTGAGTACATAAACCTGCCTATACAATGTCTCGATTCCATTGGCTGCAGTGATTCATGTGACATCTCAGAGCCAGTTGTGAGATATTTCCTGCTGTTTGTATATGATATATAACCCGAAAGCGGCACACTTTGCTGTACATTAATGACCGTTATCTGGCTCCTAATGGATTTGAACACAAATCCACCAATTAATCACAATATGCAGTAAAAAGATTAAGAGCAGCTGGCCTTTATGTTCAGTCACGTTCACCTTTTTTCATATTTTACTTTTTCATGCTTGGGAAAACCTCCGTCGTCTCGGTACATTCTCTCTGCTACTGCCCCACTCGGAAGTGTTTTGGGGTTATTCATATGCAAATGAGCCCCTGGACATAGATAATGGTGATTAATTGAGAGGAGAGAAACAGTGGCATGTGAAACTAATTATGAGGATTCCTGATTCTTTGCTCATTCAGGTCCATATGTGGGAATAGATATGTTATTGGGATAATGGAGGAATAGGTACATGTGGAATGATTTCACTTTAAGGTTCTTTGTGCAAAATTAGATTTTTTAGTTCTCAGTGCCACAGCTCTAATTTTCTGCTCTTCAGAGATATTTGCAGTGAATTCCGAATTTGAATACTGATGCCATCACTACTCATAAGATTTTTAAAGCTTTGGCTGTACAGTTAGCTCTGTAAACAAAATCTGACAACAGCACCATCAATCAATCAACTTACTGACAACGCCTGCCTACTTACCAGCTCCTTAAAGTGCTGATCAGGACAAAAAGGGAAGTAAGACATGCAGCTTGGCCTATTTTTGTGTGAGTGAGACACATTTGTCTAACCTGGAAATAGGGAGCATTGTCAAATTGTTCCTTATCTAATAAATCCTCAAATATAATACACACCCAAATATATTGAATAACCTCTGACTGTCAGTTTTGTTTATAATAAGCTTGATAGCTGGAGTGTCCTTGTTCCCATACCAGAATTGCTACATAATTACCATGTAATTCTGGCAACAATTAAATTACAGCATTTCAAATTGTATTCATGAGAGTTGCTACACATCAAACGCATAACCTTTATCTAGTTTGCTGCATCTTGTCTACACTGATTAGAGAGCAATTACACAGATGTGTGAGGAAATAAAGAGTTGTTTTTTCTTCACTAAAACATAAGGTAACCTTGTAATTATGGATACAGTGTAGCATAGAGTAGATCAAGCCCCTTGACAGCTGGCAGTCTTTTACAGGAAAAGACCCACAATCCTCGTTAAGTGGGCCTCAGACCTCACATCTCTGTCTGACCACCTACATAGTCTAGACTACACAGGCGCTGCGACCAGTGCTTGAGCGAGTGGGCAATACTTGAGTCGGCAATTTGTTCAAATTTAACAAGAGGGAGGCATTTAATCGCCTTGCGTCCACCCTCAAACAGCTCATTGCTGTGTGCGTGTGTATATGTGTGTTTGTGTGTGTTTCTCTTTTGTATCTGTTTGTCTGTCTCATCCTCACCTGCTGGCCGTGGTCTGCCTGCAGTGCTGCCTGAAGGGCATCAGGTGGTAGTTCATGGCATCCAGGAGCAGTTTCTGGCACACAGGGTCACTCCTCATGAAGTCAACAGACTGCACCCTCTCCACCAGCTCTGGAGCAGGTATGAGGGCGAAGCGCAGCCTCTTCATAAGGTCCGGCGCATAGTGCATGCGAGTCTCCCGGTCATGCTCCAGCCAGAGGACTGACATCTGGAACAGAGCCAGCTCTGACTCCACCGGGGGTGGCAGAGCATCTAGCATGGCACACATCTCCTCAAAGTTCAGCAGCAGCACATCCTCCACCAGGTACTTGTTGGCCAGCTTCTTGGTCTCATCCAGTCCATGGAGTGCGGCAATCTTGCAGATCTGCTTGTAGTTCTGCACAGAGATCTGGTCGTTGAGGAACTGCACGCTGAGCTTGGTAATCTGGGGGATGTTGAGGATCTTGCTGACTGACAGAACCTCTTCCACTGTGTCCAGGGAAAGAGTCACGTTGGCAGTGTACAGGTACTCCAGCACTAATCGTAGTCCAATGGAGGAGCAGCCCTGGAGTACCAGGTTATTGATGGGCCTGGCGCTGGGGGTCACCAGCTTGTCATCAGGAGAGGATGAGGGGGTCCCACTGCTGCCCTGGTCCCCTTTGCTCCCCTCATTGTTGATTACATTGTGGGAAGAGAAGAGGGATCTGAAATACTGGGAGCAGGATGCCAACACAGCTTTGTGGCAGTGGAACTGCTGTCCCTGGGCAGTGAGAGTCACATCACAGAAAAGCTGTTTTCTCCATAAGAGATTGAGCCCGTGCAGCAGGGTGTCACTGTGTGTTGGGTCAAAGGTGGATGTTCTATCACCCGATCTGGACATGACTTCCTGACTGTGAACGCCACCTAGGCAACAAATAAACCATGCAAGCCATTTACCTCAGGTCATGTATTTTTTTTTTTTTTTTTGCACAACACACGCAGCCTATAGATCAGACAACTATTAGAATAGAAAACGATCTGTCGAGTAAGTTATTGAACAGATCTCCCGTCCATCCAGCGGGGAAGAGCCATCACGCCATGCCAGCCGGCGAGAATCTACATCCAACACGGCTTCTTTCAACTTTGAGCTCTGGTCGTAAAGCAACAAACAAAAACGCAGTAGTTCCCACAGCGTGCCACTCTTATTCATTCTTAAGTCAAGATGATTTAAATGGAGGCTGAGGTTTTGAAGGGCGCTGTCAAAACAAACCGAGGATACGGAGATGCTGCAGCGCTTTCCCCCCTCGGTACCGCGGCTGAAGTTGTCGGATCAGGAGAAAGAGACACGGTGGACGGATAACATGCAGCATTCAGCCAACACTTATCCCTTCTCCTATCTTGCTGCACACCCCCACAATGAGGACATTACACATCGCACAGATTTACGGAGTCATACAAAAGCAATTAGTTTGTCTCCGAGCCGTCAGCAGCAGTACGGGTGCGTTTCGCTTTTAGCCTACCTGAGTTAAGCGGACGTGAGTATCGGAAAATATTCACTGAAATGCAGCTTTCGGTAAAGTTAGACGTAATATGCATATCTATTGTTTGCCAGGCACTACAAACAAGCGATTTCTATGTGCGTAATGTGTGTAAACTTGACACAAGCGTGCTGTAACGTTGTCGCCAGATTCACTAAAAGCGCCTGTCACAACTAAATGATGTGAGCAGCTCGCCTGAGAAGGAGCCAAACTTACCTGACTTCAGCTCTTGACAAAAAAGAAAGTAAGCTCCGGGTTCCCAATATTCTCACTTGAATTTTTCCTTTGTTCTCCTTTTTAAGAAATGTCCTTTTTCCCCTTTAAAGTCTATAGTCGGTGGTGTCTCAAAATAACCATTGATTCCAACTCATAAAGTCACTATTTTCAGGTTATTTGTTGACGTTGATCATTTGTTCTTCTGAATTAACAAGAAGTGTGTGAGTGTGTGAGAGGGAGCTGTGCTTTCTGCAAGAGAAGAAGAAGAAGAAATATACGTGTGACAAATTATGCTACCAAGAAACAACACATCATTATCCTTGGGCCTGGGGCTCAGTGAGTCGTAACGAGAGTAATAGGAAATCCACGGTTGGGGAGAGAAACGGTCGTGCATGGCCGGTGGAGAGAGACCATGCAGGGGTATGGATGCTGGAGAGACTCGCAAAATTATGGCTCAAGGCTATTGTAAAAACTGTCGAGCGTAAATGACTGCGATTTCAAACATCTATGGAAGAAAGAAAAGAGAAAGGGGGAGAAAAACCGAGTCTTTCCCTCGCTGTTATAGAGAGAACCGTCAAGTTTTAGTGCGCATTGCTAATTAGTCAATTTCTCTCTGCCTTCACAGCCCGACGACTTTGCTGCTGAGCTGAAACTGCTAATTTCTGGGACCAGCCTTTTTTTGGCTGTGAACTGGATGGATGAATGGCTTGTCTCGCACAAATGACAAAAAGCCCCTGCCTTAATCTCCATCGCCAAAATAACCCCTCATCTCATTCTGCTCCTGCTAGTCCTTCAAAAGAAGGTGCTCTACACACACTCAAGTTTTGCATCTGCATCATAAATACTACATGCACTATAATGCCCACACATTGTGTATAATGTTGAATTAAAAGCACAGACACCCCCCTTTGTTATTCCTATGTGACAAAAGCATCAGACCACACACACACACACACACACACACACACACACACCATGAAACACAACACATGCCTGAAGTGATGCAAAGTTATCAAACAACAAGTCTAAGATAACATACAGTGTTTCATGTACTATTATCTTGTCTGATCAGTTCACTGTTTCACAAGCTGAGGTCTAGCTGCAGGCCTGAAAACACAAAGGGTTGAAACCTAATACAACATCCATCAGCACACAGTGGTGTGTTGTTGTACGTGAAAGTCCCAGTTGGATATTCAGATTCCATATAGCCGCACACTTTCGCCTACAAGACTGACCTTTATCCATTAAAACAAGCCGATCGATGAGAATAAGACTTGTTGTCATGTGTGAATGTCCGCTTGACCTTATGGTGTAATACATAGCACTCACAAACAACCAACAAGCTGAAAGTCCAACCATGGCTGTAGATGTGAGGGGGGATGCAGGGGACACGTGCCCCCTCAGTATTTATAACGTGCATGAAAGAACAAAACAATTATTTTGACATAATTAAAGACATTTACATCATAAACTAATGCAGAAAAGACACAAATTGGTGCTATCAATTCATCAGAATGCAGGAAATTAAGTGTTTGATGCTCAACATTTTCCCCCAAACCCCCCATTTCACATGTCCCCTCAGTTCTGAAACAAAATCTACACCCTTATATATTTATTTTAGTTATTTATTTAGCCTTCATTAAACTAGTAAGTGCCCTGCGATAGTCTGGCGACCTGTCCAGGGTGTACCTTGCTGGAATAGGCTCCAGCCCCCGTGCGATCCCTAACAGGATAAGCGTTTACGGAAAATGAACGAATGAATAACCAGGAAGTCCCTTTGAGATTGGAAAACTCTTTTACAAAAGAGACCTAGCTGAGGTAGCAGCCAATCAAAACACATTTAAAATGCAACAAATACAACATGTAATACAAAAATCCACAATAAAATGTAGATTCAGTTATGACTGGAGGTGATACAGTGCAATATGTGATGCATTATATCGATTTTATATTGATATCGTGAAATGAGACTGGACACTCTTAGATTTTCGATATGGTCATATATATGATATCATAATAGTGTTGTCTTTTCCTGGTTTTAAAGGCAGCATTACAGTAATGTGATGTAATTTTCTCTGACTGTTTTAGCTGCTCTATTATTTTGTGAAAAGCCCCAATAGCTAACTCTACAGTATCGTCACAATATTGATATCGAGGTATAGAGAGCTGCTTTTTTTTTTAAGGCTGAAGTGGAAGTTAGCATCGCCACGGGTCACGTGTCAAAAAGCGGGAAAACGGGAATTTTTCATTGGCATTCGGATTATTGCGGAAAATTAACTCTGTTGCAAAGAAACGTTTATTGTGCTTACACGTTTTGTTCAGCAAGATAATCTTTGCAGATGACACTGCTTTTTCTTTTTAGGAGTAAATGAAATTGCCAAAATGAAAAAGCTAACGTTTGACTATAAATGAACTACATCATGGTCGCATGACTTCAACGTCGCCACGACAACAAGCCGTTTTCAGAGAGAAGATGTTCTGTAGTCTCATTAAGCCACTTTTTAGAGACACATAAAAGCGTCAAAATTATGTTTTATATCATAGAACCAAATGTAAAAGCCTCTTAAGCATGCAGACCTTATTTCAGGTATCTAACCCAAAAACCTATAAAAAAAAAACATGAAAGTGCAGCAATGCTAACTCACTTCCGTGTTTTAGGACTCATTCCTGCAGCACATTATTCAGTCAAAAATATTGTGATATTTTTCCATATTGCCAGGCCCTACTTTCAGTTCTGCATTATAAATCCAGTTACTATCATAATCCTTGACCGTATCTTCATTTACCACAGTGTATTAACTCCTCTCAGTTCTGTGTAGTTCCTGTCTGAGGTGTGAGGTCTGATGTCTTACACTGACATTTAAAAACTTTGGGGAAAAAAGCCATCTAATTTTACCATCTAAATTAAGGCCGTATCCTTCCTATGACCCTGTGCATAAATAGTCCTAATCATTAGTAGACTGGCACCGGGTGGATGCAGGTTCAAAATAAGCAAAATAATATTCCAGTAAATCCAATCAAAATCCGTTAGAAATGACTTATTAGGACAGAATAAACTGTCAATTAAATAAAGAGCTCAATTAGAGTACAGAAACTTACATGCAGGACTCCCGTGGGACCAGAAGTGACAGATACCTCACAAGTTATGAAATGACAGATAGGGATAAATGGGTTTGTTCATGTACTATGAAATAGAGCAACACCATGCTACCGTCAAGCAATAACAGGCCACATATAGGTAGCATTTATAATAGATGGCACCACAACATTGTTTGATGCTTGATTATTTGACAAGCACGCAGCCTGCATATCCCCCACTCGTAGTTATACAGAGCAAATTCATTCTAGACGAACTCTGTGAGATGACTGATTGGATTGTGCACTGCATCTCAAATAATAATCATCACTGAAGGAAAAATATAACACTGTTGTATTAATTAGTGGTTTGTAACCACTAAGAAAGCAGTTTGTATTGTTGTTTACGGCCATTATTGTGTTGCCTCGTTTTCAAAGCACTTGCAGAGCATTACAGTAGCTCGCTGTATTTCACTTCGGAGTCGCACACTGTTATCTCTACTAGCACTCAGTTAGCACTACATTACCCAAGTCTCGAGCGAGCTATTCTAACGCAATAAAATGACCATTTCCAACTCTTTCAGCTCTTTGTAGCAACTCAGTCTCCTGAGGCCACTGGTCTTCAGATTGCAGGGCGTTTATGGTTGTAAGTTGTTGCAGTGTGCAGAGGGAGGGGGGGTCATCAGATAAGAGAAGAATTTCTAGACTAATTAAACCCTTTGAGACAAAGAATCACACCACAGTGATTTACAACTCTCTGTACCAGTTAACCCGACTCATATTTATCTGTCATATTACTCAGATACTATATCTACCTCTATGGGTAAGGAGTCTTTACATCTTTTTGTCCTCAATGTTAAAGATAAAGGGGAAGATGTTAGAGTAAATAACAGCAACATGAGATTTAAATACTGCAGTTCACTCAAAGAGACAGCTGCTAAAAAAAGGTACAGAAAGATCCTACTTACTATCTTTGTACTGCTTGTATTATAGCATGATTTCACATTGTTAGTAATACATAAATATAAAACAAACTGTAGGCATTTTTGTGGCCTTGAATAACTGATTAAAGTGTGAACATTTAATCTAATCAGTGCAATGAAACAAAACAAAAGGAGAAGCTCCAAAGTTGTGAATAGCAAAGTCTACCAGGCATAATTCCTTTTGCTGGCTGCTGCAGAGGGGTATGCTAAGATAGAAAGTATTATTTTCCTAAATGGAAGGTGTCAGATGGTCACGGAAATGTGATCGGCTGTTCAAGATCACTGCTTCCCATCTGCAATTTGTGACGTGTGAAAGATTCAGCCCAAATGTGCTCACCAAGCGTAAATCCTCAGCACTTTCTCTTATCGTGGAAAAGCAAGATAACCAGCTGTTTACAGATCAGAGAACATATCATATTAATATCATGGAGAGGGTGATATCATCTTGTTTGTAAAATATTTTGTTAACTAAGTGTGGTGTGGTATGGCAACCTATAAAGTGAAAGTTGTAATTTATGTGTTAGTGAAAGGTTGTTTTCTGATAAAAATATTAAAAGGGGGGAAAACAGAAAATGCAGCAGGCAGCCTCTTTAGAAAGATTGTGGTGAGACTGAATTAATGCAAACTGCAGGTTACAGTAAAGACTGAATTATAAAGCTTTCAGCACTTACATTTAAATTAAAGACCCCCAGCCTCAATCCCAGTTAACTATATGTCTGAACACAAGCACACAAGCATCTGTCTCCCTGTATTTATATAATCTGAGAGAAGCAGGAAATGATATTATAATGTGATATGACTGCTTTGGATATGGAGGCAGTTACTATACTGTATTGGAAGTGGTTTTGATTGGGAGTCCCTGTTTCAGAGTCCCAGTAAAGTGTAACTTTAACTGTCTGTGGCGGTGGTTGTACCAGTTTGTCATCTCCCGGGAGTAGCTTCGGCATGAAAGGAACAAATGAGTTCACTTGAAGCATTAGTTTAATCTATAGAGGTGAGGAGAAAGTGAAAGGGTCAGTTAAAGTGCAGCAGCTGTTGTGATGAATTTGGAAATTCGAACAGATGCATTTGAGTTTCATTGATTTAATATATATGATTTTTTACATATATTTTGATACTGGGAGTGATTAGCGCGTGCTTGTCATCTCAGATCAAAGTTAGTCAGAGATGATTCATAAAACGTCCACTGTGTAATATATTGGAAGCACTTATATTTGCCATTCAGGGAGTATGGGAGACCTGCTGTTTTAAACCCCTAGATCCCCACACATGGCGTATAGCCACCACAGACACGGCTCAGAGAGTCAGCCGGCAGCCGGGAGGTGAGCAGAAAGGAACAGGCGGTGTCCCCTTCAGAGTGAGCACAGGAGCATGTGTGTGTGTACAGTATGCGTGTGTGTGTGGCATTTCTCAAATGACAAAAGGATGCCAGTTGTGCAGTTCAGGTGGGAGGAGACATGGAGGTGGTGCGGAGACTCACCTGAGGGAGAGTCTGGGCAGTTGGGACCGGGGCTGTAGTGGCGACCTGGAGATGTGTAGGGGGCCGTGGGAGGCCACCGTGCTGTGGAGGAGGTTTGGGGGCTGGTGGGAGAGGGGGCTGCTGTTGCGCAGTCTCCCCAGCGTGATGCATCTACCTTCAGGGTGGCAGCAGGCGTGGAGTGGGGTGCGATGGAGCGAGCACGGGCTCAGTGGCGCGGTCACCTAGGGACGCTGAAGCTGCTGTAGCAGGACTGATAGTTATTCCTTGGGAGAATTGCAAGATGAGCCCCATTGTATTAGCAACCCCCTTCTACTGAAACTGTATCAATGTTCTCATGGCTTTAAAGAAAGAAGTTGGGGTGCAAAATATCTGACGCTTAACCGAGAAGCAAATGCTGAATGCGTTAAAGTTTTGTTCAGCAAAAGGAACATAATGGAGTACAATGTCTAACCTCTCTTCAAATAAACACAATGTAAAATGCAATAATAAACAAGGGTGCTCTAATTTAGCATAATATTCTAAACTGTATGTTTCGCTGTGAATCTGAATTACTGTCGTCAGAGTTAAACTTCAGTAAATTCCTTTGGCAATGGGAAGCCAGCAAATTATTCCATACTGATTTGAAAATTCTCAGACATTAAGCTTTTTTAATTTCCAAGCCATACTTTTGTGTTGCAAACTGTTTGAGTCGTATGTTTTAGAAATTCTCTGTGTCTAATATGGTCAGCACTCCCAATTATTCACTCCACTGACAAGTGAAACAAATGGGACCAACCAGTGCATTCTGTATTATCTACACCCCTTGGATTCCCTGACAATAATTAATACAATGGCAAGCTGCTGTTACCAGCCCCGACGACATGAGCTCAACAACATAAGCTCTCCCTTTCCAAAGAACTCTTGAGGGGAAATTACACCCAGCGCTGAGGTCATATACATCATGGCCACCGGCAGCCGGGTCACATCTTACTACTGTCTGTGAGCCTAGATCAGATAAAAGGTCTCATTGTAGGGTGCTGTTAACATCACCAGGTTATTACTCACATCATTACACCATGAATGTAAGGTGCATGGAATATGTCAAGAATAAAGAGATATACACTGACTGTCCTGTATATCAGGGAGGTTCATTTATATGCCACATAATCCTAGTGAAGCAGCAGTGCTGACCACCTCACTGCTGTGGTCACACGCCATTATGTAGTATTACTTCATTTGCTCATAATACATATTAACAGGAAAACAACATTACTAATATATCACATAACTAGCACATACTGTATTGGGTAATTTATGTGTGTATTTTTTGTTGCAATAGAAACAAACATTAGACTCATAATAAAACAAATGCAGACAATTTCTTGGTTCAACAGTCAACTGACCAATATGTCCTTTTAAAGAGTTGTCATGTAATCATAAGAAGCCCTCTTATTTTAGCCTGCGAGGATATTAACAGGTTTTTTTAATTATAGAGGAGCACATTCTCCTAACATCCATTAAAGGAATGCCATGCTAATTTTAAATCCTCGCAGCAGGCATTGGCATCAACAGAAGAAAAGTGGATGAGTTTCTCTTTAACAGCTGTAATTTGTGTTTTCCAATCACCATGCTGATTTCTGCTCATTATACTCCGGTTTCACACCGGTAAGTGAGCAAAGTTTGGATTGATTGACTCTAATTAACTAAAAAATGTTCCAAGCCATGGATTTATTATCATGCTAGCTAGCCACAAATGTCAGAGACTTTCACAAATTATTATCCTGTTAAGATAAATATCTTTGAAATCAAACGAGTGTGGCAACACAAGGAACATGTATTGTTATACTGATGAATTTGTTTGGCATGTTTTCTGCGGAGTTCCACATTAAAGACTCACCTGGGCAAACACTGTTCCAGTGTACTGTTAGGCTGTGCAGTATGACTGAATGACAGATGCTGTAGTTGCCTAAACTTTAAAGGAACACACTTCCTAATAACCTAGTGTGCTGTATAAACACTGAGGGGAGTGAACAGCAGACAATGTTTTTACTCAAAATAAAATATCCCCATAAGATACAAGATATTAACAACTATCATATGAAGCAGTGCAGAGCTGCCTGGTCTACTCTATGTTAACAGAAGACCTATTCCCTCCTGTGTGCTCCAAAACTTGGCAGTATCTCCCTCATTGATATTTTAGACACAGTAGCACCTCTCTCCACTCACATTCTTTCCTTGACTCCATCAGCTCCATGGCTCAACTCTCCACTTGCTCATGAACAAAGACAGGACGGTTTGAGTGGACACCTCCATTTTTTCCCTAGATTTTGAAACCATCTCAAAACAGAATTTTGGTTAGCTCGAGAAGGCAGAACGTTGCTCTGATTCACTCGGCTTCACGTCAACGATCAGAAGTGATCACTGGAGTGAATCCACACGAAACAGGCCCATCGTCTGCATGGTGGCGCCAGGCTGAAATTGAGAATCATGCTGCCTGTAAATCAGATTGCAAAATCTGCCTTTATACAAAAAAATCTCCTAAAACAGCTTTGATGTATCACAGACTACAACAACACAGTGAGGCTTGTGCTGTATATTCCATCCTCATCACACTGAAACAGGCATCTAACATAGAAAATACATCTCAGCTGTCAAGTGGCCCCATCAGTATATCCACAGTCCACCCTCTTTAGAGCAGCAGCATTTAGGTGTGTGCACTTTGAGGCACGCCTGCAGATAAATGTGATGACATCTAGTTGTGGCTCACTTTCATTTATTTAGGGGATTGATTAGATGCAAAGAGAGCAGATAAATGTGTTGGGGAGGCACTTTCATTTGAGATATTGCCATATAGTCAGTAAGGAATATGAGACAGACTCAACATTTTTCTCTTCAAGGTGCTTTTGGAGATCTAGCAGCACCACGCGAGTAGTCGATATGAAGTACCGCATTAATGCCATTATGCAGGATGTTCTGTGTGTATAATCTTACACAGTATATTTAAATTCAAAGCTACAGAGGAAAACTTTCTTAAAACTCAGATAAAACTCGCAGATAAAGGAGACAACATATATAAAAATATGATACTTATTATTCTGATATTTTAATTGACTGAATAATAATATTAACGTGATGAAATGCAATGGCCATTTTATGACACTAGACTGAGCCGTGTTGCAGTCAATTATGTCTTTCTAATGTTGTTGTGTTCACACTGCCCCCTTCTGTCCCCCCGAGTAGGAGAGGCATCCAGCATATCAACAAAACAACAGCGTCTATATCAACCAGACACAGACAGGAGAGGGCAACACATATTTCTAAGGAGCAGTCTAAAAGCATCGGCCTTGAAAAAAATCATGTGTGCACTCAAGAATCTTAAGACCATCGTTATTAACTTATTTAGAATTTCTTATGTAAATTAAAACAATGTAATAAGTCTGTTAAGATATAGAAAGTATTATTTATCCAGAAACATTTTACTTAACTTTTAAAGTCTATATGGAACAGCCATTTGTGCTGTGTACCATTAGTATGACATTGTTGAAACACGATGAAACAAAAATCTATTTTCTACAAGTACTAAATGTGATTCAGTTAAGATACCAAATTGAAAACAGTGTTTCCCCCGGGTTCTTTAGAAAGCCAGTGGATACTACGCACACAACATCCTTTTGTGCACACTATTTACCCCTGGATTGCTTCAGGCTAATGTCTCAATAATTTTCACTCCTTTCTCAGGTCCTTCCCACAAAGGACTTAACTAATGATCCATGGACAAAATGAAGCATTTAAATTTATTCATTAATCATTCATCTCCAGCTCATTGAAAATGCTAAACTTCCACAAAATTAAGATTGAATATTGAAAAGTGATTGAGGGAGACAGCTCTCAGAGAGTGAGGAGAGTGGAGGGGTGCGGGGAGCGGCAACAAAAACAGGGTCTTTCAACAGACAGTGGTGTCTACATGGGTATGGTCAAGGTGGCCAAGGTGTACTAAGTGCTAGTTAAGGTCACGGGGTTTCACTAGTTGTAATTAGATCTTGGAATCTGGAGAAGCGTAGAATTTCTGTCAACACTGCCTGTAATTATTCTCTTTTCCAATTAATGGTGACATAGATTAATTATCTGATGAGGCAAAGCCAATTGCAATCATTCACCCAGCTAAAATTAGATCAGTCCTGACAGCAGCATGAAAGTCACCTGTTTCATTGTTATGGATTTGCTGCAAGTAAAGAGGGGGGAATAGTGAAGCGTGCTAGGGTAAGTAAGTTGTCTGGTACAGGTGAATGTCCAATTACACTGCTATTTGAACTGAAGGCATCTACTCATTCGATCCTGGACTGGCTTGTTTGTTGACCCCGGCAACATCAGTGGTAGTAGAGTCATCTGTCAAGGATTGCAGGAACGCAGAGATGAGCTGAATTTCTGCTGACAACCCCTCCTGTTTGAATAAGAGAATAAATGAAAACAAGCTAATTAAGGAAATGCTGTTTGTGAAGAGAGGCAATGATACAAGCTCCTCGCTTTATGTGCATCCCACACACAGCTGATGGTGAGTCTACATTTGTGGAAGTAAAGTTACCATCGTGTTCTTATTTTTGTGAGGGAGGAGAACAAGAGGCTCCTGGTGAACCATGTCCAGGTTCAGTGCTCTTCTGTTTTAAAAACCTCAGCATCCAGTTTTTCTATTAAACTGCCTGGCACTGTCAACCAGCTTGGGAATCTGAACCGGCCTAGCCATGCAGAAATTCTCTGACTAACAATTATATCAGAAACAGGATCTTGGATTACAGTCCCCTGGGACTGGGGCAGTGGGCGTCTGCTCCAATCATTACTGGCCATTCAACAAGGCTCTGCACTGCTCTCCGCTGTTAGCCATTGTCAATTATGCCATCCCTAGTGTAAACTCGCAGAACACAAAGCTGAACTGCCAGTTCTGGCAGGAGTGTAACAGGATGACAGCCCGCCGCCCCCCACTCCCACCACCACCCCCGCCCACTCCCACCCGCCCACCCTAGGGTTCCCCAACCTTCCTCCCCTCAAGCTACTTTTGAGCAAACTGCCATTTGGCTTCTGATTCGAGCACGCCTTAGCCGTGAAAGCTCTAACCTGACCTCTCTCACGTTCTGCTTGTGGGGTTAAGTGGACATGATGGATTAGTATGGGCCTCGTCGGGATTCAGCCTGCTTTAGCTCCAGTCACAACTGGTATCAGTTCAATTGATTTCTTCATTTCTTTCTCATAAAGTGGCAATGATATTGATAATCTATGCATCATGTGTTTGTGAAGCTGTGTTTAGTAATGACCGACTGAAATACCCCGGTGCATAATCACTATCTAAATACTGTCAGTGCATTTCTTTGTGCATCATAAGCCACAATAAAGGTCTTAATATTTAGGTAATCATGCAGATTGCGTGTTTCTGCCTGCTCATAAACTCATAAAGGTTTTTTTTCCTCTTTTCTCATAAACGTTGTACTTTTTGGAGGACAGACGCTGAGCCGGACTGTTCATGAGGAGCCTGTTTAAAGTGAGTGTTGCCTGCTCTGATGGACCCTGTGCTGAGCTGTGACGGGTGACGGTGTGGTGCGCTTGAATACACCAGCTCTTTTGTCCTTCACACTCTGCAGCTCCCTGATAGCTCCTCCCCCTGTGCCCCACTCCTCCCTGCCTTGAGCTGTGATCTGCTGGGGCCTTTTGAGGCTGGGCCACTGAGACATGGCTGCTCCCTGTAATGTCTGGACCAGACCCATCAAAAAAACATGTCAGCCGTCAGAGGAGGAGGAACAGAGAAGGAAACCACTTAATAGTATTTTCACTAGGTACTCCCCTGGAAAACCTCTAATCAAATCTGACTATATTTCGCCTCCAGCGTATCTGATAAAGTTGCATTTGATGCAACAAATTAACCAACAAAAACAAAATAGGGATTTTGCACAAAAGCCACACATTGCAACTGACAAACATGGATAGCTGGGGTGTTCGGATCCCCGACTGTTGAGGCAAAGAGGAAGTAAAAAGGGTGGAAGTAGTTCATGGTATGGTTGCATGCCACCTGGCTCTGCGGTACTGCTGGACAGGACATTTCATAAAGATTCATCACTGTCCCTCTGTCCGCTTTGACCTCATCTCACATCACAGCACAGATTAGACACCGATTATCCTCTAATTGAGGATCCTTACTTCTCAACCTTGCAGAATATGCCGCTGCTCTTCTGCAAGACAGACAGAAGGTTATTCTGCTCACAAAGAAGAGGCTGCAACACAGATATCTTCCATGTGGCATGATGAACTCACTCTGAATTAGCCAAAAATGCCTCCTGCTAAACAGGAAGCAGGCTCAAATGGTAATGTGACCAAACACATAGTGTTGTGTATATAGAGTTATCTAGAGAGGCAGAGCAAGCCTCAGACACAGGGTCACTGCATAGGCACTCTAGCAGACACATCATCCATCACATGTGTCTGTGATCTGATGAGTGAATGTATAGACTGTAATGTAACAGTGGCGTCTTTAACTTTACCATAGCAGTGAGGCACAAAGCCTTGGTGGATGTTTGCCTGGCTGCCCTTGCTTGGCAAAGAAGACACAAGGCAACTGACTAGCCGGATGAGGCTCAAACAATGCCATGCATAACATGGAGTTACTGTAGTATGCAAAACAATACGCTTCCATCCGGTAGAATACCTAGACCGGGATAAAAGTTGAATAAAGGGATTTACCATTTAAATGAATGGTGACAGTTTGTGCAGTTTTCCAGCCTGTTTTACATGTATATGTACAAATACCTGGGCTGTTTTTATTTTCTGGTCGGTCTCTTGAGAAAGAGCCTGGCACCGGTCCAGTTCAGCCTGGCTGTAGAGGCTGCGTTGTTCTAAGTCTTTCACCAAATCTTTGTGCATCCTCTTCTGCAACAAAGAGAGCTAGGGGGAGAGAAGGCAGAGAAAAGGAATTGGTAAGGCAGGAGAGGAAATTAATGGCAGTGTTCAAGAAGAATGATGGAGGGGAATAGAGAAAGCAGTCAATAGCCCATTCTGCAGTACACGGGCCTGACAGGAATTTCACAGTCTCTTGGTTTCTCTGCCCACTCGTGTGCACTCATCAGAATCCAGTCACATCTGGCTGCCAGGATGGGGGGTTAATTTTCTCTAAATGCTTCAGCAGTTTTGTTCTAGCCGAGGCAAACTCTGTGACTGCAAAGCTGATGAGTAAAATATTTCTACTTCACCCAGTTTAACTTTATACCAATCCCCTCAAGACATATTTTACACATACACACAGAGTCATGAACCCCCCACTGAAACCAGAAATTATTCCTAGTCTCTTGGAAAGACATGCTGCTTGCTTTATTATTTGAACACAGTTTCAAGCAAAGAGGTTTAAATTCTGATAGATGCCATTGCTTTTCTTCCCCCTCCATCTCTCTACTCTTCCTACAAAGCTTATCATTGCTTGGCAATGTGTTCCCCAGTGCATTGAAAACTAAAGCGAATTAGCTCAGTCATCAGCTCCTGAAGGAAAGACAATAACAAGAATGCTCTTTATGGTGTACCCTGTTAAAACCCAAGAGCTGAAAGCCTCCACATAAACAAAGCAATGCTTACATGTACAGTAGAATCAAGAGGATTTTTATAAGAGGCACATGCTGGCAAGTGCTATCAGATGCTAATTAATCAGGTTGTTTTTTTTAATCTACAAACAAGAATTTCGCTTATTTGATTTATGTATTTATACTTGTTGAATTTTCCTCTCTTTTAAAAGAAAAAATATTATCTCTAATATTACATAAGCCAGCTCATGTGTGTCTTGAGTGGACAGTAAATAAATAGGACATACGTCTTCCACTACAAACATACAAAGCTTTCACATAACACAAAATATGCAACACTTGTGAGGCTGACTGAGACTAGTTAAGTTAAAGTATCTGTATTTGAAGTATATTAAAGCTGCAATCTGTTTTAAGTAATACATGTTTTATATCCCAGATGTTATGATGTTGTATGGCACATTCACAGTCATATTTATACATCTGTTAAGTTATGTTGATGATGGTTGTTGTGTTGCATCTGTCCTGGGTGACAATGGTAATAAAAATAGAATAACTAATAAACTACCATCAGTGGTAGACACCGTGTTGAGATCATTTACTGAAGTAAAAGCAGTAATACTGCAATACAAAAATAATCCATTACAAGTAAAAGTCCTGCATTGAAAATGTCACTTAAAGGGTCAGTGTTGGAGATATCAGCCGTAGAGATATCTGCCTTCTCTCAAATATAATGGAAATTGATTGATAATGATGTCCTTCTCGGCTGAGCTGTAATGTTAGCTAGCTCTGTGGTGCTAGGTGAGCTAGCAGTAGAAGCAACCTTTCTTCTACGGGTGTTCAGTAGAAAGAACAAAGTTCCTACATGAAACTGTGGATTATTTTGATTAACCAGGTCATTATTTCTGGAAAGAGACATTGCTGTTGAGTTTTTCAAATGTATTTATTCATTTGGCGCTTTGAGCACCACAAGTTTAGTGCCATCTAGTTCCATTATATTGGAGAGAAGTCCGACATCCCAATGGCTGATAACTCCTACAACTCACACCAAAACACAATCTGTGGTTGAACTGTCCCTATAAATAAAAGTATGTAAAAATCATTAGTAAACGTTACTTTAAGTATCAAAAGTAAAAGTACTGGAGCATCACATGTAAGTAGCATTTTACTGTGGTGGAGCTAATTGTAATTATATAATAATAATGGAGAGGTAGTTAAAACTGTAAATCTGTAACTGTGTATAACTAACTCAAATTTGTATTTAGGTATGATGAAACATGTACTTAGCTACATTCCATCGCTGACTAACATTCAAAGTATGTGGTTGGTGACACTTCACTCAAGATAATGTGACAAGCTTGAAACTAGATGTTTCACCATATTAGCTGCATTTTAACATGACGTCAAGAGTTAATAATTTCAGTTTTAAAGGTTAAACTGTAACCTCTGTAAATTCAAATCCCAGCTATGAGCCCATTCGCAATCATTATGTTTTAGGTTTCCATGTTCGAGATGCTTTTCGTATGGTTTTGGACAACAAAAAAAAAAGCGAGGTACAATGATGCAGGAATCTTATCATACTTGATCCCAGTAAATATTTAAGGCCTTATATTCTGTATAGTAGTTGTCTTGAAAGCATAGCACGGGTTGTTTTAAACTTGTCAGGAAAGCCTGCTGTCAGGATTATATTTCAATACAGATGGTTTTCATCGTGTCTCTCACTTGAATATAATAAAAGAGATTATGGGCTCTGCAAACACACAGATGACTGGCGTGAGGCATCTCACACACACATGCACTAATGTTCTGATCTCTCAAATGATCCTGACAATGTTAAATGCACTTACCCTGTTGCCTCCAGTTACAAACAGATCAATTAAGGGCAATCACATTGTGTAATATATGCACTAACTGGGACATAAAACGCAAACATTATAAGGATAATTGTGAATTTGAAACAGGAAAGAAGGTTGCTTGAATGTCCCTGTATAAATCAGATTAAATGTGATCTACATTACAGAAACATTGTTGATTATAAGCTTGTTATAAAAAACCAAATTCAGGCATAAAACACTAGCCAAGAGGCTGCTGTTATAGAAGTGTAGAGTTGAAACAAACAAAAATGGTGAAGGCTGAATCCGGAGTAAAAGAAAATCAGGCTTTGATCATGAGCGTGGAAAATCCTGTCCACAGGATTTTATTTTTGCATGCATTTTTCACTTGATAACATTCATGCAGTTAGATGAGGAATTGCTCAAGTAAAGGTATTAGTCATTTTTGGAACAAATAATATGAATTTTTCATTGCAGGAGCAGTGTGGCTTCTTCCTGGCGTTATGCTTGTCATGTGTAATTCTATTCCAGTTAAATAGTGTCAAAAACTATAAAGATTAAACAGTAAAATGCTGCTGAGGTGTCTCCCTCAACTAGTCAAGACCTCTGGTGCTATTTTAGCACTGAAGGCACATTCATTGTCTGATCCTAACCTGTGTTTGCTGCTGATCCCTAACCAATGGTGTGTGTGAGGCGGGGGTGAGCAGAGGCAAATTTGTAACATCCCGATAATAAAACGCCTCACCTCTGACCACCTTACAAAAACTATAATCAAGAAAATGTAGAAGGTATAGTATTTACATGTACCATCAACCTCTCTCTTTACTCCCCTTGGTGGCAAAACTACATAGCTATCATTACATTATGTCACATCGATCATCCTCCTCCACTCAAGTTATCTCATCATTATAAGATTGCTGCAGTCACCTCCTCGCCGGGCGCCAAACTAATACCTTCTTAAAATAACTGCCCATGCACAGAGCTCTATGGTGCAAAGTATAATAGCATGGACGAGAACATAAGATAACAGAGCAAAAATCCTAATTCATAAAACATAATTAAAAAGAGAGGAGGTGATAGTGAACACCACAAAAGGTTATATAAACCGTACCTGTGTGTAATAATGAAAGGATTTATGTGCACGGTTCTTCTCGCTCAGTGCAGACACTTCCTCCTGTTTGGCCTCCATGAGGATCTTCTGAAGACCTTCGTACTGGCTCGCCAGCTGTTCGTTCTCCTTCAGTGCAATTTTTAGCGCTTCCTACACACACATGAAAACAAAAAGGTTTAGTTAAAACTGTAAAGATACATAATATGCTTAAAGTAGCTATGATATAACAACCAAGACACAAGCAGGCGCAGGGTCGGCTGTGAACCAACATTATACTGTAACTACTGTAACTGTGGCACATCTACACTACACTGTGACTGGTGTTACACTGATACACCTTCTTGTCTCGCTATCATTCTGATCAATTTAGAGATTTTGTGAAGAACTTTGTATATCTTGCAAAACAAAACTGACTGGAATCATTTTATGTACAATATAAAGAGGCAAGGCATTACTGTGGTGTTAAAAACTTCAACTAGAGTCCCTCTGTGACTGAATTAAGTGATATCAGAAACTCTGACTTTAATAATGACATTAACAAAGACACCCTATTTAATGTGGATCAGTCACTTCATGACCAATCTGATTAATAACTGATTAATTACAGTCCATAACACAGAGATTAAACAAGGTACAACAATATATTCACTTTCTATGGAGACGTTTGGAGCAAGTGAAGAGTTTGTTGTCCTGTTACTATTTTTCCAATCTTTAATACAGTGTTGTGCAGTATGGAATCAGTGCATGGTACGGGTGTCGCACTTAAAGCTAGACTGCTACGTATCTGCTCATACATTGTGGGTCACACAGCTGCATATACTAAAACAATGATGTCTTTGGCTGCTAATATTACAGCCGATCCTTCTAACACTTTCTTTTGGCGAATATCAGCTTTTGCCATCACGCAGATGATTTAGAGTCCCACAGGCTCGATTGAACAGGTTGAGGAGCTCTTTTGTTTCTCAGTCTGTCAACCTATTAAATCAGAATATGGCTTCTAAGTAAAGTGAGGGTACCTGGGTCAAACACTGAGTGTAATAGGATGATTTATATGTTGTATTGCATCCACTATTCGTAATGTCTGACGTGATTTGTAGCATTAGTAGTATGGTTTTGTTATCTAGTTAGATTTTGTATTTTTGTATTTATGTGTTTTAATGTGAAGCAGTTTTTGTCCCACAATGATAAGTGGGAAAAAAAGTCAGTTTTGGCACTGATACCGATCTGGTGTAACTGATTAGTGTGTCCCTAACTGCCACCAATATACCAAAAGTTACAAGGATTGGAACCGAGGACCCTTCACACTAAAATGTGAATTTTACAATCAGAGCAATCAGCATTCATAGATAGATTAGTGTTAGTATGACGATCATCTCACTAATATGTCACCACAGCTAGCAGAAGAACAATTGCTGAGGCTGCACTATGTACAGTGCAGATGTGCAATACATAATCAATGACCACATAGATCAATGTTTCCATGACACATACAGAAATATTTTATATGTGGACGGGAACTGGAGAGTCAACACACAGTACTGTACATACTGTATAGTGACTGTAACACCACACTGACCATTTAGAAGATACTTTACTTTTATGTGTACGTACAACACATTACATGCTCTCTGTGTTTGTGCTGTTAATTGAGGCAATATAAATAGCACAGATACAACAATAGACATTTTTCTGGGAAATCAAGCAAATAAATCAAAGTGAGTATGTGTCTCTCTGCTTGTCCTCTTTTCATTTGAACAATGTTCCCCCAAGTACTGGATATGTGGCTGGTGAATATCTCAACTCTACCTGCAGACATAATGAAGTGTGTCTCTGCAGTAAAACAGAACAGCACTAAAGTGATGAGTTTAACCCAGCAGAAAGAGGGGCTGTAAACATGACAAATGCCTGCTATTGATTTCAGGTTTAATTACTCCATGCAGCACTGACAAAGCCCATCTGATGCTGTTGTGAAGTGTAAATGGAACAAATTACACTTCATTGCCCATAAGAAACTGATAGCGTCGGCAGTTTGCATTGTTTACTTTGTGCTCGCCAAACGACAAGCCCTGATCAAATCAAAAAATAGGTGCATGTATGAAAGGCTGAATACTTTCAGACATGTATGGGTTGATTAGAGATAACCACGGATTCCACAGGGATAACAAGCCAAACTATTTCACCTTGTATCTTTTAAAAATCTGCAGATTGTATTTAATGCAGCCACATACTAATTCCCATCAGGCTATTGGCTTTACTGACCTGTATTTTATAGAAAAGAGGAGCCAACCTACAGGAGCTTATAAGAGCATAGTATGGGGTCAGCATTTTTTAGAAGAAATCTCTTCTATAAGAAATATCTGAAAGAGTCTAAGCATTCTGCTTCATGCACTGTGGTTTCTGAATGCACACTCTGCTTATTATGTTATGCTAATGCAGACATTATGTGTGCTTTATACTGGTCTCAATGATTAAAGTGACCAATTTCCTTCCAACTTCAGACTCTCTCTGATCTTTTTATTTGCTGAGGAGTATTGTTGTTATATCATCTTATTTCGTCAAGTGAAAAGACTAAACCCTTTTTTGCATGGCTAACTTTTATCTGGCTAATGGGAGTTGTGTCTATGTGGAAGACTTCTAATTCTTAAATTGTCTCACGCCAACAACTTCTTTAAAGTTGCTGCACTTGGATGCATGGCGGCTTAAGCTCCATTGCCTTTTCTTGTTTTGAACTAATGCATTCTTGATCACCGTTTAATGAAACTATATACCACATGGCGATTTCACATTAGATAAGCCATGTGAAACCCCCATCAGCAAAGAGGCTCTGGCTGGGGCTGATAATCCTGCAGATGAAAACCTTACAATAAATAGGGGTTTCTCTTACAAAGGAGTGTTCAAATACATGCCGTTTTGTGCAGAGTGTGCCCATGTTTTACAACAGCCTATTCCTGACATTAATATAAAAAAAGGTCCAGATTATATGCTTATTTGATATTGTGAACTATACGCTTACATTGAAATTGCTATTGAAAATGTTGGCCTACAGGTAAGAAAACAGGCGCAGCATCTCACCACGACACGCATCATCAAATTCGTCCAGACAAAAGACTATAACAACAGTGAGTTGTCATTTGTGGGAAAAGCACTTAAACAAGATTGACCATGGCTTGTAATTTTAATTGCACACAGCTCTTTTCTCTGCATCTTAAGGGAAGTATTGTGACAAGCAATGTGCTGACACTAATCCACAAACAAATAAACAATGAGATGTTTTTTTACAGCTTGTCTCTGATTTCACAGCATTTGACACAAACAAAGTCATGTATTTACAGAAAGCAATACTGCACAACATTTTGTTACCTTCGTGTCTTCCAGTTTCTTTTCTCTTGCCGTAATATGAGCAGTGTGTGTCTGCATGGATCGCTGTGTTCGTTGTTGGCAGTTATTAATATCAGACTGCAAGGTGCTCATTATGAGAGCAGCTGATTTGTTTTTGAATTCCTCCACATCAAAAACACTTCTGGAAGGAGAAAGCCAACACGTAAAACGATTATTATTTTTCTAAAATTAGTTTTGAATATCATTAATGTATGATTATTGCATCAGTGGGGGAGACTGTTAGAAACGTATACTTCAAAACAAGGCATGAATTAAGAAATAATCAACATTAAGATTATCAGATATACTGTATAATCAAAGAAATACTTTTTTATTTTCTTTTAAATAACGCTGATTTGGAAGAAAATCATTATTATAAACTGTGATATTCAGTGTTTCCTGTGTATAACTAACTCACTGTAGTTCTGCTATGTCTCCTGTCATGCTTTCAACTGTTTCTTCCTTTTCATCTGAAGCATCTCGGTATTCTTCGATCTTCTTCGTAAGGTCACTGATCCTACCCACGGTGTCGTCATATCTTTTTACAGCCGCACTGTGTAAATCCTGGAAACAAACAGTTGCATTAATGTTAAAACCTTATTTTCTTCATAGTGCTTAGAGCGAGAGATTATTTTCTTCCACAAAAGAATGACATGATAAATAGCTGTGACTAGCTTTGTGCTCAATGAGCTTTACAGAGTAAACCTGACTTAGCAACTGTTCTTTGATTCAAGAATTGCTTTATGCAACCCTTAACTTTTTTTGTCCTTACCTGAGCAGCTTTCAGGTGTTCACATTTGAGTTTTTTCTCCTTCTCAAGGTTGACTAATATGTTCCCGTGTTCACACTGAATCTTTTCCAGATTTTCTGTCAGTTTTTTGATTTTCTATACAAACAATAGATTAGTCACAGATGCAGTTGATATAAAATTGTAATAAATAAACTCTGGCTTTTCTGATGAATTCTCTTCATCTTGCCTGTAGTGCTATTTTGAAGTCTAGATTGTTCTGTTGTAAGTTGCCGAGTGTGTTTCAGTGGCAATATCGCTGGTAGAGATGTCTGCCTTCTCTCAAATATAATGGAACTAGATGACACTCAGCTTGTGGTGCCCCATAAAAGACTCAACAGCAATGTCTCTTTTTACATTACAGCTCAGCTGAGGAGGACGCCATTAATGCTTACATCTTGCACTGTCATGAGCGCGAGCCTCTTGTCCATGAGTAGATCAGGGATCCTTCACACATTTCAAAATTCCACTCTATTCTCTTACCAAATAATTGCCAGATGAATGTAGCCATGTTCTGGAGCTCATACAAATCCATTAACACAAAGTCCAGACGAGTTCGTCTTTGTCCAAAGAGGACATAAACTAACCGGTGCTACCTATACTTTACTATATTTTCCTGAACATAATGAGTAAATGATACTATATTTTTTGTCTCTTTTATAAATAAAAACAGAAAATGAGTTGGAAACAATGTTGAACGCTGCCATGAAGGTATGGTTTCTATACACACCATAAATAGTCTGTTTATTTTTCTGATGATTACATCATTGCATAACTCATAACTAATAAAAATTCAGACAAGATCAATATTCATGATCCTATATGCAATTCAAAAATACTGCTGTATTTTCTGTCACAGTAATTAGCTAGCTGCAATGTCTGGATTTGGTACAGTTGTAAGGCACTTCAAGGGGCAGTAGTCTGATAACATAAATATTCTATCATACTTTATTTTCTTTTTCTATACTTCTCCAAACCTGGAAATTACTAAAATCCAATTCCATACTTTTCCATTCTGCACAGAAACCCTAATAGATGCACACCTCCTTCTGCGCTGTGATTCGGTTGGCAGGTGTAGTTCAGTTCAAAGAAAATAGTTCCTACATAAAACTGCTCCCAACAACATCTGTGGATTATCTTAAGTAACTGGGTCGTGATTTCTGTAAAGAGACATTGCTGCTGAGTTTATCAAATTTATTTTTTTGTGCTATCTAGTTCCTTTACATTTGAGAGAAGGCAGACATCTCCACTGCTGATATCTCCAACACTCAGCAACCCACACTAAAACAATCTAGACTGATAAATAGCACTACGAGTAAAAGGAAAAATATGTATTTTTGATTTTGGGGTGAACTGTCTCTTTAGATATATCATTACCTCGTTTTTTGTCTCCAGTTCTTTTGTTGCTGTGGTTGCATCTTCCAGTTCTTTCTGAAGTTTTTTGTTAGTTTGCTCTGAGCTTCTTTGCTGTCGATCCAATTCTTCCTTTTTATTTGCACACTGACCCTAATGCCAAAGATAATACCAGACAGAATGTCATTATCCTAAAGCCTTAAAACATGTACAGAGGGTAAAAACAGTAAGAGGAAATGTAATGGGAGTGGGATGTATAAATTTATGCAATTGAATACAGCCGGGCATTTAAAACTATCTTTATGAAACGTATAATGTTCAGTTTTTATTGAGACTGTGCTTTGTGAAGCTTCACCTGTTCATACCTTTCATCAAAGCTATATGCTTATACAAAGTGTTTCTCAGACACTGAAGAAGTTCGCAAAAATACAGTGATATATTTTGAAGATTTCAATTTAAATCTACTTGTTTGTGTCCCAATGTTGTGATTACATTTTTCCTCTCTGAAGCACCTCATGAATTTACCTTCAGTAGTTCCAGGGTAGCCCTCTGATCTGTCAGACTCTTCTTCTGGTTTTCAATCTCTTTCTGTAAAGCAAAGACAGAGCCCTGAGTAAAACTGAGAAAGCATTTGGTATGTCGCATTTCCGTTACAAACTGCGACCCATGCAGCATACATAGAACATGTGCATATGTTGTCACTGACCCTGGCCCTCTGTTCTTCCATGAAGGTGAGCTGCTCCTGCTCCTTCAGTTTAGTCTGAGTGACACTGTGCTGGGCAACAACGTGGGTCAGTTCCTCCTCGGCCTTTTCCCACTGCTCGTCATTGTCAATGATTTTCTGGAGCATCTGCTTCCTCTCCTCACGCATCTGCTCCACTGCTTTCTTACTAATAAGACCACATAGAAAAGTAATGGTAAACATACATAAGTGGCCAACTACTGTATATAGTAGTACAAATTGGGGATGTTGTATGTTCATTCATGGTTTTGGCTTTGACACTGTACCTATCAGAATTTTTTATCCTGTAGTCTTCGACTTTCTGTTCATTGTCCATGTTTTCTTTACGAAGAGCTGCAAAAGCATCACGCTTTGAACGGAGCTGCTCTTCTAAGCGGGAAACCTGTGCTTCACCATGGAGTCTCTGTGGATAACATAACATACAGTGTGCTGCTGAGTGGATGCACTTATCCAACGCCTTACAGCACAGTGAATTCAAATATTATTAGCATGCATAGCTCCAGTGAGGGTCTAATTGTAGTCTGGTAGGTATGAGCCAGACTCCATCCAATGAACTATCAAAACACATCAGCATTATCAAGAGATGTCCAGTTTTTGTGACACGATTCAAACACTATTTTTACAATACTCACAGTTCTCTCATTGTCTTCTTGCAATTTCTTATTCTTTTGCATTTCTTCCTCATAATGAAGTTTCAATTGCAAAATCTGTTATAAAAGGGGGAAAAACAAGAATTGGACTACTTTTGTAAACTGTTGAAAGAAAACAGTATAACAAAAACTTTAAATTATAAAATATAGACAAAGTCAGTTACCCTATTTTTTTCTGTTTTCTCGAGCTCCATCATTTCAGAGATACGTTGTGTTGTGGCGGCACACTTCTCTTCTGTAAGTGCCACTGTCTTTTCAGCATCCTTTATTTCAGCACCTACCGCTTTCTCAAGCATCTTCAACTGGTTTAAATCTTCCCTGGAGAGAAATTTTTTTAGACTTTTGTTATTAAGTTGGGGGATTAAAGGCAGGTTTTTATTTATATTCAGTGTTTACTAAAGGTTGGGAATCACAGGGTTACTCATAGTACAATGCTGTCATGGAAGTGACGGTATCACAAGACACGCGACTCATTATTGTTGACATATTGCAAGAAAGTCATCTACAACACGACAAGATAACTAACTAAAAAGGAAAACACACCCTTTACAAAGCAGAACTGAAACCTATATTGATTTTCTTTACTACATCATTGAGAGTTTTTCAATATATTTTATATGAAACATGACTTGATATCGGCTTTGTCAGCATCAAAGAAGACATTTAAAAGTTCAGGTTTAAAATCATGCCCATTCCATTATTTTTTATCAGGACACTTGTATTCAAATCATTTTTAAAGTTTGTTTGTAGTCAGCATGGTTACCTCCACTACAGTGAATCTTGTTATCTGGTAAAGCAGCATTAAGCAGAAGTATTGTTGCTATGGTTACATGCAGTTTAATATACCTTGCACAATGATTTAAAGCGGTGATTAAACTGTTAACCATATCTTTGTCTGTGGTGTGTGTATATGATTTTAACGGTCACATGCCAGCCAAACAGAAACAAGTTTTTCCACGGATCCTAAATTTATTAATGCTTTCAGTTAGGGCTATTAGGGGGCAGATAGTCAACCAACGTTAGTCGACCAGGTCATTAGTCAGTTACGCCTTGTCAAAATAAGTCAAAACCTATATGACTCGACCATGTGGGAATTTAATTGGAAAGGACAGACACAGGAAGTGGCCACACTCAGCAGTCAGACAGGAATCAGCTTACAAACAAATCACAGCCGGCAGATATCTTTCCCTTCTTCTGTAAATATTCAGTCTGATAAATATGGAAAAATTGATCATGTTAGTGCAGGGCTACACAGAGCTTTTCATCTCTCCTACAAACAATAGGCCTACATAATTATAAACAGCACCTGGAAGAAGACCAGCTCTGCACGCAGGATTTCAGGTAAACAGGCTGCTATACGATAAGACGCAAACTGTCGCCGACATCGCGCTATCCAGGTTGTTAAAGATGCAGCATTTGTACGGCCCCTAATCTACAGGGCTGGTACTGGCGGTCATTGCACAGGCTCGTTAATAACATGTCGGGCAGGAAATCCAAGGTGTGGCATCATTTTGATGTAGGACGAACTCTGCAGGCAAACATTTGCCTATCATTCATCGACTACAAACATAACGTATCATCTGAAAGATGTAAGCAGCTACATGCCCATTAGCCACTTAGCACAATCATTACTGCTTTGCCCACAGCGTCATTAACAGGCAGCTCGCTCAGTGTGTGAAGTGCACTTGTAGATAAAATATAGGCCTACATTAATGAAGGTTCATTAGTACGGTTTTCTATTTTTTCTGTAATGTAGCACAGTGTTAACAATGTTACTGATACTATTCTTTGTCACACCTTCAACTCAAACCATTGTGTTGCCCTGCCCAAAATATATATCTTAATAATAAAATTAATATCGTAAACATGCAGGCGACTAGTCGACTAATGGCCCTAAATGAGGACTATCAACTAGGGAAATTCTTAATCAGGGGCAGCCCTATTTTCAGTGGGAATTGCGTATTGAACTGTTTAACAACTATGTGGTCATTTAGCACAAATGATGAAAAGGGGTTAAATACATTTGACTTCAGTCCAATGAGTCCAATGTGTTTATTAATCTACCAGCTCAGCCACCTCCATGTTGAGAGCCATATGCAGACAATCCCAGCTCAGACGCTAAATCATAGATGAATGTCATATACAGCTTCTTCAATCACTCTGATTTAACAAATGATTTCACTAGAAATTGATAAAAGATATTAAAACTTTTTAATGAACAATGTCTCCAGTGCCAGTTACACTTTGATGGTGGACCTGTACATTTTTAATGCAGTTAGGACAGATACTCACAATCTCTTAGTCAGCTGACTCGTTAATGCCAACAGTTCACGATCCCATGATATCATTTCATTTTTGGCTTCCACCTCCATCTCACTTAGCTCCTTCTGATTCAGCAAGAGAGCACTTTGTGCTGTTGAGTATTCTTCATCAGCCTAAATAAAGAAGGAAGAGAATAATGGGCTTATTATTTTCCTCAGATATTATTTGTGAACAATTCATATTCTGAATCCCACACCCACAGTAGGCTACCACCACAAGCCAACAGTGCGGCCACACACTTAAAGTGTTTCTACGCTTTTCCTTAGCTTTGGCACGTCTTAGAAAATTCAGAAAGCTCAAGCCTAGCTATTAACCTTGGGCTTAGCCTGGTTTTAAAGATTAACACTTGAATATCAGAGCTCAGGGTTACCGTCTTCAAAAGGCTCACATCCAAAGACTTGTTAAGAGGTAATTAAAAAACAAACATGTCATTTCCTCTTACTGAATCAGTCTGGTGATTCATTAAGCAACTATAAAGCTGCAATGCCTCCCAGTCAAAGCTGACCACTCTGTATCCTATCCATCACTATTCTCCCTACTGGTACACTTTCATGGCATATTTGCATGTTGGCATAAAAGGGATACTTTGCCAATTTTCAACCAGGTTTGTATCATAACAATGTGGGTAGTATGTGTAAATGAGCTCCTTGCTCTATCAGCTCTAATTCACCAGATGATGCATTTTGACAGATTCTCGCTGGCTCCAGGGCTAATACTCAAACTAAAGATTGCATTACCTTTTTTGTATGCCTGCCACCATGGACACAAATGCTGTGTCTCAAATCGCGTACTTCTGTACATACACTTAATATTTTGAGTGCATAAGTGGATTCACACTGAGAAGTATGGAAAAATGCAGTGCACTATGAGTACCCGGATGGTGCGCTCAAAACGGTCAAGAAGTTGAGTGTGGAACTATGGACACTCCTCGCACTCAATGGTCGCCATCTTGGCTAAGTAGCAGAAGGGAAGGGACCGCTTTTCAAACTGGAAATAGCGGCCGAGGACTGTGCGACCGTGAATGTCACTGCATTGTACAAATACATGTGTATTTTGCACTAAGCACCACTATACTGTTGTTGGGTATAAGCCAGCAGTGTGTTTATTGGGTTAATTTAGCAGTCTGTAATGATTTGGTACCGTGAATGATAACGCGAATGCTAATGCTAATGCTAGATTGCTAAATAGCTAATTTGCGGTCGTCATTTCCGGTGAGTGCAAAACGGCCGTGTTTGGTTTGAGACAACACTACCCTGTTGAAATTCGCGCACTACGCCAACGAGTACACAGTGCACATAGTATACTACATGGAAGTGTACTAATGGAAGTATGTGATTTGAGACACACCAAAAGACTATAATGGAGATCTCAGACATTCAGACCAAACTCTGAACAAACAGTAAAACTGGGCAGAGCTGATCAAATAAAAACCAAGATTCTGTTACTGTATTGCCTATTTCTTGCCTAAAATATATAGCCCAGTTTTGAGACCATCTTTCCAGCAGTGAAACACATCTTTAAACTCAAAGTAAGGTAAGGTAAGGTAAGGTAAGGTACAACTTTAATGTCCCCGTAGGGCAGTTTGGTTTGCAGTCAGTAAAGGGAGACATAACAATACAATATGACAATACAGCTCACACACAGAACACCAAGACCACTCTCAGGACAAAAAACAACAACATGACCTGGCATCAATGACCATTAAGGGCAACAATTGCAGATGGGACAAAGGAATATCTGCACCTATTGGTACAGCATTTGGGAAGGATAAACCTCCGCCCTGAAGGAAGCAGCTGAAACTCAGCATGTAAAGGATGCAGAGGGTCGGACACGATGGACTGAGCCCTTGACATGAGCCTCTCCTCAAAAAGCTGTGTAAGATTTTTGTAGCTTAACCCCAGAGATCTTAGAACACAGCTTGACCATCTTTTCCAATTTGTTCTTATTTTTCAGACTCAAAATAAAAGCAGAGTAAAACATTCTCATCAGAGTTCTGTCTACATTAAAACTTCGTAGCTTCCTTAAAAAGAACAAGTGCTGGTTCACCTTTTTACATTGGCCATCTGAGGCTGAATTAGGTCATTAGATGTTGCTGCATCCTGACTTGAACTAAAGAAATTAACAAGTAGAAAAGCTAAATGAAAAGTCAGGGAATTATCAAAGTTATTAGGACTCATCCCCCGGGGACCACGAATGTCTGTACCAAATTTCATGGCAATCCAGTCAATTGTTAAAATGGAATGATTTTACTCGACCAAAATGTTGGATGGACACTGGACCAACGGACCAACAAACAATGCAATCCCTAGTGCCACACCACTTGTGGATTAAAAATAGTTAGAAAAGAGTGAGTGGGTGACTAAGATAGAGCGGGGAGAAACTAATCTGAAAATTTACTTTACTTGGTGCTGGCTCTATTATGGTTTCTTGTTAAAAACTAAAAACGTATCTGTATGGAACTACTATCAAAGACAAAACCATATCCCTTGCAAACACAAGTGTCTAGCCTTTGTGGGTTTGTAAATATAAACATAGAAATCGTTTTTAAGATATTAACAAATCAAATTACAGGTTACCTCAGCTTGTGCAGTGTTAATTTGATTTATGATGCCTTTCTGGAGTTCCAGGTTTTCTTTAACAATAGGAATTTGTTTTTTAGCGAAGTTGATGTCTTCATGTAAGCTCTGGTTCAACGCCTCAGCGTGTGACAGTTTCTCCTGGGCTTGCTCAAGTTTCTCTCTTTCCAGTTTTAGCTGCCCCTTTAGTTCGGTGATGTCTCTGATGCAAGCCTCGTGCTCTAGAAAAAAAAAACAATAGTCAAAAATTAATTAGCAGGTTTTTAATTGTTATGAAGAACAACAGCATCACAATATTTTTATGAGAGGATAACACACTTCTCTGTCACTGACCTTTTTGGACTACAAAAGAGTGCTCTTGTTGCTTCCACAGTGAAATACTGTCAACTTTGTTCTTCAAAAACCTTCTCGTTTTCTTCTCTTTGCGGAGAGCTTCCTCTGCATACTGACGATCAGCCTCCAGCCGCTCAATCAGATACATAGCCTCTCCAAGGACATCATTTATTTTCTTCTCTAGAGGCGTTGAAGGACAACTTTCTAGAGGATGGAAAACTTGACAAGATTCTGGTATATTGGATAGAACTGTATCATCACTTTCAACTCAATAAACAAAAGCATAAGCAAGTAAACACATTATTGCAAAGTCACATTAACATAATTTGACCAAATAGAAAGTGCAGTTAAACATATATTTGATACATCATGTTCCATAACAGAGGTGGATACTGGATGGTACAAAAGACAAAAGATGTGAACCTGTAACTGGGACATGTAGGAATTATTGTCACACTGATGCCCAACTATTGCAAGAATGAAACACCTAAATCTAGAGCTTCTGCAAATGTGTGCTGCTCTTTTATTTGCATGTGTACTTTTCCACTGCATCACAAAAATAAGATGAAATACTTTAGAATTGACTTAAAAGAAAAAAGAGGATAACCTGGTGCAGTAATTGCGATGCCTTCGATGAACTCTGTAAACGTCTCAGAATCCGTATCCAGGTCTCTGGACTGAAATCTGATGAAAGGGAGTTAAACTAATATCATATTTTAGTTCCTACTGAATATATGAAAAAGAAATAATAAATCAAAACAACAAAGGATCTCACCTCAAAGTTTTGCTGTATTGGTGCTTGTCCTGATTAATCTGTGTCTGATATTTTCCAGACTGGTACAAGGCAAAAATAAATGCCTGTAAATTGGCGTTTACTTCTATCTGATATTTGTCTTACACTCTCTCACATGTGTGACATCAGTTTACCTGCTGACGCCAACTGTCCACCGTCTTCTTCAGCTCTTGGATATGGTAAATAGCTTTATTGACACATGGCGAGGGACTGTTGAGCAAAGCACAAGTGCGACGTCTACCAGAGCAGAGGGCTTGAAGATCTGCTTGATTTTGAGAAACACAAAATATTGAGATCTGTAAATCCATCTTTAGTTCAGCACGAACAACTGTGCCAGACAAGCAATTAAAAGCTTACCCTGTTTGCAGGTTTCCTTTACATAACGACACAAAACATTATATAAATACCACACTGAAGAACCAGCCCTCATAGGAAACAAAATCACAGAACAACAGACTTTTGTTGGAACAAACACTCACCCTACTTCAGTAACTTTATTTTGAAAAGTAATTACAAGAATGTATTTGGCTGTGAAAGATATTCTGTGATTCTTTACTTTCTCTTTGATTCTGGTTGCATAAACTCTGCAATATATTGGAGGCATCAGTGAGAGAGCAGAGACAACTAATTTGAACATCTCAAGACAAACCCAAGGGCACAATTCTTGGTGGTGAAAGAACGCCATCTGGCTGACAGAACGGGTAGAAAAACAGCAGTGATGCAGATGCCAATACTTCACATGAACTTCTGGAAAATACTGATTTAGTCTTTTGTCTATATTATAGTGCCGAGACATAAAGCTCAGTCACTGGTAAAAGTAACATTTAGGAAAATTCAAAATAGTGAAGATTACAGAAGACCAAGTTTTAATTCAGTCTCTAAATGATTAATTTAAAGCTTAGATTTAGTGTAGCAGTTAATCTGCCACAGCTACAACTCACTTCTGTATATATGGAGCTGAAATTTCAGTCCTTGCGTACTATGTTGTGGTGCTGAGGTAAACTCTTTAAAGGGATTTCTCACAGAAGTTATGTACATTTTTATCGGTGACATACATCAGTAAGTAAACAGGAAACAACCACAAATATTTATAGGCTGTTTAGAAAAGCATGTTTTTAAAATAAGCGTGAAATTAACATACAGTATAATGCAAATCACTTTTGTACAGCTGACAAACCTGTACAGAGACGTACATTTTATTACGCATTTTCAGCTGCGATGTAAGATACCAGGTAAGATGGAGGTGATATTTGTAATGGTAATGTTAAAAGAGAAAATGGAAGAGAGATGTTCACAGTAAGCAGTATATTTTAATCACTTTAATTTATTCAATTTCCCATTGTTTTATTTTGAGGTCAAGCTTTTTGTCATCATTTTCTATATGTATGGAATACAGATGGCAAACCATTGGTGGATGTGTTTCTCTGCTTCAATCACCTGTGGGTGTGCGTTCAACTCTGCAGGGTGGGGACCTGACCCCAAATCCATCTGAACCTGAATACACACCTCAGACAGGAGAACCAAGGATATGCACACCTACAAGAGTATCTTAAATTGCACCACCAGGTGATCTTACACCTGTCATCAAAGCAACATCTGGTGTTGCCTGGCACCTTTTTAAGGACACTCTCATCATGTTTGGGGTAGCTGAAAGGCCCCGTCATTACAGTCAGACAGGTAAATGACCACCTTGCATAGATACAACCAAAACTATCAAGGACCTGTAGATAAACAAGTGCTCTAATCAGTAAGAAATAGGTCATCAACTGTAACCTTTCCCATCTGAGATAATTAGCAGTTATCCTGCCATGATCATCCACTGATTAGAACAATGGCTTGTGAGTGAGCTGACTCAGACCGATACAGAACAGTCGAGGAAAAACTGTGGGGAGACCCGAAATGAAGGCCATCTGTTGCTGAGCAGTTTAGATGAATAATACACAGTGAAAGAACCAAGTGGGGTAGGAAGGTGGTGAGGTAATATGTCACCAGTGGGCTGAATAAGCTCTAAATCATACTGGCAGGGTGTATTATAGCCACAGAGCAGGCCCATGTGAGTCTGAAGGCCAATCACCTTGTTACACCTGTCATTTCACTAATGATATTAGATATTTAAATGTAATTATCATAAAAATTTATTCGCCACCTTAATATAATTTTTGAAGTGCAGTCGAGTCGGTGCAGACTACAGGCTGTACCTAGTGTGTGTGGGCAGCTTCCTCACTGTCCTTGGGAACACTGTGGTCTGCAGATTATTTGTAGGCAATAAATATTAACTACACTAAAGGGGAACAGCGCCTAAGTTAAGAACTCCAATATGGTATTTCTATGGTCCAGGAAAGGTCAATCAACATTTGTGAACATGTGCTATACTCTCTAGAAGCTTTTTCTTTCAACATTTACTGTCTATAGACTAAATCACAATGTTTATTTACAAAAACGTCTAGGTAAAAATCCTCGTGTCACGAACATTAAAATCAAACGGCGCTGAGCAGACATGATCTAAATTAGTTCATTTTGAGCCACCTAAAAAAACAAAAAGGCCACCAAAAAAATCAATATCAGTTAAACCTTAAGCTATATTTAGAATATTTTCACCGCCTTACTTTGCAGCCAGTCAGACAGTCTTGATTGCTTAGTGTGTACGGTTAAGTGGAGCAAATATTCAAATACAGCATACACTTACACAGGTATGGATTTTTTAAGGTGGCCAAAATATGTTTTTGATGCGGCCCTGTTCACAGCAGTATATTGTTTAGCTTCTGTACTGGTAGATTTGGTTTAGCAAAGATGGTAACATGGCTCACATTGACAACAGAAATCAACAATTTTGCAGATTTTACATATCTCAACAATGGTAATCAGTTGCCAGTTTTCTACTGGGAAGTGATTGTTGTCAGTGTGATGTCACCTTGATTTGGTGTATAGAGCAGCTCCAAGGTGTGTTCTTAATCGCATACTTTTACTTTTTCTTTTAGTATGTACTGCAGCTGCCCTTAAAGGTACGTACTGTTGCATGCAGTATGCACACAATCGGGACATACTACTTTCTCATAACGTTACACCCTGAACTTTGACCCTCTTGCTTTTATATCCGTTACCTTGGAGATAAAACCGACACCACTCACCAAGTTCTCCAGAGACGGAGATCAACCTGGAGAGCTCTACTGTTGTTAATTTGCATTGTGTGTAGTTTGACTTTAAAGTTATAACTGCACTGTCTCTGTCGTTGTCATTTTCATGGTTATGTCCTATTGTTTGCGATATTTGTGATTATTTTGTTCACTTAAACAATCAATATTCCTATTGTTACTATTAGACTGGTTATAACTGGTTACCTGAAAGGGTTGTCATCCATCACTGCAACTTCTGACAGCTGTCAATCAACTGTCATCAGAAGATTGTGGGTCAGAATAGCCAGTAAAGCATGCTGGCTTGCATACTGCAACATTGGACCGGATGTGGTAGAACATCCTGGTATTTCTGGCATACTGCATTTCACATACTATGTTTTGGGACATGCTAAATCTTTTCTGGCATACTATGTAGTACGGTAGTGCGGGTATTGGAACACACAGCTAGTCTTTATACCTTATGACATCACAAATTTGAGTTTTAGCAAGCTAGTTTTTGGATTTGGGAGAGAGTTGTTCATGTTAGCTAAGATTTTGGACTGTCTTAGACCATAGGAAAACATGTAGGAATTTTGAAAATGGGTGTAGTCCCCCTTTAAGTTGTGTGTTGACTGACCACACTACTTAGTTTATATCGTCCATATTTGTTTGTAGGTACTTACAGTGTCTATATGTTGTAACAGGGTATCTCCATCAGATTTTACGCCTGTTCTGACCTTTAAAAAGTTAGTCAAGTCGAACTTTAGACCGGAAATGGATAAGTGACAGTGTGATTTATTTCACAAATTAGCTAAAGTAGTTATCAAACAAATCTAAGCGGACTCTTCTCACCTTGTGGACTGGGTCGTCCCTCCGCTGATGGGAATCTGAGCGGTTTAACGTTTGGCATTGCTGTAACTTGTCCGACAGGATTGGAAAACACCACCAGGTTTATGTCCTCCGTCCTGTGGAAACGCGAATGCGTTGACGTTCAACGTTTACCTGAAAATATGGAAGGTAAATGCAACGGTTAGTTTGCTAATTTATTAACACATTACATGATACAAGTTTAATATCTGCCGTTAATCTTTTGGACAAAGTAAGCTGATGTTAGCTAAAGTTGCGACCGTTACCTTCACTCATCTCGCGCTCTTAGCTAACGTTAAACTGACGGTTAATTAACTGGGCTAATGACAAATTAATGAGCACAGGGGGGTTGTTGTCATGGCAGAAAGTGAAAGCGAAAAATGGCAGGCTATCAACTTACTCGCATTAATACACCTGTGACTGCCAGCTATCTGTTAGCCATGGTGAAGTTTGTCACTGTTCTTCTGTGTGACAACGCTGCAGCTGGCCTGTAAAGAAAAAAGCCCCCCCTCCTCTTTTTTTTCTAAAGTTTTGTCCAAATGAATCAACTCAAGTTGCCGTCAATCTTCTGCCGAGGTTGCTTAGCAACAAGGGGCTGCGCTTGGAGAGGGTGAGTTGCGTTCAAGAGCGGAATTTAAGGTTTGTGTTTGTGTTTAGCAGCACTGAGGGGTGTTTCCGACTCGTTTCATGTGAAGTCAGGCACATGTTGTTAAGGAATAGAATAGTTCTTCTTCTTCTTCTTCTTCTTCTTCTTATTATTATTATTATTATACTTATTTTGCTTTTATGTACATTATTTTAGGAAATGATAGTAAGGCTGTATACTCAAAACACATGCATGGTACTTTATAATAATGATAATAAATAAAATAAAAATGATGATAATAATAATAATAATAATAATAATAATAATAATAATAATAATAATAATAATAATTATTATTATTATATTTAGTAATATCTCATCTTGATTGTGCTAGACAAAAAATCTAAACTTTAAACCCAAATAACGTGTTGTTTTAATAAAACAGCCATACACATTTGGATGTATTCATTACACTACTATATATATATATATATGTATGTATTTTACATTATGTAATAGTAATTGATATAGTGTTGCAGACGGTTTGGACAGCTAAAATACTTCAATGCAGATCATGTGCAAAATTATATATATGTATATAAAAGAATATATTTATTTTATATATAAAATAAAATAATTTTGCAACCACAAATTTAAAACAAGGACATTTCATCCTTGGGTTGTAAAGCCTAGTTAAAACAATAATAATAATAATAATAATAATAATAATAATTATAATAATAATAATAATAATAATAATATTTAACAAGGCTATACAACCCAAGGACGAAATTTCCTTGTTTTAAATTTGTGGTTGCAAAATTATTTTATTTTATTACTGTTAGTCCCCTAGTGTGTTGGGGTTGCAACCCAAATAAATATGTAGGGATCAGTGTTTTATTGTCAAATTGTTCAACCACAGGAGGAAATGACAAGAAATGAGTCTGTCACCATCTCCAAAAAAAGATCTTTAGTTTTGCTGTAGCCTGAATTAAATTATGATGATGAATATTGTCTTAATTCAAAGATTTACTGAAAGGGCACTTATCTCGATGACGTCATTTTCCCAATGCTTCAAAAAATCTTAAACCAGTAGATGAATGCATCTTTGCACACCACTTTTATGAAATGTATGAGTTAAACTGCTTGCTTTCTCTATTTCTCTCCTCTTTTTGTATCAAACTTTAACATTTTGCAGCCGGAGCACTGACGCAAGTGAAGAGATTCCGCATTACGTCATCGCGAAGGCCACATACAGGAGGCGAACGCTGCCTCTATTCTCCTCAACCAGTAGGCTACGCTACCCGAAAATTTCCACAACACAAGCTTTGCAGGAGAGCGGCACAAGATCGGCCGCTTCGTGCAGTGATGCAGCAGCCCACACCAAAGAAACCCTGATCGCACCGCGGGACACGACCGGCTGTCGGATTCCTGGATGGAAAACAGTGATGTTGCATGACATGCCTCGAAACAAATTGTGGTAAGTCTTGTGCAAGTGCGCTGCTGCAGCTGCTGGAGGCTGGCAGAGCAGGCAGAGGAGCGACCTTAACCTACTTTGTCACTCTGGGTGAAATGAGTTTTCCCGATCAAGTTTCAGCGATAAAAACAGGGATGTGTGAGGATAAAAACATTAAAGAGGGGAGCCGTGTATGCATGGAGATATTCCTGAAACAATGAGACCTTTGTGTCGCGTACTCACAGGTGTCTCTGGCGTGACAGGTGATGTCTGAGCTGAGTGTGTACCATAAGGTGCTTGTTGCCTTTCTGCCCTTTTTCCTTTGGCCTGTGGTGGAATTTAATGTTTTTTGTTGATGTCCAGAGGGCAATGTGACCCTGTCTGTGCCCAGCAGTGCATCTCTTTTCAAGCTTGTGATTACATATGTAACTCTGTGTTGGCTATCACAGAAAACATACTGTATCTCCATTTATTCCTGTGTGTCTTCTATTTTTCTATACTTTACACAATTTGCTTTTTTTAGTTTGTGCAATGAACTCCAAAACAAAATCACAGCACCAGCAAATTTGTAGCTGTACTCTCATTTAACACCCAAAGTTTTGGCCTTTTTGCAGCTGAAACCATGGTGATCATCAGCAGGCGACAGAGCGCACAGGGCCCTCCAGCAGACATCACCGGCTGGTACCACAAAGGAGGAGAGAGAACTGTTTCTCTACCTACACAGCATTTACCACAACACTAACGCACATCACTGTGCTGTGCTGAGCTCTAACTGATTAACCTTAAGTCAGTGGCACAGCTTTTTCATTCCTGTCAGGGGATGGGATCCGGATGCCGGTGTAGTTTATAGTCTAGTGATGTAAAAATAACTCTGGCCAATCAGTGGTAACAGCTGCGATGTACTGTACCGAGCCGGCCAAACACAGATTGCTCTGTAACTCAAGTAAGTGCTTGTGTTTGGAAATGTTGCATGACAATCTGTTCCAGCATGGAGGAGGATATGAATTAACAGCACTGTCCACAATGTTTTATTAAGCTGCTACAGAAATAGCCTCGCAATGTAAACAACTCACTAATAAGGCATTTTTGCAGCTGAATTTTTGTCCAACAGAAGTTCCCGCAGCGTTAAAAGATAGAGTGAGTCATTGCTGTAAGACCCTTGGTGAGATTTTGGCAGAACCCCTGCAATGTTAATGTTATACGATGATTTGCTCTTTTAAGGCAAGTTATTTTCTAATGCTGCCAGTATGACAGTGCCACAGAGAAAGAGTAATGTTTGCTGGGCACATGCCAGGAATGAGGTTTGGGGTCTGCAACTAGAGAGCCAGTAAAGCTGTACAAGAATGTGGAGCCTTCGCATTTGTAGTTAAAGATAGAGGCAGCACAGGCTGTATCCTAGCTGACAGTTTCTAATTTCAGATATCTTCAGTCGGCCCCGTCCATTTGGGGGCTGCTTTTGTCCCAGTGTTTCCTTATTAGAAAGGAGTTTTTGTTGTGTACGACCGTTTCTAGAAAGAAGGACTTGGCTTGGTAATAACTCAGCTCAGGCTTGGGCAGGGGAAAGGAATACGACCATGGTGCTTTATGAGAGGTATGTTGATCATCTCGCTCCCCTCGCCGTCCTACACTTGGTATTGGCTGTGCTGGTTTAATATCTGCTCTTGCAATAGATTGTATCAATCTCAGTTATTTCAGAGACTGAAGACAGACCCCAGAAGGTCACATGTCTGTCGCTCAGGATGTGTTTGTGTGCTATGTGGAGAGGATATCAATGTTAATCTATAAACTGGTGCATAGTTGTACAGTTTCACATCCACTCACTAAGTAAGTGATGAAAACATTTGGGTCTGCCAATTAATGTCAGAGTAATTTGAAACACCATGCCTGAATGATTGTCTTGCAGAAAAAAATGTGTTTTCGAGCCACTCGCCCAAGAAGTGCCAGTGTGTTCTCGACTATCACCGCACCAAGAATTATCTCGTAGAAGATATTGTGAAAAAACTTTTCTCTACAAACTTTGCTTGTCTGCACTGGGAGGTGTAGTGTGTGTGTGTGTGTGTGTGTGTGTGTGTGTTGGAGTTAGGGGGGGTGATTAGTACTATGTTTTTACGAATGGAGCGGCTGGGATCTTTGCTGCCATGGCAACAAACCACATGACTAGGTGTATTAGATTGCCTCGGACAGTGTGCAGCGAGGCATGGTGTGAGCATTCTCTCTGCCGCTCTGCCCCTTTGAAAGTCTTGTCCTTGTCTTACTTAAGTTTTTCTTCTGTGTCCCCCCACCCCACCCCCACCACCCACATTTCTGATAAGCACTGTAGTGTGCTACATTCAATTTGCAAATGTACTTTTGAAACAAAATGAAAAAGTGAGGTCACTGTGTATTTACCAGGGCCGGATTGATCTGCTGTGGGGCTTCAGGGGTAAAATGAACTGTGGCCCCCTTCTGCTCCCCCATTAGCATTTAATTATTTGTTTTGGCTAATTTAATTAAGCATGAAAATGCACAATGCAAACACAACATAGCCTGAAATAACAAAGGCCTTAAAGCGTTGCTCCAGCCAGTGCTGCTTCCTGTTTTTCGGTTCTTTCTAGCATAGCAATAGCATGTATGTTGGCATTGATAGCACATACGCTATGAGGTGGTGGTTTTCTCCACCTCCTTCACCTGAAAACAATGACCCCAATAAGATGAGGGTCAGCAGGCCACATACGCTTGATCCAATGACTTGCATTTTGGGAAACAACGCTGGTGGTTCCTCTATGGATTCTCATACTACAGAGCCAGCACTGCGTACTCGCCCCAGCTGGAGAAGTGTGCTGGGAGACTGGCCAGAGGCTGAGTGGGGAGTTTGCAATGTTCCACAGTCTCTCAGCTTTTTTGAGTCATGTAAGAATAAATAAACAACTCTGTTAAGTGCCAGAATCATATAAACACAAGAATAATAGCTGTCATGAAAATACCTTTGGCTATTTCAGTTGGAATCATGGATGCATTAGAACTGGATACAGTATTGGAGGCGGGGCTATGGAAGTTGCTCAGTGGCGCAAAAAAGTGAATTTTCTGAGGTATGAAAGTACCCAGATTTTTTGCAGACCCAGATCTTCTTGTGGGGCATATATAGAGCAAGCGCACTCAAGACTTACAGCCGCCGAGCATGGCCAAGCATGGCCGGCAGTCGACCTCTGACATGCAGTTTAGCGCTCTGCTAACTTTAACGGGAATAAAATGATTTGTTTGTGCAGCTGCTCTGGACTTCTTTAAGTGTTATTTGACGGACTGGATCAAATCCCAATCGTGAAACAAGTCATTTCGCGGGAGTTATGATGCTCAAAAAAATGTATCCACTGATGTACAGACATTGCTTTCACAATGTAAGTATATGGGGAAATGTCTGTTTGTTTTTTGGGCCCCATAGCATCACCTGACGGACCTGGTCGTTGTAATCCCACTATTGGCCATTATGTAAAATTAGCTTCAAAACCCAGCACTGTTCACACAGCAACGGCTCTCAACTAGTTCTTTGGCTCAGTAGGGGTTTGTGCTCATGACGATAACCAGCTAGCTCACGTTGATGTTTATTGGTTTGCTGCTCAGATGCAAGGTGGAGGACATATGACCTACAGATTGTACTATAGTCATATGTCCTCTTTCCATTTTAACAACTACCTTCTTTTTTAACTTTGAGCATAAGATTATTTGTTAAAAAAAAAAAAAAATTGGCGAACTCTGTGGCTGATCAACATTGTTAGCAAATGACTTAGAAAAATCTGATCACCATCACAAAGATATCAAAATATGCTTGAGTGGAGCTTTAATATTTCAAGCTAGATTTGAACTGAGGGCCCCTGTATGAGGGCCTCAAGATTTGGTAATTATACAGGTGTTGCCCTATGGCCCTTATCATTTCAGTTGATATTTAAAAACAGATGTGCAATTTATCAAATAACCACAAACTTGCTAAAACAACAGTTTGCTAACCCTGTGATTATCCAATCACAGCTATCCACATGCTGAAGCGCAGCATTCGAATTTAAGGACTTCACTAGGACAAAAAGACAAAGTGTTTGAGATGATTCTGGGTCAGTAGAGAAAATTGTAATTACAAATGACATTGTTACATTTTTAAAATATAAATTTATTTCTAAATATTTTAGGGTGGCACAGTGGTGCCGTAGTTAGCATTGTCGCCTCACAAAAAGAGGGCTCCTGGTTCAAACCTGGAGTGGGTGGTTTGATCCGTGGGGTGGGGGAGCCCTTCTGTGTGGATGTTCTCCCAATGTCAGCGTGGGTTTTCTCTGGGTACTCCAGCTTCCTCCCACAGTCCAAAGACATGCAGGCTGAGTTAAATGGTGACTCTAAATTGTCCATAGGTGTGAATGTGAGTGTGGATGGTTGTCTATGTCTATGTGTAAGCCCTGTGATAGTCTGGCAACCTGTCTGGGGTACCCGCCTATAAAATTTTAATTGTTAGGTGTTCAAATTTGGAAAATGTGAAGTGGCATCATTTCTTGTTTTCCTCCTTATGTGACAGTGCAATTTTATTTCCTGCAAGGGGGCGCAGCCTCAGCGATTTGCACTTCCCATGCCAGCTGGTCTGTATGTGCTGAGCGAGAACAGGGAGCTTGACAGGCATAGCAACAGTAACTAAGGGGTGGGGCTTAGTTACCAGTGAACCTGGAGCCTTTGGGCCCTTTGAGGGTCTGAAACTTAGCCTGGTTGGTTTCTTGCCTTGGTAATTGCTATTAGAACATTATGTAACAGTTAATGACATTTTAATGTAACTGGGAGTTTTTAAATGTCCACAATGGTAACCAGGTGGTGAGTGTTTTAAAGATTCATTATACACAGTGGTATTTCAAATGCTCTGTGAAGCTTCTGAAAATACAGCTCAGTTTAGCAGATAATGTCAACAGAATAAAGCTGAAAGCAATAGGAAGAGCATATTTGGTGATTGAACAACGCCTTCATTGGAACTGTTTCTGTGTACACAGGCTCTGACTTTACTTTCTCTCCTCTTGATCAGAATGATTGAAGACTTCAGGCGGAGTGGTGACAACATGGCAGATAGAAGGCAACTGTTTGTCGAAATGAGTAAGTGCTCAGGGCCACAGCTCAGCGTGATTTGTGCCGGACTGTTTTACTCACTGACCATAAAAAATGGCAAATTCTTCTATGTAACTTTCTTGTAAATCAAATATCATGAAGATCAAGTGTCTCCAACCTTGTCAACCTCATTGATTTTAAACACTGACGAACACACATCCAGTATGACCTCATGCTCTCTCACTATTTACAAAGTGAGGCACACTTCTATGGAGACCCAAAGTGTTCTGCATTACATGAGACGTTATAAAGTGAGAAATCATAATGATAAATGCAGACAAATGAGACTGTCCTCCCCTAAAAAAACACCTCATAGGTAATTTGTTAAGCAGCTCATTACCACCCATATTTATGTTTATTGTTAGACTGCAACTTCTCGTGGCGGTAGTAATCATGATGAGAGAAAAAGACGGTGTGTAAAGAACAACACTTGTATGCATAAACAGGAGGTCAGGGCTGATGGATGGGTCAAACAGTCACAGGACTTTCACCCAGGAAACTGCTGTTTGTGTCCCTTGTAAAACCAGAAGCCACATTAGCTTACATGATGTATGTAACATATGTCACATACTTAACTTAAACGATGTGCATCAAGTTTTCCCACAGAATTAGAATCCATGGGTTTTGGTAGCTGATGACCCAGCATTGACGGTTAAGTTTCGCTTTCACAACATCAAGCATTCTGCTGCTCCATCTGTGCCCAGTGTACACACTGTGCACAGAGATTGTGGTGCAGCGAAAAACCGAGCAATGTTTATATTTAAATAGCACTCCGAAAGAATGGTCCAGCCACAAATAAATGAACGTGTGGGAAACCCTGTTCATTATATACGTCATGTATGTAACAAACGTACTTATTTTAACCCCAAACCATGATCTTGTCGTAAACCTAACCAGATAGTTTTGATGCCTCAACTTAAAGACCACCCTTTTACAATGTTACAACCACGTGTTAAAAGCTGCAATCGTTTATGGTCATTTATGTCATTTTTGTGTTGACCTCCTGCCACCATTAAGGCCACTTATTTAGGAAATGCTCCTGTGGGTTGTAGTAGAGACTATTTTATTTTGTTTTGTTTTGTTTTATTTTATTTTATTTTATTTTACTTTATTTATTCATCATAATTTGTGAAATTCCAGGTTTTTTTTAAGTGGCATTAAAAAGTAAAAATAAACGATATGAAGTTTTAATTATTATAATATATATCGTCTGTCTTTATTTATATAATTACTTATTTCATTAAGTCATTTATTTATTTGATATTGAACTCTTTGGGCCTCCATACACCCTCCTTCCAGAGCTCCATGTTATCTATGAACTAACACTGACATTTCCGATGTTATCTAATGATGACTAATTCTTCCTCAGGGGCTCAAGACTTGGACTCCATACGATTATCGACATACAGAACAGCCTGCAAACTCAGATTTGTGCAGAAGAAATGCAATTGTGAGTATGATGCAGTGCACTTTAACTGCATCAGTGTGCTCAGTCCTTTCCATCAAAGTGTTTACATTCAGTTTTCCTGTTTCCAGTGCATTTGGTTGATATTTGGAACGTCATCGAGGCTTTCCGAGAGAACGGCATCAACACCATGGACCTCAACGCTGAGCTCTCTGTGGCTCGTTTAGAAGTGGTACTGTCCACCATTTTTTACCAGCTGAATAAGCGCATGCCCACCACCCACCAGATCAATGTGGAACAGTCCATCAGCCTGCTGCTCAACTTCCTGCTGGCTTCCTATGACCCGTGAGTAACACGTCACGTGACATGTCGGCGGCTGGCTGTGTACTCTCTCATCTGAGGTTTTGACGTGGGCTAATGTAGTGTGAAATGTGACTCTGAAGTGTCTGCCAGAGTGGAGTGAAAATACAGACTATTTGCTTTCATAATGTCACAACATGCTTGTGTACAGTAGAGTATATCTTTAGAGATTCTAAGAGTCAAGCTAAACTTTTTTTTAAGACAGTGCTCACTGTAGTACAAATTTGTCTTTAAAGGGGACCTATTATACTCAGTTTCAGGTTCATACACGTATTTTGGATTTCTACAAGAACATGTTAACATGCTTTAATGTTTTAAAATACACTTTATTTTCCGACTGTGCTTTAGTGCCTGTCTCTTTAAACCCTCTCCTGAAAAAGCCCCGTCTGCTGTGATTGATCAGCATTTCCACATCTTCCTTATTTTGGCATCTCTGCACCTTAACTGCAGCAGGAGATTGACTGTAATAGAGAATAGCGGCACTTTTTACCATGAAAAATCACCAATAAAAGCATCTCAATACAAATTGGACATGCTCCAACAGGAATATGATCCGAAATCAGGGAGAAATTCACAACATTGGCAACCAAGATTACATGTTTCACTGATGTTAGCATGTAGCTACATGTACGTAAGCAGTATACTTGCAGTTGAGAAATGATGTAACAGAGAATAGCAGCACTTTTTACTTTGAAAAATCAACAATAAAAGCATCTTATACAACCGGACATGTTCCAGCTGAAATATGATCTGAAATCAAGGAGAAATTCACAACATCAGCAACCAAGATCACATGTTTCCCTGATGTTAGCATGTAGCTACATGTACGTTAGCAGTGTACTTGCAGGAGAATAGCGGCACATTTTCAGTGAAAATGTCTAAACATAACTGGACATGTACCAGCAGGAATATGATCTGAAACCAGGAAAAAATGAACAACATCGGCAACCAAGATTGCATGTTTCCCTGAGGTTAGCATGTAGCTACATTGACATTAGCAGTGTACTAGCAGCCTAGGAATGACTGTAGGAGAGTATAGCAGCATTTTCTACCAAAGAAATAGCTTTTAAACACAACCAGACATGTTCCAGCACAAATGTGATCAAAATGTAGGTGAAATTTACAACATCAGGAACCAAGATTACATGTTTCCCTGATGTTAGCATGTAGCTACATGTAGCAGTATAGGCTACATAATGGAAACACTTGGGCTGTATCCGAAATCATTCACTACCCCTGCTCACTATTTAGGGAGTTCTGTTTAGAGGGTGATATAGTGAACTTATCTGCAACATTACAAAGCATAGGCCTACATACAAAACATGTCATATCAACGTGGGCTGATGAACCATCTGTAACAAATACTAACATATTTGTGATAAAAACATGAAATTATACGGAGCGTAATTTACAAAGTACTTTGTGGCTGTTTGTGTTATGTTGTGATGCACTGCTCTGCTCACATTAGACATATTAATAACACTGGCAGACAGACAAGCGGAGAAAGAGCAGTGTTATTGCAACCTGTAATGTTCTGTTTAACCTTTGTTGTGTTGAAGTTTGTTTTACCAGTCAGTCATGTAATGACTTGTGAGTTTAGTGTATAACGTTACATGTAACATTCCGCCATTACGGCACAAATCAGAGCTAGTAGCGACTTAGCTTGCTAACATTAGCTAGCATTAGTAGCCCTACTCTGTACAGTAACTGTTGCGCACCAAAGAAGATCACTCGCCAACTTCTTTTTATGTTTTCAGGGACCGACTATACATTAAATTGACATTTAATTACATGGTAAAGAAACTAAAACAAACTTCAACATATCATTATAGGTTAAACGTGTACAGCAAGTTGTAACTGAGTTAGACGCTGTCTGTCGCACACAGTCTGTCAGCGTTCCTTCGGCGCGTTGCATGATGGGATATATTACTTGGTTCGTGACCATTGGTTGTACACTAATTTTCACGATGCATTGTGGGGTACTTTGAGTCCACTATATAGGCTATAATAAAACCCACTATACATTTGGACAGCGCTTCAAAATGGTGAATTCTCTGTATAGTGTGTAGTGAGTGATATCGGACACAGCCATGCGGTAGCATGCCTGGAACAGATGACCATATAAAAAAATCTGTCATGAGCTGACATCGTTTCATAGTCGATGTAAAGGTACGCAGATGCGAATGCATTGGGACGCATCAAGACACATTGGCCACCATGATGCGCGCTTGTGTCTCAAAACGTGTTGTCCATGTTTTTTGATATGCGATGCGGCAACGCGTGGAATACCATGGGTTGCTAGCGGGGGTGATAATGCAAGCGACGTACTTGAAATTAACCACTTTTTGAAGCAGGTATGAAATATGGCGGGCGAGGAGGAAAAACTTTGTGATGTCGTACGGGCACACCCCCCATTCATATGACAGTTCTAGTGCCCTGCACTCTAATAAAATAGCAGTACTACCTAGCTACAGCAGTACTAGCTAGCCAGAATGTACCGGTGACTGTGCTACCCCCTATTGCGCGAGCAATGTATTGCATTTCACTTGTCGCCCGCGTCGCTTGCGTTCAGTGTGTCTATGAAAGGAAGTGCGTTGCTTGTGTCGCTTGCTCGCGTTTCATGCGGCAACTATGAAACGGCCATCAGTTTAGCCAGTGTAGAAATAAGCAGTTGGAAACAGAGTACTCGGACATTTGTGATCAAATATATTACTTTAACATAGGTAAACTTCATTATTTGAAATTTTGGCTATATTTATTATGAACATCCTTTATTGTAACATTATATATAACATACACAATATGTCCCCTTTAAAGGCCTTTTGGAAAAATTATTAAATTCATAGGATGTTAGGCACTGACAGCTTCTTTTAATATAATCTATTACCACAACGAAATTTTGTAATTGTTCCTTTTTAGGGAGGGCCATGGCAAGATATCTGTCTTTGTTGTGAAGATGGCCCTAGCAACCATCTGTGGAGGAAAAATCCTGGATAAATTAAGATGTAAGCAACACAACAAATCCTTATTTTACTTTTAATTGTGAAGAATGAAATTAAAATCACCCTTTTTACCTGTAATAAATCAGCTAATTTTATTCATGCAGTTATTAGTCTAAGTAATGCACTGCTTTGGAATTTCTAATACAAACTTATTAGTCTGTCTTCTACATCTCTGTCTGCTTAGCCTATTGTTCCTAAAGGAAGAAGCGGTACTGGCCGAGCTCTTCATGGCTGGAAGAAGTCATTATTCATTATCTGAAGGATAGGGTTTATTACATAATCTACAAAATCCGTGGGAGCAGTCGCAATGGCTCGTGAAGGGAAATAAAGGAGGGTTATGTTGCTGGTGTATTATAACAATTGATATGAATAACCGCTTTACTTTGTACAAATAAGTGGGATAATTGTATTGTGTAATGCTGTAATTAGCCGACTGTGGTGGCAGCTGACAATTAGTTTGATTCATTTGTGTGATGTCTCCCTACATTGTTTCCAGATATTTTTTCACAGATATCAGATTCTGCTGGTATAATGGTGCACTCGCAGTTTGACCAGTTTCTGAGGGAGGTTCTTAAATTACCCATGGCGGTTTTTGAGGGACCTTCTTTTGGTTACACTGAACAAGCTGCAAGAACGTGCTTTACACAGCAGGTGAGGGTTCATTAACCACAGAGTGTTCCTGTGATTGTTTTAGCATTGGCGTTCCTGTTGAATCATCTCACTTTCCTCTGCGCCCCACGTCAACAGAAAAAGGTCTCCCTCAATACATTCCTCGATACGTTGATGTCAGACCCGCCCCCTCAGTGTCTGGTGTGGTTACCTCTCATGCATCGGCTCGCCAACGTGGAGAACGGTAAGACACCATGCAGAATATTTATAACTATGGAATGCTAGCAGGCCGGGAGGATGTAAAGTTCAGCTTTGCATCATAATCTTGAGTCACCGCACACACACAGTCGAGCAGACACACACCTCCAGTGAAAATGACCCATAGGGACCTTACACCCTGTGCATGAGTGTGTGTGTTTGTACGTATTTGTGGTGCACTCATCGTCACAAGCCTCCTCCATGTAAGCAGGAGAAACAGTCACGTGTGCACGGATAAAGGTGGTGTCAGACTGATTTCTACGTATTTGGTTAAAATGAAATGAGCATTAAAACAGACTCAACAGCACATCTGTGCTTAAATTAATTGAAATGAATCCTCTGCTCTTTGCATTGTGCCAGATATCTGGGTTTACAGTCACATCTGTTTGTGCGCATGTGTTTGTCCATCTGTGTGTCTGACCCCTCCTCCCCTCCCTGCAGTCTTTCACCCGGTCGAGTGCTCCTACTGCCATACTGAGAGTATGATGGGCTTCCGCTACCGCTGCCAGCAATGTCATAATTACCAGCTCTGTCAGGACTGCTTCTGGAGGGGGCATGCCAGCGGTTCCCATAGCAACCAGCACCAAATGAAGGAGTATACGTCATGGGTAAGGGAAGGAGAAGGGGAGGAGGAGAGGGGCGGGCTAAGGGAGGTGTGTCCGCACTGGACCAGTCACTGTGGCTGTTTTTCGTTCTGCTTCACAACGATGTAAGGATGCTGAATGTTTGATGCAGGTGACAGCATTGCCGCAGCGATGCCATGTGTTTAGAAAGGAAATTAGTGTCCTCTGAATTTTCTCTTGTTTACCCCTAGAAATCCCCCGCTAAGAAGTTATCCCATGCTCTCAGTAAGTCGCTGAGCTGTGCATCCAGCAGAGAGCCTCTTCACCCCATGTTTCCTGAAATGCCAGACAAACCTCTCAACCTAGCTCACATTGTGTAAGTGCATGTGCTTTCTTTTCTCTCTGGCTTCTATCGCAGATTTTAAAAGGTTTAATTTCATCCCTCAGCTGATAATTATCTTGTAGCTGCCTCGAAGTCTGAAGTGATTCCAGTCAATCTCTTGGGTCAACTGATCAATGGGGCTTAATTATAGCCCTGGGAATGATTGTGATCTGCAACACTGCTGCTACCTTTTCCTTGACTTGACAAGGCCTACACAAGCACAGACTGTAATGCTGCTTATAAAGGGCAGGTATAGAAAGATACAATAATGCTATATCTGGTGCAAACATCAGTCCCTACCATGTTTATCTGTGTTTATTTTTCAAGTTCCTCTCTTTATATTCATAGTATGTTATAAGCAAATACAGGCGTCCCTATTTTCATGTTGCTTGTAAGTGAGGAAACAAGCAGTCATGATTTAAAGAGGAGAGAATGTCACATTCCCAGTGTTAAAATAAAAACCAGTCAGCTCACACACCAGTCCTGCTTATGTGGAGATTACGTTCTTGGACGGCGGTCAAATCTGAGGCAAACAGCAGCTAAAGTGTTTAAAGCATTTGGTACCAATTAACTAACTAACCTGCTGTAGAGATTTGGAGTTATACAACTTTAATGGGACAAATATGAGACTATTTTACCCCTTTTTTTCTACTGTAAATATTTTTAGGATTGATAAGTGATTAACTTAAAGGGACAGTTCACCCCAAAATTAAAAATACATATTTTTCCTCTTACATGTAGTGCTATTTATCAGTCTTTGAGTCCTTGAGATATTGGCTGTAGAGATGTTTGCCCTCTCTCTAATATAACAGAAGTAAATGCCGCCCAAAAAAAAAACATAAATTTGAAAAATTCAACAGCTTTGTCTCTTTCCAGAAATCATGACCTGGTTACTCAAAATAATGCACAGACCTTGTTAAGAGCAGTTTCATGTAGGAGCTATTTTCTTTCTTCCAAACTACACCCCCCAACTGTATCACCACGCAGAAGGAAGAGTGCATCTACTCATAGATGAGAGGCTCTTGCTCGTGACAGAGCAAGATATAAAGCTAATGTTACAGCTCAGCCAAGGAGGACGCCATTAATGTTGTTGAGTGAAGGCAGACATCTCTACAGCCGATATCTCCAACGCTTAGCAACTCACACAAAAACAGTCTAGATTGACTAATAGGCTACAAATAAGAGAAATAATAATGTATTTTTGATTTTGTTGGTCGATTTAAATTTAATTCAGTAAGCTTCATTGGCATGACAGTTCCTAAGTGTTGCCAAAGCACAATGACAATTTAAGACATGGAAAATTCACAGTGTATTAAAGCAGCACTTACCTTTCTGGAAATTTTGCACTTTTCTTTGTTTAGGTTAAAATGCTATTAATAAGCTGATGGCACACTAAAATGTAAGTGAATTCCACCAGAGATAAAACTCATAATTATACCATTCTCATATGGTTCTAAGAAAACTCCGACCAATCATTGCATTCAAACCAAATGCAATGATTGGCCGAGCGTCCTGTATGTCTCCCCCACCTGGAGACCTCCGACTGACGTAGGCGCTCACGTAACATTAAAAAAAACTCATCAGTCATCACTGACCACGGATAAGTTTCAAAACTCTGGGGTTGCGTTTGACTGTGCAGGACAGGTAACGTTATGTTTAGTTTGCTTCTATTATAGCATATAACATATAACGTTATATGTGACAACACAGCATCCAGTTGCTAATGGCTAACGTTATCCTCCTTGTGCGTTTCCACTTACTAATAACGTTAGTGCTACTATCTAACGCTAGCACTGTAACCTTATTCCAAAACTCATCAGTCATCACTGACTCCGGTTGAGTTTTAAACTCCGGGGTTGGGTTTGACTGTGCAGGACAGGTAATGTTATGTTTAGTTTGTTTCTAATATAACATATAACGTTATATGTGGCAACACAGCATCCAGTTGCTAATGGCTAACGTTAGCCTCCTGTAGCGTAGCCTCTGAAACATTAACGTTATCTTCCTTGTGCATTTCCACTTACTAGTTACGTTGACGATACTATCTAACGCTAGCACTGTAACCTTATTTTAAAACTCATCAGTCATCACTGACTCCGGTTGAGTTTTAAAACTCTGTGTTACACTCGCACTCCTCTTCCATGTATCTAACATTACCTTGCCAACGCCCACGTCTATCATAGACGTAATGGAGGAGGGGGATGGGACTTTGGAGGGAGGCAGGAGTTGTGGATGTTCAGATTTTTTCTAAGTGCTGTAAGAAATGCAAGAAAGGTAAGAGTTGCTTTAATACAAAATCATAGACATACATTTCAAAGAAAAAAAACTCATTAAATGAAGGAGTAAATAAAAAAGCAGAGTGTGATCTGTGATGAAATTAACTATATGTTGGTTGTCTCTTAGGCTGTGACATGCACTGACATATCTTGCTGCGTCTATGGCGCTGACACTATTTTCTCCAAGTAGATATTGCAAGAGTGTTTCAAAATCTTGGAGTGAACTGTCTCTTTAAGCAGCCAAAAGGATTCATATTTGTGCAGCCAGTTTTGTAGAATTAAATGTCTGCTTTGGAGCCTGAGGGGAGTTTTGAAGCCAACACCAATATTAGTATTTGAGAATTAAAAAATCTGATAATGATACAAATCAGTTGATGTAGTAGTTTTTTTTCACATAAACACATAAACGTTTTTTGATTGAGGATCCCTTAAATTTGACTGGAATTTTACATTTAGTGTAATCTTTGCACTCCTGGGCTGATTGTAATAAATTATCTCCATTCCTTTCTTTGTTCGATACTTTCCTCAGAGACACGTGGTGAGTTTGCTTTGATTATTTTACACATCCCAAAATGTGTCTTTGTGCATTTTTGTGACCGTAGATTTAAATCCTTTGTGCTAATTCTGTATAGCAATGTCAAGTCCCACCCACCCTAGCCTACTGACAGTCACTGTTGTCCATTCTCTTTTAAACACTTGCTGTGTTTGTGGATTCACGGATTCATTACATCATTCATTGCATGTATTCAATATTTCACAAATCCTGTAACTAATCATTTGGACTTTGTTGCCACATCTAGGCCTGTCACAATAATTACGTTATTGAGTTGTCGTATGATTTATGGACGTCAGTTTGATCATTTTGCCGCCCTCAGTATTGCCTGTTGTGTTTACATGCGTGTTTGCGAGTACATGATGCCAGAATAAACATTAGGGTTTTCCCGAACATTACAAGAGTTGGGTGCAACGATTCTCCCTTGTATATCGCTAAACATTTGTTTCATGTTTAGGCCGCCGAGACCAGTGAACATCGCCAATGACTACTCACTCTCCCACTCCATGCCTACATCAGGGAACCCTTACTCCACCAAAAAGTGAGTACAGCCCTAACAATGGATGCCCTGGATTTTACCGCAGATCTTTGCAGTTTGCCGCACTCCCTAAAGGCCCCATCCCCTGTAGACTCCGTGACCCACACTGTCTTTATTTTCTCGCCTTTATTTTCCAAAGTGTGTGTGTGTGTGTGTTCGTGTGTGAGCATTTGTGTCTTCCCCTTTCTTCCTTGTGGTTCCCTGTGCTGAATGTAAATGGCTTGCCTTACAGCAAGAATAATGATGTTGAGCAAAGAAAGCCCCTGACTGAGGCTGCTCCACATCTGTTGAAAGGGAGAGGGTAAGTGACACAGGTGTGCATATGGGAATGTCTTTGTAGCTCAGATGCATGCGTGAACTAATACAGATAATAATCATAGGGCATAAACTAGAGTGCTTATCCTCCTAAGGAACTAGTGTTTTCATAGAGGGGTTGATATTGTTGCACTCCAGGGGCTATTTCAAAGACGCTGGAAGAAGCATGCATCATAAAGATCACCTGCAATTAGTTTGGAGTGTCTGTTACAATCTTTTCATTCACACAGAAATGGGAAATACTAACTGCCAGTTTCAGATATAATTCGCTTTGATTGTAACCCTCAATCTTCTCTATGTTGGAGCTAAGACAGTTTAAATTCCCAGGCTCATTGATTATAGCGTATGGTTGGAATTAACTTGTTGCTTTCAGTTGCTGTTGTTGTGTATCGGAAGATAAAAGAAATGCTGGTTATGATTTTTCTAGTGAAAGGCCTCTGAGCTCCTCTGTACCTGCACTTGATGAAGAAAGTGTTTCTGTAGGGAACACCACTCCCTTTCATACACAAAATACAGATGTGAGCGTTCTTCAGGTCATGCTTGATGTGCATGTCAGAGCATCTGACATTGCGGTTACTGTTTGTACGGACACCAGATAATACTTACAGGCAAAGTGCCCTCTGGTGGTTTACTGGCCGGCTTTTGCACAACAACGACTGTGGATACCTGATTATATTTAAACTTTATGACAAGGGTTTTGACTTTAAATAGCTGGAAGACTGAGAGAGACAACTTTTAAAGGAGTGGTTCTGAAGACAGATTGATGCCAAAATGGTGTAATCTTGGTCAGGCTCCAAAAGCTTAGACCCTGCACTTCCCAAAATGCAGCACAATAAGCTTCCTAACAGGCGAATGGTTCATGCCAGCAGTATGCAATGCAAGCTTTACATTACTTTAAAACTGCACTGAACAATATTTTATATTTAAAATATATTAAATGACTGCGTAATGTTTAAATTGGCTTGCTCATAGTTGCTCTGGCTTGTAGCCATCATGATGAGGTCCGTATGTACTAGCTGGTAGAATATATTTCTGTTTATTTAGCTGCTTTAGGAGCTTTAAGGAATACTTCACCCACAAATTGATCTTTTTTTTTGTCAGTTACTCACCCTGTGTTATGTTGAATTTCGTTTGTTTTTCTCGCGTGCTTCTACAGCGAACGAAGAATCCAAAAATGTAGAAAATTCTTGATGAGTTGAAGTCTTAGAGGGTCTGTGTTTAAGAACGGCAAAACTATATCAAAACATCCATTTACAAACTCTTATGTAACTCATGCAGTATGATCCAAGTCTCATTTATACAGTTGTATGCTCAGTACTTCCCAAACAAACTCATTTTTGCTAAAACCTACTATTTAAAACACTTCCACATACGAGTAGCGCACCAGGGTGAGTACGTGTGTTTGAACGCCGCTCAATGTGCTCTCTCAGGCACGTTTGAAATTGTGGGGTTTTGAAAGGTGTTAAGAAACATCAAAATTATTTTCTCTAACCGCTTATCCTGTTAGGGGTTGCGAGGGGCTGGAGCCTATCCCAGCTGACAGTGGCTGAGAGGCGGGGTACAACCTGGACAGGTCACCAGACTATCACAGGGCTGACACATAGAGACAGACAACCATTCACACTCACATTCACACCTACGGACAATTTAGAGTCACCAGTTAACCTGCATGTTTTTGGACTGTGGGAGGAAGCTGCAGAAAACCCACGCTGACACGGGGAGAACATGCAAACTCCACAAACTCCATCAAAATTAGATTAATACAATTTAAGATATTGAATGTGTTTACTGGACTGAGCTCTGGAGCAACGCTGACTGTTGGGAGTTCTGCAGTTCTGAAGGGACGCTTCTTCATCCACTCTGGGAGTCTCCCATGATTCAGAACTATTATTATATTGGATAAAGGTTCATGAACGTATAAAAAACATTACCCAGACTAACTTCGAGTTCTGCCCCAGGCTGTATGTTCTCACTGACCCACAAATGACATCTCACTGTGGAGCCAGGGTTTTTATTCAGACCAGTATAATGGTGGGAAAGCAAATTATAATGAGAAACTGGAGGAAACCAGGTGAGCCCTTATTTAAGGAATGGTTCACAGAGTTAGCAGAAGTTGCATCATATGAACAAATCTCTTACAGTTCTAAAGATAGGACAGAGAAATATATGTGGTGAAGTGGAGAAGCTGCTTGGAGTACGGTGTGTGTGTGTGTTCGTATCTTGAGGTGAATCCCACCCTACAGGGCGCTCTTTTGCACACTTCTTGTGTGTCTGCGAGATCACAGTTGATCGTGGTGCATATTTATGTAGGAATATAGATTTTTTTTTTAAGAATTACTTATGTATTTTTTTAATTATTATCTTATTTAGTTATTGTGTTTTTTCCCCCTCTTGTGTATGTACATATATTTGATTTGGTTACATTCGGTGACACTGTTTATGCTAGGGAAATAAAGTTCAACAAAATATTAATGAAAGAAAATAGTGGGGGTTTTAGCAAAAAATAATGTTTGGAAGGTTCTGAGCTTACAACTGGATGAATAAGGCTTATACTGCAGGAGTTGTGTGAGTTTGTAAATGGATATTTTGACATAGTTTTGCTGTTGTTAAAGGTCCAGTGTGCAGGATTTAGGGGGATATATTGGTGGAAATGGACTATAATATAACAAGTATAGTTTTTTTAGTTTATAATCACCTGAAACAAAGAATTGTATGTTTTTGTTAGCTTAGAATGAGCCGTTTATATCTACATACAGAGTGGGTCCTCTTCCACAGAGACTGCCATGTTGTTCTACAGTAGCCCAGAACGGACAACCAGTCACGCTAAATAGGTCCATTTGCATTTTTTGCTTCAGCCAGCGCTAGGTCAGAAGAAGGCAACCTGCAGCTCTTATTGCATTCTACAACTGTAAAAATGTGTAGCCTATGCAAATGTTTTAACGTTTCATCAATTAAAATATGTGTCGTACATCTACGACCTGGTGCCTTTCCCTCTAAATTTTGCTGAACTTCAGTAGCAGTGGCTGCCTGGAGTCTTTCTAACGAGGCTAGCTGTGGATTCCAAATCCAAAAAAGGAAAAGACCTGAAAAAAAATAGAGGATTTAATAGAGTGTAGACAGATTCATTTGCTTTCACCACCAATGCTGCACAGTTAAAGTACTAAATGGTCATAAATAGCCCACTGCAGAGTAGCCGCCCTGTAGTAAATCATATAAATGAATGCATAAGGTTTTTTGTTTTTCTTTTTTTGGCCAACAGTGGCTCAAAGGTTGCTGACCCATGCGCTAGCTACACAGGACAAGTTTCAGTTGCTTGCAATCTAGTCTCGCAGACAATCAGAGATCTCTGCCTTCTGATAGTCTGGGGACACTCCTTTCTAAAGTGCGTTTAACACACCGGAGAAAAAGGCCGGCAACAAAGCAATGCCCTCCTGGAAATCTGCGCTCAAACACACAGAGAGCTTGAAAATGGATGCTGAGAGATTTAACTCCGTTTTATCAAACGTGTGCTCAGTCCACAAGATTGTGGAAATGAAGGACTTACAGTGACTTTGTTTAAAACTTTTAAAGCAGTCGGACTATGTTTACGAGCACAAGAGTTCAGCGAGCCACCGAAGGACCGCCCTGCGGATTTACTATTGGTTCTGCAACGTAGGGAGTTTTTTTAAACTCTGAAATTGTATCCGCCCATCTAAACACAAAATCAGGGAAAAAGATATCAGTCTTTAGTTAAGCAAAGCGTCTAAAGACCGACATGTGAGTCTACTTGCAATCAGCAACTTCACCGCTGAATGCTGCTAAATCCCATGCACTAAACCTTTAAATGCGGCCACCTTTTACTTCAATTCATCTGGAAGCTTCTCCTATTTTTAATTCTCTGTTCACCATGGAGGCATGCCAGAAAAAAGGTTTCTTCATGAATTGATATCCAAATGATAATTTTTTTGATTGCTAATATTTTAAGTTAGCTGGCTACAATTCAAAGGCATTATAGCTAACATTTAAGATGCACATAAATAAATAAATAAAGTCGTGAACCTCCATAATGGCAGCAGGACTGGTTGCTATAGGAGTTTGTGATGCAGGTGGAAAGCCTCTATAAATACAGCAGCTACATTATAAAGACTGTGCATGCTTGACATATTTTGGCTGGCAGATTGTTTGACTTATAAATAATGACTGTCACTAGTTTTAATAATAGAGCACTGAGTGATTGATGCTTGCAGAATGTAAACACGCAGCCTGAAGAGTCTTTTTTTAATGCTTGGCATGTCTTTATTCGTGTTTCGAGCCTTCATCACTGGAGTCTCTCCCAAACATAATATGGCCTTGTTTCTCTCTAGTCACCCATGAAAGGCTGCTTTTCAGCCGCTCTCTTCCTCTTCCCCTTTGTTGCACTTTCTCCTTTTCTCCCTCTCTGCAGCCTCTCCCCTCTCGTCCCCTGTCCCTCTATTGTCACCTGTGTAATGTCGTGTTTTATGTTTTGTGAAACCCTGCACTGTTCCAGGTTGAACTACAACCTCGATGTTGCTGATAGACTTGCAGACGAACATGCTCTGATTGGCCTCTATGTGAGCCTACTCCAAAACAACCCCAAAACATGGTTAGTTTGGTGTGCCGCTGTGTTTGCCAAACACCAGTGGAAACCATGTGCTCTGCTGAAGTGCCCCCCTCCCCCCTCCCCTCGCAATCCTTCCCCTGAACTCACCTTACTCTGAGTGTGTTTCAGCCCTAACGCTGCATGCTGTCAGCTTTACAAACTAGTCAACTCGACCTCTGACACTTCTGTCAACACATTGTTATTCAGCTGAACTGTATCCTAGTTTATTTCTACCAAAAGATCGGTATGTATTAGATTTGATTCTAAGGTGAAATATTTGAGTCCTTAAAAGATCTTCTAAGTATACACATGACTACATAATAATAAAGGCACAGTATGTATTTTTACTCTTACCTGTAGTGCTGTTTATCTATCTAGATTGTTTTGCTAAGTTGTCGAGTGTTGGAGAATATCACCTGTAGAGATGTCTGCCTTCTCTCAAATATAATGGAACTAGATCGCACTCGACGGCATCAATGTCTCTTTCCAGAAATCGTGACCTGGTTACTCAAGATATTCCACAGACCTTGTTGTGAGCAGTTTCATGTAGGAACTATTTTCTTTCTTCCAAACTACACCTATGTCACTGCGCAGAAGGAAGTGTGCATCTACTCATGGATGAGTGACTCGTGCTTGAGACAATGCAAGACGTAAACGTTAATGGCGTCCTCCTGGGCTGAGCTGTAGCATTATTAGCTCAGCGATGCTAGGTGAGCTAGCAGTAGATGCGTAGAGGTGTAGTTCTGAAGATAATAGCTCGTATATTAGAGACTTTGCCGTTGAGTTTTGCAAATGCAATGTTGGGCAAGTCACTCTCAAAATGTGATGTATTACTAGTTACCTTCATTTGAAAGTTGCTTTACAATATAGCTCTCTGTGTAGAGTAATAAGTTACTACACTACTTTTGTGTTACTTTCACCAAAATGACCTCAGAGGAACGAATAGGCATTTTAAATGGATGAGGTTCATGTTGTTTCACAGCAGGTACTCAAAGCACAGAAGCTCCACATTATTACAGTTCATTTTAAATCCAGTGCTGCAGGTCTGACCCATTCATGCATTCACAAACAGTGGCTACCACTTTGTATTAAAATCCCTGCTTATATTGAAAATAGTTTGATGATATGGAATAATTTAATAGCCTAGACCGTTTAAAATAAATGAACAGCCTGGGACACAGGGAGGGTCAGGCAGAGGATCATAGTCTGATAATCATGAGATATGGATAAATATTTGTGGGCCTGTGATATGAAACACAATAAACAAATATTGAGGTTAGCACAAGAAAAAGTCACGATGACTAGCGCAAATTAATACACCAGAGCTGGAGGACCCACCTGCCGATTCCTGGTGTGCCAGTCAGCTACAGCAGCACCACAGAGAGAGTTATTTATAAGAATGGGACTGTGTGTTGATGTTGTTCTGTAGTTGTAGGGGATGTGAATGGAAACACATCCAACATATAGTAACATTACTTATATATGTCGATCACCAGCCAGCTTCTTATCCCCGCAGCCTTAGGGTGCAATTGCAGAACAGGATGCGGTGTATGTATGTGACTGGAAACAAACTGTACATGACCACTGGCACCCTTCAGTGGATGTGTTTCTTTGGTGGTGCACTGAAGGAAGTGGAGCGTTTAAAACAATGAAAACACTAATTTATTATATTGTATTTATTATTATTTTGGGTGGTGATGCGCTACGTGACGTTGTAAATGTAATAATATTACCCGAAATCCTGTTGGTAACATGTTATATTAGTTTGTTACTATTACAAAAGTAATATATTACTATTACGCCTTACTCCCAACACTGTTTACATGTATTTTTCGACACTCTGAGCACCACAAGCCGAGTGCCATCTAGTTCCTTTATATTAGAGAGAAGGCAGACATGTCTTCGGCCGATATCTCCAACACTCTGCAACTCACACCAAAACTACATAGACTGGTAAATATCACTACAGGTAAGAGGAAAAATATGTATTTCTGATTTTGTGGTAAACTGTCCCTTTAAGTTAATCACTTATCAATCCTAAAAATATTTACAGTAGAAAAAAAGGGGTAAAATAGTCTCATATTTGTCCCATTAAAGTTGTATAACTCCAAATCTCTACAGCAGGTTAGTTAGTTAATTGGTACCAAATGCTTTAAACACTTTAGCTGCTGTTTGCCTCAGATTTGACCGCCGTCCAAGAACGTAATCTCCACATAAGCAGGACTGGTGTGTGAGCTGACTGGTTTTTATTTTAACACTGGGAATGTGACATTCTCTCCTCTTTAAATCATGACTGCTTGTTTCCTCACTTACAAGCAACATGAAAATAGGGACGCCTGTATTTGCTGTGTGTGTGTGAGCACTAATATGCTTGTGTGTGTGTGTGTGTGTGTGTGTGTTTTAATGCTCCTTGCAATGTTATCTATCTGTATTATATTAGCAGCTCTCACCTGTCGTAGTGCGTGCGTGCATTTGAGTGCTTTTACTGTACGTGTGCTTGGAAATACCTAACCATATTTTGACTTCATCAGTGATCAGACTGTAATAAGTAACCTCTCTGTGCTTTAAATACAAAGCGAATGATTACTTCACTTTTATGTAATAACCCAACTTCATTCCTGCTTTTGTGGTTTTACATAAATAGCTTATCATGGTTACACTGTTGGCTCTGCTGTGAAACTTATCAAGCTTTCCTGCCAAACAACTAATCTGACTGCTTGGAGTTTCTTCGGTTTTTGCTTTGTCTTCCTGCATGGTTTTATGTCTGCGTAGCTGTGTAGTAACTGTGTTGTGACTCCATATTCCTCTCCACCAGTTTGCTGGAGAGCAGTAACCATCAAGATGAAGAGCACAGTCTCATCGCCCGCTATGCTGCTAGACTGGCTGCTGATGCTGCGGTGAGATATATATATATATGTATAAGACATTTACTGCTCACAGTTTTTCATCAGCATCTACTGCCAAAAGTCTGTTGTTGATGAGAAGAAGGTTTAACACACGCTGCGACTCTACCTGTGAGAGTTTCAGTGCTTTTATTGTGACGATGATGAAGGGATTTACAGGTGGTGCTCGTTTCTAACCAGACCTGTTTATGCTCTTGATGGATGGCTGGTGACTTGACTGTTTTATTCTCCTTCCTGTGAGATATGAGATAAGGTAATGGATGACATCATCCAGAGGTAGAGCCGGCTCACGTGATGTCTCTTGCTTGGTTTCTCCGACAGGCTCAACAGCAGAGGATCCCCACAGACCTCCCCTGCTCTCTGGATGCCAACAAACAGCAGAGGCAGCTCATTGCCGAGCTCGAGAGCAAAAACAGGTTAGGGATGACTGCTTTGGTGATGCTGTTCAGCTCTCTTCTGTTTGTCTTGTCTCTTCTTTTTGTTTTTTTTTTTCGACTCCACAACAAGAAATTCACCTTGAGAATAAACAAGTTCCTGGTCTGACAAAATAAACAGACCTCAGAGCACATTCATGCAGCATGAACACTGCCATTGTTATTATTAGAAATGTTCAGGATTGGAACCTAATAAAACATTAACATTTTTAAGGAGATAAGTAACTGTATGTGAACTTTATAAATTACAGGCCAATGAATATCAGATTATGCGAAGCAGGTCAAGGCCTGTAACACTGTCTTCACGCCACGACACACATCCACACACAACTCCCGTTCCTGACCCTCCAACCCTTTTTTCTCTCCTCTCCTTTGCTTTCTTTGTATTATTATTCATCCTTTTTTTCTAATTTGAGCATCTAGTCTGCTCAAACCATTACAATACTTAAAGCTGATGTGTTTTAAGTATTTATTATAGTATTTAATTTCCTAATTTATTTCTATTTGTGCAAAATTATCTACAAACCATATAGTTACAGCTGAAAAAATAAAAAAAGTAGGCAAAATTGTGAATACGATTTTATAAGTTGCTAAAACTGGAACAAAAACTAAGTTAAAAAATAAGTAAAATAGAAAAGCAGTAAAGACTTACCACTGAGAGTAACAGCAAATTAAACATTAAAATTACATCTATAAATAATCGTGAATAATGAAACCAAAGTGGAGACAAAAGTTCAATTACAGGCAACAGTGAACAATATGAAGGTTTTAATGCAGCTATAATTTAATATTTTTATATCAACAGCGGATCACGTGACCACATGTATATGACGGCGGGCGGTCTCATGTGGTGAGGAGCCCGCAGAGAGTTATCACCTGACTGTGCAGTTACCTTCAGCTCTGCAGAGCTTTATAGGCTCACTGTCACACTGTCATGGCTCGAATAGAACGGAGACATGTTTAATGTTGTTAGTAGCACTGTGCTTTAAGCAAAATATCTGTTGTGAAAAAAATCCAAAACGTGTTTCACCTCATTGGTTTAGTTTTAGGCCCAGTATCTTTGCTGTTTTGGGTCACTCTCTCTGCTCTTTAATGTTTTTTCTAAGCAAATTGCAAAGTTAGAAACTAGCTGGTGAACATAGTGGAGTATGTAGAAGTTAAAGCGCAAAATATTTCCCTCAGGAGTTAGTAGCGATGAAACCAGCTGAAAGAGAGTGAATATGGGACTTAAATTCATCAGATGGACACGGATTGATGTTGCTCCGTATCTGTTGACTGTGTTAATAACTGAGGTGATAAAATGTTCACAACTTGTTTCCACTGCCCCCAAGTGGCAAAAACAAATCAGTTATTGCAGGTTTATTTTTTTTCCTAACTTCAGTTTTTACTGCCTTCACACATACCAAGGTGTTATAGTTTGCTAAACTGAATAAAATCAAAAACTGTGTGAAAGAAATAGTTAACTGAAATAAACATGAAAATTAGATTAAAAAAAAAGAAAGGAAACAAACTGAAACAATATTGTTTTCCTCACAAAACTAATTAAAATAAAAACCTAGAGGAAATCTCAAGTTTTAGTTTATATCTTATGTTTTAGTCTTACTTAATTTTGTCACATTTGTCAACACAACAAATATCAGGAGAGATTGGTGGATATGTTTATTGAGACCTGGACGTCTACATGTGAGTCAATTGCCTTGACAAAGTCTCGTGTTGATATTGTAAAACTCATGTTGCCCCTGACAAACATCCCCGTGTTATAATAATAATAAAAAAAAAAACTAAAACTAGTACTGAAACAAATAAAAACTTAACAAAAAGAGACATTTTAAATCAATAAATCTAAAATGAAACAAGCAAACCAACTGTGGAAACCAAATGAAACGAAATTCAGAAAAAGAGAGGGACGACAAACGTAGATCAAAACCTTGTGTCGGGTACTCGTGAATGGGAAACAACAAGATTGACAGCAAGGCAATCCAAAAAATATAGAAAATGTAAAGAAAGAAAGGAAATATTGAAAAGGCCTTTATTGTAGTGGCTAAATCATTGCATCATCATCATTGCAGGTCTTCGTCAGGGCTTCAAAACATTTTGAAAGCCCTAATATTTCCTTCCTTGTTTTCCATATTATTTTGGAGTGCCTGTTTTCTTGTTAAAACTAAATTCAATTGAAAACAAAATTGAAAAACTAATGAAAAATACATAACTATAATAACTCAGATAACTGCAAAGAGGAAATCACAGTTCACAGCTAGTGATGCAGTTTACAGCACTGTTTTCTTATTCAAACTTTTGTACAAAATTTACATTATTGTCAATGAAATTATATAGTCACAGTGATGGGGTCATTTTTTCCATCACATATTTTTCCTGCACTGTATCTAACCACTGTCGACTGTCTGGTGGGTCTGTTTCAAGTTTCTTGTAATGGTCTTCCTGCCAGCGCCAGCTGTGAGTAGGATTTTGACCAAGTAATTATCTCCCTTCAGCGCCACTTTAGTTATATTATATAAAATAGAGCACTTGTTGGAGATTATATTTATATAAAAGAATAATACCTCATTTAATACTGAATTCAGAATGGCTCTATTTTGGGGCAACTCCAGAGGAAGTGTGCGTCTGTATGGCCACATTGCCTCCAGCATGTTCATGCCATAGAGGCTGTTTGCTTTTTATGTTAGGCGTCATAAAGAAACAAATCAGTTTTTTCCAATTAAATTCTCTCTGTTTATGTGAATTTGTGTATATCTGCAGTGAGACACACATATGATGCCATTGTTCTAGTTTAGATTCAAACACGGTCCGATTTGGACAGAGTCCACAGTATGATCATTTGGAAGGTCGTTCCAAGGACCACTGATGGATTAGTGAATGAACCTACTGGGCACAGGCCCAGGGGTTGCCTTGACCTTCACCTGCTGAATGGCTGTCAAATTAACATGAGCCAACCAGGAGACTCAAAATGACCATAGAGAGACACAGAAAGACCAGAAATAGATGCAAAGGAAGGAACTGCAAAGAGACACAAAGTAACTATGAAAACAGGCAAAAGAACCACAAAGAGACATAAAAATACAAAGAAAAAAGACACAGAATTACATTAAAGAAATACAAAAATATCAAAAAGGACACAAAATAAGGAGATATAAAATGACCAAAAAAAGACACAAAATTACACTGAAGAGACACAAAAAGACACAAAATAACCTTAATGAGACACAAAATTACATTAAAGGGACACCAAATGACCAGAAAAGACACAATATTACCATAAAGAGACTCAAAATGACCAAAAAAAAGACAAAATTACCTTAAAGACACACAAAATTACTTGAAAGAGACACAAAATGACCTTAAGGAGATATAAAATGACAAAAAAGACACGAAATTACTTGAAAGAGACACAAAATGACCTCAAAAAGACACAAAATTACCCAAAAAGACACAAAATAACCTTAATGAGACACAAAATTACCCAAAAAGACACAAAATAACCTTAATGAGACACAAAATTACATAAAAGGCACACTAAAGGACCAAAAAAAAGACACAATATTACCGTAAAGAGACTCAAAATGACCTCACAGAGACACAAAAAGACCAAAAAAAGACACAAAATTACCTTAAAGACACACAAAAATACTTCAAAGAAATACAAAAAGACCAAAAGAAAACAGAATTATCTCAGAGATACAAAATGACCAAAAAAGACACAGAACAACCACAACGAGATACATAATGACTACAAAAAGATGCAGAAAGACCACAAAAGACACAGAATTACCTCAATAAGACACAAAACGACCTCAGGGAGACAAAAGAACTTCAACAAAGAGACACAAAACCACCACAAAGTCTGTGTGTCTTGGGGCCTTTTGTATATGTGTGCCCAGGGGCCCACTGTCCTATAATTCGCCCATACAAGAACATGTAGCACTGTAACAAAATGCAGCTCCTCTGTACTTTGTGTTGATCCAGGGTTATACAGACCAACCATGCCTGAAATATTAACCTGTCTCATTTGTTTATGCCTGTTACAGAGAAATCCTGCAGGAAATTCAGCGGCTGCGCCTTCAGCACGAGGAGGCCTCCCAGCCGCCACCTGACAGGGGTCAGCAGAACCCCACTCTTTTGGCTGAGCTAAGACTTCTCAGGTAACTCTGTCTTCTTTCATCCTGCGGCGTGTTTATAACAGACACGTTTGCTTAGGCTGCACTTGAACGTACACATCGTAATTGCTTACCTTTCCTCCTAGACAAATGAACAGCATATGCTGGAGCCTACAGATGCTCATCATACACGTTTTTTTCTCCTCATTTTGCTGTTGATGTGACATTATGGCATCATCACACTGTACAACTTGTTCCCTCTGTTAGGCAACGCAAAGATGAGCTTGAACAAAGAATGTCTACTCTGCAGGAGAGTCGCAGGGAACTCATGGTGCAGCTGGAGCAACTAATGATGCTTCTCAAGGTACCACAGACGCGCCTTTCATCTCTGTGACTTCACAGCACTCAAATACAGCACACACAGATAAGACGCCTTCATCATTACTGAATGAACACATACTGTTTCCTGTTGGGAATAAAAAGGCTGTGGTAATATTGTTGCAGAATCTTTTGCAGATTATTTACACGAGCATGTGTAGTGTAGCTTGGGTTTTGTGTTTCTTATTTTGAGGCAGGTGATGAGCAATATGGCTGATGATTAATTTCCCTTGTTTTACAATGTATCCCAGCTGTGGGTGATCACTCCAGCTAAAGTAGAGCAAACACTGCACTTTGCAGAGGAAAGAAATGTGAGCAGTTACCCAACATGGCCATTAGAGGGCACACATCTGTAGCAGTCAATCTCTGCTGAGGCCTGTTTTGTCATTTTTCAACCATATATATTAGAGGCAAAGGACATTTACATATGTTATTTAAGATTTTGAGCTATAGGTGAAATATCTGCTGTTGCGTGTCACTAACCTGAGGCCTCATTACAGAAACTTCTAGAGTCTGAATTCCTGTCTTATCACTTGGGATTTGGGGTATTACAGAAACATGTTTCCTAACTGCATTTGGGAAAAAATCCCACCTTATTTTGGGACAGGATTTTGGCTATTACAGAACAGGATTTCCCAAGTTAGGGATCCTAATTAGGATGCCATAGATCCTGTCCTAATTAGAAATTAACTGCCAAAAAATGGCAGCAGTTAGGTCTCCATGGTGACAATGAAAGTGAGGCACAAAATGAAATATAATGATTATAATGATAAATATGTTGATAAATAGTGAATAAATAATTGAGATGAACAATTCTCCCCCACCAACAGGTCTCATGCCTCCGACTTCTCGTACCTTAAACTGAACACCCATGTTTTTACGCTGGTGACAGCCATGGTCAGAGACACTGTGATCTTTGGGGTTTTTTTTGCCTTTAATGGACAGGACAGAGTATTAAGCATGAAAGGGAGAGGTGACATGCAGCAGGGGCCTGTGAGCCAGAATCAAGCTCACGACCTCTGCGGCAAGGACACAGCCTTTGTGCATGGGGCGCCTGCTCTACCCACTGAGCTGCCAGGCGCCCCAAGTCGTGAGTACGTTTGTCTGTCCCATTTTCGTGAACGCAGTCTCTCAAGAAGGCCTCGAGGGAATTTCCTCAAATTTGGCACCAATGTCAACTTGGTGATTAGATTGATTAGATTGAACTGATTAGATTTTGGTGGTAAAAGTCACTGTGACCTCACAAAACATGATTTAAGCCATAACTCATAGAAATGTCGAACAGAATAAAATGATGAAGTGATGACATTTTATAACCAGAAGGTCAAAGGTCAGCTTCATTGTGTCATCATCATGTTCTGCAGTAACAATTTTCTAGCCATTAGAGTTGAAAATGTGTGTGAAGCATCCATGTTTTAGAATTTGTAGCTTCTGGGGCATCAGTGGCTTAGTGGATAGAGCAGGCACCCCATGTACAAGACTGTTGCCGCAGCAGCCCGGGCTCGACTCCAGCCTGTGGCCCTTTGCTGCATGTCACTCCCTCTCTCTCTCCCCCTTTCATGCTTAGCTCTCGTATCAATTAAAGGCAAAAATGCCCAAAAAAATATCTTAAAGGGAAATTTCGGTTTATTTCAACCTGTCTCCTATCGTCCTAAATTTGTTTCAAGTGACTAGTGACATAAAAATAATAGTTAGCATGTTAGCCGTTAGCCTAGATACAGCCGGGGCGCATAGTAGCGTCAGACCTGTTAGAACGTAAGTGAACGGGCAACCTTCAAGTGCAAAGTTAGTCCACTAAACAAGCTTTTTTTCCACAAAGACCACCTCATATCATTAGGATAAATGTCAGAGAACATATAGAAAACCACATGTAAACGTGTTGTCTTACCTTACCGGTGTGGTGCCATGTTTGTTTACCATTTAGCTCTGCTTTCCAAAGCGCGGCCAAAATATCGCGAGAACAAGCAGTGATCTCATACCGTGCCTGAAATCTCGCGAGCTCTAGATAAAGCCCAGTTGGATACTACTCCAGGTGGAGGTGTCTTGTCCTCGGTCACATCCAGACCTTGAAAATAAGGCTGTAACCGGTCCCATTCCTTGCAACAGAGGCATTCCTCTTCTGTGGGCACTGGGGCACAGCATTCACAGGTACACCACCAATCTTTAGAGCTACGCAGCCTTGCAGCAGCCATTCCTCCTCTCTCGTCCTCGTCCTCCTGTTGCGCCTCTCTCTCTCTCCTCCTCCGTTCTTCAATTTCACGAAGCTCTTCGTCAGCGTATTCTGGCTCAAATAAATAAGGGCGGCCATCAAACTCTGCAAAATCAAATTCCTCCTCCACAAAGTCGAAGTCTGGCAAAAAGTCAGCCATTATTCTATAAATCTTTCATAAAATAAATGAATGAACTTTTCAGGCTACTGTCCGGTTCTGCCTTCCAGCTGCTGCTGCTTGTTCTTGCAATATTTTGGCCTCACTTTGGAAAGCAGAGCTAAATGGTAAACAAACATGGCAGCACACCGGTAAGGTAAGACAACACGTTTACATGTTGTTTTCTATATGTTCTCTGACATTTATCCTAACGATATGAGGCGGTCTTTGTGGAAAAAAAGCTTGTTTAGTGGACTAACTTTGCACTTGAAGATTGCCCGTTCACTTATGTTTTAACAGGTCTGACGCTACTATGCGCCCCGGCTGTATCTAGGCTAACGGCTAACATGCTAACTATTATTTTTATGTCACTAGTGACTTGAAACAAATTTAGGACGATAGGAGACAGGTTGAAATGAACCAAAATTTCCCTTTTAAAAAAAAAAAAAGAATTTGTAGCTTCTTTGCGGCAACATCCATATTTGAAGTATCGTCGACCATCATGGCTACATATGAGTCTGGAATGACATGGATGTAATCTGTGACTGCAGCTTGACTGGTTGGCGAAGGCACACAACCACAAGGCGGTCGTTTTATCGATGATAGCAAGCTAGCTAGCCAATGCTAAGTAAGAGCTGTTGATATTATGGCTCGTCCATCTCGAGTAGCCTACGGGTACATTCTAAATATAGATACAGGCGTGAGAGGACGAGTGCCGATTGATGAATCAAATTTACAGTTATATTTCAGGTTTCGAAGTTAAGATAGAATAGGATGTCTGAGATAGGACAGGAATTACATCTGTAATAGGAAGATAGGACATTTCCTATCTTTGAAAATTTAGTTAAGATCAGACAAGCAGTTATGATACTTTTCTGTAATGAGGTGACTGATCAAAATTAAAACGTTTCAGCAGTTCAGACCTCTAACTCACCTGGTAGATTATGTGCCCTATGTCTATCCTTAGCTATACGATCAATAAAAGGCAGAGGGATGTCGTATGCTGTAAAGCCCTCTGAGGCAAACTGTGATTCGTGATTTTGGGCTTTATCAATAAAATTGAATTGAATTTATTAAGTGCCCTTTCTCATGCACGTTTTTGTAAATGATGTCACACATGGCCTTTTTATCCAAGAGTCCAGACAGACGATTTAAGAGCAGGATACTGATCTTGGGATTATGCTCCATCACACCTGACAAGACAACATGTCTACCCCCCCTCTAAAGAGGATAACCTTTGCTGCGAGAATATCTTCTGCAGCCGACAAGGTGGGAGTTCCTCAAAGCCTCCATATACTGCTCACTATACTGGCTTAAGTGGGGGGGATATCAATCTAATTAGGCTAAAAGGATCAATGTTAATCCATTAAACTTGCATGAGGAAGCCACATGCTTGTCACGTCCTGGAGGAATTACGGATTGGATTTTATTTTGGAAATACCCGATGTAATGTGGCTGTTGTTTCATGAGCCATAAAATATTGTTTTTCAGTTGGAGGAGGAACGGAAACAAGCTGTAAGTGTGAAAACTGTGAAGCAAAGAGTGGCTGAAATTACACTTGGGTTCAAAATGATTGCATGTTTGGAGGGAATGCTTTGTTGTCGTCTGGTGAACACAATGTATCTCCAAATTTCAGACACAAAGTTTTTCACCCGACGGCAACTGGTGGTTTGGTCTGTGGGAATAATTGGAATAGCTCTCGGAGAGAAAATCTGTTTTAACAGCATGCTGAGTTTTCTGAACAGTACTGACGTGACTCCATTTATTGTCCATCTGTAGCATGTGTGCAGTGTTTGTTACTTACAAAGCTATTGTGGTGTACTTTAAGGACAAATTAGATTCTCTGTTGACCAAAAAAAAAATGTTGAACTGAATGGTTTGTGGCTGTCTTTTGGAGTTTGATTTGAGATTCTTTGCTGTGATTTGAGAGCTGAAATGAAAACAGTTATTTGGTGCATTATTGGTGGACAGTTTGCTTTAATAGGAACCTTTTGACTCGGGTAATGTCACAGTCTTCTTACAGTCTTTTACAGCATGGTTTTATCTGTTAACAATGGCAACACAGACGCACTTGTTAATTCTATGGATATATATCGGTATTAAGATATTACAGTATTTCAGAGTATTTACAAATCCCGAAGGTATGATTTTCAATACCGTAAGAAATACAGATGCTCCTCTTTCCATTAAACTGATATGGAGATGCTGTATTGTAGTGTAGTGCACAACATGCACCACCAGAGGTCAGTCTCTACTGGTGGAAGATGCAGCTGAGATTAGAGACATGGCATCTGCGAGTGGTGGGGATAACGTTACAGGACTGTTACAGGAATTTTGCCACACATAACTTTATCTTGAGATGACTTCTCCCAACTACAATAGCATTTACCATTTACCTGGTGCCAGTATGCCACCTGTTCCTATGCGACCAGTACCCACCAGAAATAAATCAAAATGCAGATTTCAGTGCCTCGTTTCAGTGCCAGGTTGTGTGTGTAGCAAGCGTGCAGCTGGGAAAGCGCGTATATGTGACAGTGTTGCGTGACACCAAGGCTGCTGCGTTAACGTTAAATGTTAAGTTCAGGCTATTAGTCGGTAAATAAATGCTACAACTCCTCAAGACCAGAGCCAAGTGCTCATGTCTTGCTTGCTGTCTGCTGATTAAAGTGACAGGAGTTAGCTCTGAAGTTAGCGAGCAAAGTTTGCCTCACATTGGAAACTGACCAGGCTCCCTTAAGGTGGACTGTTAAGGTGGACCACCTATTCTCAATGTAGTGACAATCTCAGCTGCTCCCAAACAGATAATCGAGGAACGCCTGGCTGCTGAATGTCTCCTCAGTTATGGAGACAATTACTGATCCCGAGCAAATTTATTTTGCTGTTATTGTTATTAGTTGTGGTTAAACGCTGTCTTTCCACCTTCCTACACTTGTATTTGCAAAAAAAAAAAAGAGACAAAACACACAATTAATAAAATTAAAGATGAATTTGACTGATAGCATTTTTTTTTATTATTATTTTCAAAATGTCTGTAGATTTCGCAATAAAATTTTTATTGAGAACTCCTTTGGCCACAATAATAGTGTAGTGAAATTCTGATATTGTGCCACAGGGTGTCTACAGGTCCTTAAAGAGTCTTAAGATGTCTTTAATTAAGTTTTCTTAATATTAATATCTTAATATTTCTTAATATAAGGCATTAAAAAGTCAGATTAAATTGGTCTTAAATATTTTAGGTCGCAAAAATTTCTCCAGCCTGACAGACCCAATGACTGCTTATGATCAATGGACAGACCAAAGAATTGCAATAATAAATAGAAGTTTTGTTTTCTTTTTACAGTAAACATATTAAACTTAAACTCACCCAACTGTTGTTATACCTGTAGACACCCTGGTGCCAGCCTGAGCGTGCAATGCCTACATAACCTGCTGCTGTAACACAAGAATTTCCCAATTTAGGATCAATAAAGCACATCCATCCATCTCTGTAAGCATGTAAAGCGGTGTGTGTGTGTGTGTGTGTGCGTGTGTGTGTGTTGCAGACTCAGGGTCCCGGCTCTCCACGCTCTTCCCCCAGCCACACCATCAGCCGGCCGATCCCCACACCGATCCTCTCAGACTCCGCCGGCACGACCCCAACGCACACACCTCAGGATTCACTAATGGGTGTGGGAGGGGACGTTCAGGAGGCCTTTGCTCAGGGTAACACAGTCGCACAGAGAAAAGCAAGCACCTGGTTATGGATATGTAAAGTTTAGTTGGAAGTGAAACTTTTCTGTGTTTGTAGTAGGTCCAAGGAGAAATCTGAGAAACGACCTGCTCATTGCTGCTGACTCCATCACCAACACAATGTCATCGCTTGTTAAGGAACTCAATTCAGGTAGGAAGCAATGGAAAAAGTTGGTGTTATGCTTTCTGAGTTTTTTGTACAAAGATTAATTTAAAATATGTCATCCCACAGAGGGTGGAAGTGAGACTGAGAGCACTGCAGATTCAGACTTTGGACGTGGTGACCTGTTGGCCACAACCTCTTCAGATCCCTTCTTCACGTATAAACCAAGGTACTCATCACATACACAGCAGGATGTAACTTGCTTTTGTACCATTTTGGAGAACATTATCTTTCATTTCATAAAGGGTGGTCCAGTGTATTCTGTGCTAAAGGAGATAAAAAGGAGGCACTGAAGCACCTTCCTCTTTGACGAGCTCTTGTCACGGCTGCCCCTTCGATACTTCTGGGTCATTTCACCCAGTTAGGAACCTTCCTAAGCAAAAAAGACCATTCGACCGCAGCCCTGTCTTCTGTCACAATACCTCCAGTTTTCAGGTTCACCTCTGATCTCACGTCTTAGCTTAAAAGTGCTCGTTATCTGTCACAGAAGTGCCAGCGCTGCGGAGGAGAGCTTTGAGAACGATCTGGAGCAGCAGCTGGAGGACGAGCTCAAGTTAGAGGAGCTAATGAAGCATAGGCAGGAACCAGACAAAACCTGCATGGTGAGTTTTAGCCTTCTAGGAGAGGGTGGCATATTATTTGTTCTGAGGGATTAAATTACACCTTGTCAGTATTTATTCTGACCTGCTGCGTGTGTTTTGGTTGTGTGGTACAGGTGACGCTGCAGCAGTGACTGTGTTAGTCCAGGTGACTGGTAAGCATCTGAAACAATGAAATATATCCTTTGTGTTACTGTCAGACTTTTACTTTCACTTTTACATGTAGTTCATTATTACAGTGTCTTTTTTAATGACTAACTGAAAACAAAAGTTGTACTGGAGGAGGCACTCGCCCATTTTACAGACAGTGATCAGAAACCTGGATAAGTGTTTGGTCAGGTTTCTATTTGAGTAGGGGAGACCGTGGACAGCTGTAACACTTTTTCCCAATAAATCAAAAATCACTTGGACTGGAATAGCTAACTTGCTAAATTATAAACTTTGATGTGTTGTGTTTGATGTGTGGGGTTTTATGAAATCTGTACAGGCTGCAAAACTGATTGAAATTTATGAACCAGAAATGAACCCTTGCAGCAGTTTTGGGCCCAAACTTGAATTTCCACCGTGAAAAAATTATATTTTAAATATTGTAATATTTGTTTTTAATAATAAAGCTGTGGTTCCCAACTGATTCAGCCACATGCTCCAGATTTCTCCTTAGTCGTTAGTTAAAGGTTTATACTGTTTAAAAAATTCAGCGTCATACTTGTGTAGTTTGGTGTCTCTGTCAAGTAGCTATGTGTTAGTCAGTCACTCTAAAGCAGGAAACAGCACTTCAAAATAAAACTTCTGTGGTAGAAATTCACTGGATTTCAAATAAAGATCCAGATAAGCTAATTTGTCCATTCAGAATGGACCCGTGATCAACTTTTGGACCGCAACCCACCAGTTGGGAACCACTATATTAAATCATTTATTACAAGCTAAGGGCCAACATGTTTCCTCACACCACGTCTCCCTCTTCTCTCCCTTACTTTAATAATCTGTCATCTCGTGCACGACAGGTTTAGCAGAGCGGGCTGCACCCCTCGTACATCTAGTGCCCACAGTGGTCCATGGTGATGCTGCGTGCAGATCAGTGTCAGAAATTAGCAAGGGCCACGGGCCATTTGGCCCGCAATTTATCCAAGAATGCCCCCAAAAGCCATGTTCCGGGGGCCAAAATTGCCCCCCAAGTTTTCGAAACAACTATATGTATTTATATTTTTAACAGTATTACAATCTGACATTAAAGTATAATTTTATTTTCATTAAATTAATTTACCGTCACGTCTACAACTCATTTTCCAGACATAATCAACGAGATTGCACTGATTACGTGAGAGCAATCTGACAGAGAAGGGGAGGGGGCTTTGCTGTACCATAATTATAAACTAACCATTTCTTGGGTGATCTGTGTCTACACAATGACAAATTAATGAAAAATTAAGGTAGAATGAATGTTAAATTTTAAATTAACTTACTTCCAGGATTGCATCTAAGGAATTTATAGTAATTTGGCCTTTTTAACAGTAAAAGTAACTGTAATGTGGTGAAACATTAGTACTGCTATCAGTAGATTAATGGTTAAATCATCACATTTAAACTGATTGAATTTGCTTTTCATGTGCTTATTGTTAGAACATAATTACATTTTTTAGACCGTGGGGGCCAAAATTGCCCCCAAAATATTTTGTTAATTTCATACCCTGGTGCAGATGCTCAACGCTGCATGTTACACATTTCTTTCCCATTGCCGGGGAGGAAGTACTTGGGTCAGGGATGATTTTAACAAGGCGTTACGGCCATCTCTGTTGACCAGCCACGTTTTCACCTCATGTCAACTAGCCTGACAGCTTATTTAACACGTTTGTCGTTTCTGTTTTTAGCTTTAAAAAACAGTGATTCTAATAATACTCTCTCTCTGTCTCTGTCTCTCTCTCTCTGTCTCTGTCTCTCTCTCTGTCTCTCTTTCTGTCTCATTGTGTCATACAGATTACTGTTAACTTATTATGTTGATCTGTTCTGTACGACATCTATTGCACGTCTGTCCGTCCTGGAAGAGGGATCCCTCCTCAGTTGCTCTTCCTGAGGTTTCTACTGTTTTTTTCCCCTGTTAAAGGGTTTTTTTGTGGAGTTTTTCCTTATCCGCTGCGAGAGTCCAAAGGACAGAGGGATGTCGTATGCTGTAAAGCCCTGTGAGGCAAATTGTTACTTGTGATATTGGGCTTTATAAATAAAATTGATTGATTGATTGATTAATTGTTTGGATTCCAAGACATTTGATCTCAGGACAGCATCCCAAAAATATGCCTGATAGTAAAGTTAAATTTTACCTTTAAAAAAAACACTTTTGTGTGTAACTTTGTCTGGGAGTTTCAAATGTGGCTTATTTTTTTGTAAGCAAGAAGACAATCTAGCTGAGCATGTGTAGAGTGAGTGTAATCACTCTAAGAGCTCATTTATACTCCCTTTACGCAAGAAAATAAATACGTTTTATTTACACATCCATAACTTCATGTGTCTTTTATGATGGCATAGATACAGCCAGTAGATGGCACCGCAGGGCAGAGCCAAAAGTAAACGGCGGTTGTCTGTGAGGCCATTAAATACATTGTAGTATGTGGACAAAGAATTCTTTTCACCGTATAACTGATTTGTTCTGTTCACCATTTTAAAAATGTCTTCATCATCTCCTACGGTCGTATCTCGCTTAAAATACACTACACTGCCTTCACTATCTCCGGTGGTACTGCTGCGTTTCGTCCATATCCATTAGCTTTTAGAAAATGTGCACAAATATGGACAAAATGAACACAGAATATAGACAGAACGTCTAAATAAATGAGCCTTAACTTGTTTCTGATTGAAGAAATTCAGGGTTTTACAACCATCCCTTGTTACGACTGTCCCTGGTCTCCCCGTCTTCAGGTAGCACATTTGGGATAAGATGTTTGGCGCGTTGCTGTCAGTAACGTTCTATGTCCTTTACAGGTGAGCAATATGAAAAGCAACAATACACTGGATGAGACGACACTGGGCTGACGGTACAGAGCACTGAAGACATGAGGAATTTAAGTTGAATAAGTGGCCGAATCCAACCATAGAATACATTTATGTAAAGATATATTTTTTAACCAACCACATATTTAAGGTAATACTGTGAGCTGATGTAAAGAGATTAATTAGTGAGCTGTCTATTACACCACAGGTGCCATAAAAACCACACGACTTTGGGGATTTATTTCTTATTTTAGCCTTTTGATATGAGTTGTGAAGCAAATGTACAACTACACTGTTAGTTCAGGGCGGCAAACCTGATTCTTTCAAATTCTTTCTGCAAACAGCGAACCAGGTTTACGTGTTTGTTTGTCTTCTGATTTAAGATACAAACCTGGGTTGGAGGTGAAATTATAGATGGTAAAATTTGCAATATTTTATAAGTGTATAACTCCAGATTTATCCACTAGTCCACTGATTTCTTACTGTTGCTGTCAAGTGGCTTTTGTATTGTTTTTTGACTTGTTTTTCGGCGCAGGCTGATCAGATTTTATTTGATACATTAGTGATTATAACGCACACATGCCTTAGCTGATTGGATGACCTCTCAAATGAGCTCATTCAAACTGTCAATGCAGCATGTAGCTAACAACAAAACACACCTGTCTTCACTGGACAAATGAGGTTAAACTCATTAAATCTGATGCTGGGAGGTGATGAATATGTACGCTGTCTACATATAAACTGTCAATTAGATATAAGATGGATTGGTCCTGAAAGTGTTTTAAGATACAGTGAAAAAGATGTAACACAGAGACTTCCAAATCACTCAAAGTCAAAGGTTTACACTGGTAAGGGCATTGAACAATTTGTGTTTACTGTCAATGGTTTATGAATTACGGTTTTCATTATTTGCCATTGTTTCATTTGTTAGCGTCAATGCTCGCACACACAAGTCTCTGTGTGATTTGCACACCAAACATACACACTCTTGATGTATTTTCTGAGTGTGCGTGAAACTTTATTTGGTCACTTTGGGGAAAAGTGGCAAGCCAATCTAAAATCATAAATGTGTGAAATATATCTAGTTTGATTTTTGAGCAAGTTCATAGCAGTGATTTTGCATGGTGGTGATGCATAATAAAGTGTTGACACAATATCACAATTTTTGCCTATGAACTCCTTTTCTCTTTCTTTTTCCATTCCAGACCGGCACACTTCAATTGGCTTGGTTTGGCAGTGCACATTTATTATCTGTCATAAATGCACTGTTGGCTGCCCTCAACCTATTGTCTATAATTCATCACATAGACCCACCGTCTGAGGTAACATTAAAGCAGCCATCCAGCACTGAATCTCACAGTCATGTGAATATTAGGAGGGAGAATTTTCCTCTCAGGCTTAGGCAATATTAGCAGCATATGAACTGACTTATATTACACTTTATTAGCATTATTAGCAGCACTTTTTAAAGACATCGACACAAGCCCATCATTTTAACACTCAAAAACAGCATTTATCACATGGATCTAAAGCATCTGTCATCAGGTCTTTGCATAATTACCGCAGTCTGTCCACAACATGTCTTTTCTTTATCTCATCTATGTTGCCTCCACTTTATCAGCATAGTTAACAAAGCAGCTGTAACAGAGATCAATTTCACACCAAGCCTCTTCTAGGTATCTTTTGTGTAAGTGCATGACTGCACCCTGGTGTTAAAACATGAGGGATGCAGTTGTGAATTCTGAACATCAGGTTTATTTAATCAAAGATGAAAACTTTGTGCACTGTATTTCTCTCTGTGGAAAACAGTGTTGCCCTTTGCATAGAATTTAATATTGATGCAACAAATAAATAAATAAAATTAGAAGCAGTTATTTTACTATAAGTCTTTAAGTTGCTGTCTCAGCAGCCAAGGCCCTTGAAATTCACATTTTCCCCACAGGAATTTAAGAATTTACAGTCAATCTAATTCTGTGGTACACAGGATTAGACAAATTCTCTTTATTATTTTTCTATTTATGGTTTATAAATGTTGTCAGTTAACAATTTTTGGTTTGAACTGTCAATTTATAGAATAAATAAATACAGAATGAAGACATTAATAGTGAAAACTGGCCATCACAAATTCACAAGAGCTCAATTTACATGCCTTGTTTTGACCAAACCCCAAATATATTCAGTTTACTTATGTAGAAAATAAAGAAAACCAGCAAATAATCATATTTAAGAAGCTGGGATGGGCTCAGATGCTCAGATATTAAACTAAAAATAATACAAATGTAAAAGAAATAGCAAATTTCACATTTCAGAAGCCATAACAGGAGATGTGTTCATTTATTTGCCATTTTTGCTTGATTAAACCACTGTAATAATGATTCAAAATATAGTTTTAGTGGTAACATTGCACCTCACACACCACACCATAGTGTTCTTTACATTGGCAAAAAAGCAGGTTATCGTAATTTTTATTTTATTTTTTAGATGTGCACGTATCCCTCTATTTTTTATGTATATGTAGGAAGAAAAATCATGGTAAAATTAGTAGTTTTTAGCGCTGAATAAATATTTACTGGTTCAGGAAAATCTTGTGTGTTTCTCTCTGTGGGGCAAAGTGATGTGACACAGAGCGACAAGACGGAAAGCTGTCGGATGTTCCTTATGTTCAACGCATCAAACCCTGATTGGTCAACCTCACGACAGATGTCACATGCAGACCAATCAGCTGCGACACCGATGTAGCGTCATCCAATCAGCTGCCCGCTCTCGGCTCACCGTGTAGTGAGAATGGGCGTTTGAGGGTGGGGTGACTCAGCCGGAAAACTGCTTTTTTAACACCTTGTAACCTGCGGATTGGAGTTCACTGGTGAGTCTCAGTTGCTTTGCTGAACAATTACAGTGTGTAGTTTTGTGCGAGACGTACAACACGGTGTGAAAATGCCCAAACCGGAGCGTTTTACGTGTGTGTCGGTGGCTCGTACGGTGATGGTACCCGGGGTCAGGGCATATGTCGGCTGTCACTATTTTCACAAAGTGTTGGCAGGAGCAAAATTAGCTTACTGTAACTTGGCGGTTAGCTACACAAGATGTACCACCGTCACTGTAAGTACCGTCTGGCTTGGTAACAACACTCTTTCTTTTGCTTTGCCATTGTTTGACTGTGTAGTAGCTCGCTTTCCAATCATTGTATCTCATTTAACTGTCACTGCCAACACGAAGCTGAGTTAGCTTCATTCACAGACTCACTGCTGCTAGCTGCTTTGTTGCAGAGCTGCTTTGAAAAGCTCAGAAATTAGCAAAAAGAACTGTTGGTGTTTTCCCCAGTTAAAGCGATTTCTGAGCAGTGGCGTGCAGTGGGGACAGACGAGGAGAAGAGGGGGTGATCGTGGGCATCCTAGGTCTTTTGTCTGGGTTGCAGAGTTCCTCTTATTTCAAATTGCAAACTTAGCTCAACCCACAAGTTGCATTTAAAGGAATAGCTAAAAAAGATGCCATGTAAGATAGATCAGTGTGAGATCATCAGAGCTCCCTCTTCTCTGGTTCTGGCCCTCCCTGACTCATTTTGTGCAGGTTTGAGGTTTTCCTGAAAATGTTTCTGCACACCCATGACTCTAAAAACCCTCCTCTCATTAGTAACCATTACCTAGCACACAATTTAACTGGCCCAACCTGTAATGTAGAGCAATACCTGACCTCCTTGATATTGAGGGCTGGGTCTGTAGGGTGGAGCAGCTACCCCTCACCCACCCACTTGATCTCAGTGCAAGAGAAAGCCTTGGGAGATATGAATGTAGAGAGCAAGCACAGCTCTCTGTTTTCCTCTAATGGAATGAGCTCATGTACAACGGCCCAGTGATTTATTGTAGCCTAACAGCACCAACAGAGACTGTAAGGCAAGTGTATGCAAAACACAGCAGCTGTTATAGCTAGATTATCTTGCTTGCATTATGTGTTTCTGGACAATTGCCCACCTTTTACTACCATAGCTACTTAAACCTCGATCAGGCACAGAAAATACAAAACGAAGCATAGGTGCCGGTACATACAGTAAGATCACAATTTTCCAAAATTACAACATTGGACTTTGACAAATAAATTTGTCTGACATTTCTTTTCATGGCTTGCTGCATATTTAGTCTGTATTTTTATAGCAAAAGTTTCAGTCCACCAGTCTTTACACATTTGAGGCCATGTTCAAATGGACATTAACACTGGGTAAATAAAACGCAGCACCCCAATTCATTTCAGATGTGGATTGACAGGCAAAAAGGTGGAACGTGACTCATTTTTTGCTGCAGTTAAATACGTGTCAAGGAATAGATCACCCCAAAATCAACAATACATATTATTCCTCTGACCTGTAGTGCTGTTTGTTAGTCAAAATTGTTTTGGTGTGAGTTGCAAATGTTGCAGATATCGGCCGTAGAGATGTGTGCCTTCTCTGGAATTTAATGGAACTAGATGGCACTTGGCTTTTAGTGCTCAAAGCCCCCAGAAAAAATACATTTGAGAAACTTAACTGCAATGTTTGTTTCCAGAAATCATGACCTGGTTACTGGCTGTACATTTTCATCTTTAATTCTTAGGCTTCACAGTCCGGACATTTATTTTAAACAGCATGTGCATGCTTTACCCCTGTTGTGACATCTGCAGGCCTGTCACACTGCGAAGTGAAGTTCATTTCAATGACAGCCCGGTGATAACTTTGCCACCCAACTTAGCCGTGGCACAGTACGGGATGCACTTGTTTGCTACCCGTGTGAACAAGCACACAGTTTCCCGATTTCCTACTGCCCCTGAAGTTTGACCGTGTCATGCGTTTGCCGCTTGATGCCTGATACAAAGCAGACCTTTGTGCTCGCTGTTGTGAGATTGTGATAAGACCAGCTGTCACTTTCCAGTCTGAAAGAGCCTTTAGCATTGCTGTAGTGGAAATGTAGCACAGCTTGCTTTTGGAGACATTTCTAGTGCCATTTAATGAGATTAGCACTTGGTTATGCTTTGTGTTTGGCTCTGCAGGAATTTGTGTAAGACTTAAAGTGTACATTTGACCCAGTAGAGGCAGGGGATCCTGAATATATGTCCTACTAGAGTAACCACACAAGAGATGGATATCCTGTATTTAACCACTGCCTTGATTTATTTCTAAGATTTTCAGATATATTAAAAACACTTGAAGCAGTTGCTTAAATACACATTTCAGTACAAGGGTGATTTATTGCAGTCACAGTCAAATATGCAATCCGTGGCACATACATCCGCTTTGCAGACATGTGACTTTTAAAAGCTGCTGTGTGATTAGTTAAAGCTGAATACATGGGAGTGATGATGTAAATTATTACCTTAATTTTACAGGAATTTGGAATATGTGTTGAAACATCTTCAAAGCAAAGCTACAGCAGATGGTGACTTTATCAAGCCGTGGCTATACATACAGTATGGAGAATGAAAATCCTGTTGAGTAATAGGCTCAGAAGTGTATTGAAATTGGATTAACTGTTACAGCAAGACAGAACTAAAAATGTAGGTCAATAGTATTTGGTAAAATTAATCAGACGTCATTTTTTGGAAATTTATCTTTATTAGATTTATGAGAGAATTATGAGAGATCAGTCTGTCTTCAGGCTCTGTGTTAAAGTTCAGAAGAAAGTTGTGGGTAAAAAGTGACCTCAACTTTGGCCTGATGGTGGCACCAGAGGAGCTGTTTTATGTGAGCACACACATGGTGAGCAAATGTGAGTATTAGCCATCCCTTACCCAAGTGTAAAAGCAGCGATGGACAGTTTGGAACATCGTTTGCCATTTTGATAGAAAAAGAAACTGCTGACACTGAAATTGGAGGAGGAATTGTACGCTTAGAGTTAAATCTTTCTTGATATACCCTGTTAAAATCTTCTAAAAGATGCTGTATTTCCACTAAGGCAGGGCTTTGATAAGTTTGTACCACAGGAAGCAAAAAAGGTGTGTGTTATAACAACACATCTTGCCTAGTGACCTGGCTCAGGCTAGGTGTAATTTTAAAAAGATTACAAATTTGAGTACTTCATTTGATATATTTTTAATTCATTCAACACCAGTCATGTGAATGGAAGCTCTCAGTTGTGTAAAATGCTACCTGACACCACAGGCATGTAGTTTTGGTGGCATCTTGGCACACTGAACTGC